CGATATTTGAGTTAGTCTAAGATGATGGAATTCACGTGCGGAAAGACCTGTGGGTGGTATGAGTGAGGAGACTACATTGCCATCGTCTGCAAAGCAATAAAGTGGATTTACTGTTTTAAATTGAATTGAGTAGCGCTAAGTGGCATCACCACGTTCCGCTACTGCGCTGGCAGTCCGGTTCCAACAATGAGTAACAGATAGCATGATGGCGCCTCCAGGATCAAAATATTCCGGAGGTAAAATACCCGACCACTCGGATCTCCGGGCGTCGGGTGATCCTGGGGGTCCTTCATGCAAAGATATAAAAAGATCAAAAACTCAACTCAGAATTGATTTTAGCAATATAAGAGGAATAAGTACAAATATGAATTCAGTTCACCAACATCTTGAAGAACAAAGACCTGACATCCTTGTTCTCACTGAAACTAAAATCAGTTCTGCAACACCTATTGTGAACTATTTTTATCCCGGCTATGACCTACACCACCGATTTCGACATAATTTTGGGATCTGTGTGTACATTAAAAATGACCTTTCATGTCATCGAGAGGAGAAGCTAGAACCAGCGAACCTTGATATCATATGGCTAAAATTCACCTCAAAGTCATCGACCAAGTTTATCTGCTGCCTCTACCGACCGCCAAGTAACACCGATTACCAAAACTTTTTCGCGACATTATCCGAAAGCTGTGATAGTATACAGTCAAACTATCCACAGGCGGAAATTGTCTTTTTAGGCGATTTCAACGTCCATAATATACCCTGGCTGAAACACCACAACAAAACAGATAACGAAGGCAGAGAAGCAGAAGCTTTTGCCATAAGTTGTGGTCTAACGCAGCTTGTCGATGAACCTACCCGTATCTCAGAAAGGGGCGAATTTGCAGCGCTTTTAGACTTGTTCCTAACCACCAATCCTGACTCGTACACAATTCAAGTAGATGCTCCACTTGGTTCGTCCGATCATAAACTTATAATAACAAAGTGCGAAATGCTCATCCCACCAAGCCTACAACCACTTCCTCGTAAAATGTGAACAGTATTACCTGGATTTTCCATGGCAAGAGGTTTGCTTTAAAACAGCTGATCCCACTATTTGCTGTAATGAAATAACACAAGTAATCTTATCTGGAATGGACGCATATATCCCACATACAACTAAACGTAGAGCTAATGCAAAACCTTGGTTCAACAGCCAGTGTCAAACGGCTGTACAGAAAAAACACAGAGCATATAACCTTTGGAAACGACAACAAACCGCTCAAAACCACACAGAATTTATAGAAGCCAGAAATAGTTGCAAAATTACTATTGACTCCGCTAAAGAAACATACAATCAAAGAATAAAAAACAGGTTGCTGAATTGTCCAAGTAGTTCTAGGTCTTTTTGGTCTCTTGCAAAAGCTGTTGGATCTAACTTCACCAAGTCATCCATACCACCACTTACAGATAAAAATAATCACTTAGCCACAACATCAGAGGAAAAAGCCAATATGCTTGCCCAAATGTTTTCCTCCAACTCCAACCTAACAGTGCCAAACGGAAAAACTCCACCGTTCATTGAAAGGGTTTCCCATAGTATGCCAGAGGTACACTTTTGTCACAGAGAAATACGAAAATCCCTAAAAAAGCTGGATACAAACAAAGCAATGGGTCCGGATGGCATTCCCGCAATAGTACTCAAAAATTGCGCCAACGAACTCACCCCAACTTTCGCTAAATTATTCAATTTGTCTTACAGGCAAGGAGTATATCCATCATCATGGAAGTCTGCCGCAGTACAACCCATTCCAAAGAAAGGAAAAAAGACAGATCCGTTAAACTATAGACCAATTGCTCTACTTCCGGTGATATCAAAAGTAATGGAAAGAGTTGTGAACAATCACCTAACCAAGTACTTGGAAAAGTACAAAATTATCAACGATAAGCAATACGGATTTCGAAAATATAGGTCAACTGGCGATTTACTTACATACGTCACTCACTTATGGCAAAAAGCGATTGAGTTGCGGGGTGAAACAAGAACAATTGCCTTAGATATATCTAAAGCATTCGACAAAGTTTGGCATGAAAATCTGCTCAACAAGCTCAAAGCAATGGGATTATCGCCGAAACTTTGCACTTGGTTTGAAAGTTACCTAAAGGACAGATCCATTTATGTTGCAATGGATGGCCAGAACTCCAACTCTTACCAAATAAATGCTGGTGTGCCACAGGGAGCAATCCTTTCGCCAACTCTTTTCCTGATTTACATAAATGACCTCATAGATAATTTACACATATCTATAATAGTTATTTGTTTTACTAGGCAGAAAAGTACAAGATTTAATGCCGCGGCTGGTGTTTCATAGCCGAGGCTAGGAAACCAGCCGAGGCATTAAATCTGCTTTTCTGCCATGTAAAACATATAATTTTTTCTCCGAATGTTCAAAATCACACATGGACATCTTTTTTATATTTATTTCATTCATTATTATTATCCAAATAATTAAATTATTTTGACAATTGTCATTGTCACCATCAATTTCAAATACCAAATTGAGTGAAATTCTTACCTGGAACGTTATGACACTGTCACTTTTAATGCCTAGGCAGTAAAAGTCCACTTTTACTGCCTAGGCAGTAAAAATACAACTTTTGATCCTGTCAAGTGTCATTGAAATGCCGCTTTTACTGTCATTCGGAGAAAAAATTAATTTTTAGAAAAAAATTAAAAAAGGTATCTACTCAATTTCAAACGCCACCCCTCGTAGTTACGGTCTATTTTGAAATTTAAAAAAAAAAAAAAACAGAAACACTCGCTGCGCTGATAACGTTTGTTGAATGGGAAGCAACAAACTTTTCTGCCTAGGCAGAAAAAGACCACTTTTCCGTCGCTAACTGGAAACCGGCGACCTTTGTGACACACCCGTCATTCAAGAAGTAGGAACGTTCAGAAATTAGTTGGGTATATCCTAAGGCGTTCGGCAATCGCCTTTATAAATTTTATATTAAGTAATAATTATTAATTATATAGTTATCCAGATATTCCCGGAAATTTCATCATGCATCCTGACACTGGACAAACCTTTGAGAAACCGGACAGGTAGCAACCCTATCTATGGAGTAAACCAATCCCCCCCACCCCGAATTTCTTCAAACAGTTCCTCAAACTTCCCGCGAATTCCTTCAAGTCCCCACAAACTCCTCCATACTGCTCTCCGCAAATTCCCTGCAAATGCCTGTTACAAATTCCTTGAAAATTTTCAAAATTGTTCGTGATAACTAAGAAATGTTTCTTTTATCTATTTTTATTGCGCTCGGTGTTAAAACCAATAAATTCCCCAAATTCCTTCAATTTCCCCACAAATTACTCCAAATTCCCCACAAATTCCTTAGAGTTTTGGCAAAAAGAGACGGATGTAGAGTAAAAGCGTTTGCTACACTTTATTCATACAAGGGAATATCTCCAATTTATTATATCATAGTCGTCTTCCCAAAATTTTCTTTTTATTGTTTTGTAGGTAGCTTCTTTTGTCAATCTCATTCGTATCACTGCCTGTGACTGCCTTAATTACTTTGTAGTCTATGATGGTTTTTGTGGTGTCAATGAAGTAAGTAGCTTCTTGTCATTCACAAGCAGCAAATCCAACAGTGATTCTCTGTGATTTCTTGCTCTTGTTGGGAAAGCGACCAGTTGTTTCAAATTGGGTTCTCTTAGCCTTCCAACAAGTCTGTTGCTTATCTGCCTTTCCTTGTAAGAGTCAGCTTTTCCCAATCTACTTCCGGGTTATTGAAATAACCATAGATTATAGGATTTTTAAATTCTTGGCTCACTATCTTTATCACTTCTATCAGGTTCGTATGCTCCTGTATGCCTACTATTCTACAACTGTATACATATGCATCCCAAGAGGAATTCATCTTTGCCTATTCTTACATCTACCCATGTTGATTCATTCATTGTTGCATAAATGCCCCTTTTATCCGGTTTTTTCTTCACATGTAGGATGACTCCGCTCCCCATCTGGTTTTGTCTGAAACATTGAAAGTTATTGTAACCCGTTACATTTAGCAATTGATTGTTTGTTTCGCTAGACCACGTTTCTGTAACAAATATCAAAGTAGGCATATTTTGCTTTTCTCTTGCTTGAAACTCATCTAGCTTCGAAAACATTGATCCTGCCTTGGTATATAATACGGTAGGTAATTTCCATTAGACTTGAATGGACCTGTCCAGTGTAAGGACAAGAATGAGTCAGTTTTTTGATATTGCTATGATTCTTGGTATTTGGTTGACATAATGTTTTGCTCACCTGCTAGTTTTTGAGTTTGGAGTTCGCCCAATATTTCCTTCAAGTATTGTCTCTGCGCTTCAGTTTTATCGCTTTTTATGTAATGCCGCTATTCTCTCTGAGAACTTTTCTGCACTTTAGTGACTGCAGTGCTAATTCCTTTGTTGGTAGATGACGTGACGGTAGTTTTTTTTTTATCTACGCAACGCATTTCATTTTTTCTCTCTGAAATATCTTTTTTTGTTGTTTCATTCTCCTTCCTCCTATTCATATTGATGCCATAAGAGCGTCAACATCATTTCTAAGGGCATCCCAACTTTTAGTGGTTTTACCTCCTTATTCTTTTATTTTTTAAGATCCTCTTGCTTGGTTCCTTTGAATCTTTTCCTTCATCTAGGGAAGATTCTTAATACTGTCTTTGCATTTGTTGCAGAAGAACATGGTAGGCAAAGTCGTTAAATATGAAAATATAGTCGGCTCGGGGCAGGGTAATAGGAAAATACCTACACTGTACTCTATACCTATTGGATGTTTTTAGAAATTACCGTTTGTTTATTGTTTTGCCGGTTAAGTTAAAATTTTAATTATTTATGTTAATAATACATACTTACCTGTTTCTGGCTTTCAATTGTTGTAAGCCATTTGTTTACTTCTGATAACAACTGACCCAAAATAATCTTTGGATTTTTCAATAAATTGTGAGGTAAAAAATTGATAAATTTTCAGTTATTCATGTGGCTACAGGAAAATGTTTGACCAATACTACCAGCTCATAAACCAAAAATACCCCTTCATTATGATAGATGGAGCCAACTATGAACCAGCAGCCTTCTATTCACTATTGGTTCGAATAATCGTAAGTAGCATATTCAAGACATAGCAGCTTGTGCAATAATCAGTTTCAGGGTACCCTCAAAATGGCACTAATAGTTTGCATCTTGGGCGGAGTCAACATTTTCGACTACATCAACAAGCCCCAACCCAGCTGGTGGAGGTGGTGTCTAGAAAACAAGATCTACGCTTGCATGATGCTGTTTTTCCTGTGCAACGTCATTGAAGGCCAACTGATATCGTCGGGGGCCTTTGAAATTACACTCAATGGTGTTCCAATATGGTCCAAATTGGAAAGCGGTAGAATACCACAACCGGCTGAACTTTTTCAAATTATTGACAGCCACATGCAGTTTACCGATACAAAATTGGAACTGAACGGGTTTGCCAAATAAGGACTGAAGAATTTTTGATCATTTATATTGTTTTGTGATATTCTTGTGTATATGTTAGTAAGTTTTTATGATTGATGGTAACTGAAGAGCCTCTACAGATTCAAATGGATCTTCTAAAATAACTCGAAGAAAACGCCTATTGACGATTTATTATCAATACTTATTCATGGTTATCACTTGATGAGTTTTTAATACAAAAATCCATCTTTATATGTTGTAGTTTTTTTTTTGTTCTATTTTCGTTGTGAAGAATTTCTTATAAAACTTTATACAAATTATAGTTAAACATGATGTACATAATAAATTGATATTTATAAAAATGCATTATGTATTTGTCTCTTTCTAGTATTTTTTATGCATACAGATTTTCATCGGGGTAAGTAGTGGAAGACTATAGGTACATTAATGGCTAATTTGGACCCTTTTGATAGGAAACATACATTTTTGGGTGAGTCACGACTCACAGCTTATACTCCGTGAAATCTTCATTGGTGCAAACCTTGTTTTGACATCAGACGCCGTTAAATAAAAATCTACATCCAGCTTCAATATCCGTTTATATATTTTAAAATACATTATTTAGATTATAAAATTGATGTGATAAAAATACTACGTAAATGCGTAAACAGCCATATAAAGTGAAGACCAATAATTATTATAGTATAAAGTTATTTAAAACTTCTATAGTTTTAACAAAAATAAAATATCAAGCTTGTCTTACACATTAGGATGTCCATATATCATATAATTAATGTTTTATACCTTGTTTAGGAAACTTTCTTCTAGTGAAGAGTATGCTGTCAGTTCTAGTCCAAACCTGAAATAATTGTAACAATTTTAACATTGGAATTTACATGAGAATCTATTTCCCAAAATCTTGCAACTTACCTTTTAAGTCCTTCCACTGAATCCTCAAGTTTAGCCGGGTCAATTACCAGAGCTGTTTTAACTTGTTCCGGATCAAATAATGGTGCAATATACTTATCTCCAACCCTATTTAAATCTTCTATAGTAACTTTGTTGAGGTGTTCTAGCATTTTTCTAAAAACATTGTTTTACACTGCAAAGTCAAACAGTAAATGCAAACTCTTACCTGTTGTAAGTATAATCCACCCCTTGGAAATACGATCTTATTGACAACCCCACCGTACTACCAATAGTCTTTTCCTCTTCAATGATACTAAAAACCAAAGAGCTTCTGGCAGAATCTAGAAGGGTAGTGTCCCATTCCTGTTTACTAAGCTGTTTGTCCATAATCTCTTTAGATTCCTGATAGGCGCCCAAAAAATTAGAGGCCCGTCCCAATATAAGATAGATGAGACCTTCAGATACTTTGACTAACATTCGGTAAGAGTAGGCAAAACCTTTGCCCCTGATTTGTTTCCACATCGGACCCTAGATCAAGAATAGAAAGATTTTTTAAAAAATACACAACAATAGAAGGAAATGTCTTAAGTTTTGCCCTAGACCAACTGATCAAATTACTCTGAATTTTTTTCAAATCTTACCTCGGCTTGTATTAAATATTGCACATAAAGCATCAGCGCAGGCAAATCTGGATCGTCAAACGACGTTATACATTTGGCCGTTTGATAGTAATAAGCAGACTCTATACAACCCAAACCGATTATACAGCCAGGAGTTGGAATATTTTCCAGATTGCACAGCAATTTGTGGTCAGGGGTTGGATTTAAGCTGAAAAAATTAACTTTAATTCTGATTCTTTACAAAAAATGTATACTTACGGTTTTAAAATTCGTTGTTTATCAGTCTGTAAAAAGGTCTTCAGAGGTGTCACAGGGTCTGGAAGATTATCCAAACTTCCTGCTACGTAAAGGATAAGGTTTTCTGGTTTCGTTAAAGTTTCCCGTAGATTTTCTAAATTTTGGACTACTTCTTGTGCGCTATCGCCGCTCAATTTTTGAATAATTTCTGCCAGGAATTTGTTTTGGACTAGTATACCGTTGACGTAAACGTTACTCTCTGGAATTTGAAGTATTTTATTAAACTAGTTACATTTACAAGCAATTTTTACCTTTTGTATACCACAGGCTCTTCATAGCATAAGAGGCAACATTCCTACCGCTCCTTTTAGCCTGGGAAACAGCGTTGCTCATTTTCATAGCGATAACTTTCAGCCTTTCAGCGGTAAATTTAGTTTGATAGAGAAGCTCACGAATCCAAGTCAGTCCTTTTTTGTACTTACTAGCCTCAAGTTGCAATGAAATTGACGCTGTTTGCGAATAACTACCGCAGCTGAACAAACCGCTGGAGGCCAAACCTTGAATCATGAAATTTTTTTGAAATGAATTATTAATTGACAAACCTAGTACCTAAAGAAGTGCTTGTACAAACTGTATCATCATTTAACTCTGACACAATTTGGGCAAAAGGTATAATTTCTCCATTTCTCTCTATAGGCAGTTCAAGTAAGGCTTCCAAAAACAATGGCAGATAAATTCTTAAATCTGAAGGAATAGTTGAAGTATCCAAAAGAGCATAAAGCTAAAAAAATAAATTTCCAAGCATATTTTTAAACAGAAAAATTATTGCTTACATAAACAAAACTAGTCTTCAAATCATCAAAATAAGTAAAAACTGGAGTTCCAGACAAATCGAGTTTTACATTTTTCAAATCAGTTCTGTATCTAGTAATATTATGAAACTTAATCGATTCAGTACTAGGAATAGCTACCGAAGTTAACATGTCCGCTGGCGGCTCCCTCTCGTTAAAATCAATAGCTTTTTGTAAAATTTCTCCTTTTTCTTTCAAGCCTGTTTCAGATAAGGTTTGCTTTTGAGATTCCACACGGTCTTTCTCTTCTTTGGCCATTTTTTGTTGTTCTTCTTTGCTTGGATAGCATTCGACCGAAATGTATTTGTTGCTGACAAAATATTTGTCGAGGATGTTGAGCCAAAACGATTTTGGTTCTTTGATGAGTTTGGCAAGGTCTTCTAGAGGATTGACTCGTTGTTCAAGCTGGAAGTAAAAATTATAATTTATTAATTCAAACATTCTCACAACTACTAACTGAAAATTGGGTTTATACTGCAAATATTTTTGCCTATTTTTACTTTCAATCGCCAAAAAGGCTTTATCTCGAGCAAAATATTGTTGGAACTCAATTGTACATCTATTTACGACAGTTTTCTCTTGATGAAATTTTCAGCAATTCTTGTTCCAGTAGAGGACTTCAATCCCCGAAAATTTCAACTCATTTGGACTTATAGTTCTTGAGATAAAATCGTGTTAAGTAATTTGGGGTGTTTTATCAATTTTTCAATTTTTCTGAGTGCCTTTTTTCATAAAATTCGGCTTCAAATCTGAGAATAACTTGGTGTATGTATTTCGGGGAATCCCAAGTGATCATTAGGACACAAAATCTCAACAAAAATAAAATTGGAACTTCATTGTTTTAGTAAGAAGGTAGCAACCTTATGAAACTTTGAAAGGTCATAACTTTTTTTCTATTATAGATAGAAAGCTGAAATTTTCAGCGATTCTTATTCAAGTAGAGGACTTCAATCCCTGAAAATTTCAACTCATTTGGATTTATAGTTTTAGTGTATGGAGTTCGGGGGATATCAAATGACCAATAAGACACAAAATCTCAACAAACAAAAATTTGAAATTTCATCGTTTTAGTAAGAAGGTACCTAACTTAAGATTTAGATGTTGGAAAACTTTGAAAGGTCATAACTTTTTTTCTATTATAGATAGAAAGCTGAAATTTTCAGCGTTTCTTATTCCAGTAGAGGGCTTCAATCCCTGAAAATTTCAACTCATTTGGACTTATAGTTCCCGAGATAAAATCCTGTTAAGCAATTTGGGGTGATTTATTAATTTTTCAATTTTCCTGAGTGCCTTTTTTCATAGATTTCGGCTTCAAATCTGGGAATAATTTAGTCTATGGAGTTCGGGGGATATCAAATGACCAATAAGACACAAAATCTCAACAAATAAAAATTTGAAATTTCATCGTTTTAGTATGATATAGATTTTGGAAAACTTTGAAAGGTCATAACTTTTTTCTATTATAGTTACAAATCTGAAATTTTCAGCGATTCTTATTCCAGTAGAGGACTTCAATCCGTGAAAATTTCAACTCATTTGGACTTATAGTTCCTGAGATAAAATCGTGTTAAGCAATTTGGGGTGATTTATCAATTTTTCAATTTTTCTGAGTGCCTTTTTTCATAGATTTCGGCTTCAAATCTGGGAATAATTTAGTATATGAAGTTCGGGGAAAACCAAATGACCATAAGGACACAAAATCTCAACAAAAAAAAAAATGAAATTTCATCGTTTTAGTAAGAAGGTACCTAACTTAAGATTTAGATTTTGGAAAACTTTGAAAGGTCATAACTTTTTTTTCTATTATAGATAGAAAGCTGAAATTTTTAGCGATTCTTATTCCAGTAGAGGACTACAATCTCTGAAAATTTCAACTCATGTGGACTTATAGTTCCTGAGATAAAATTGTGTTAAAGAGTTTCCGTATCTAGTCAACAAATATTTTATTACATAATCAAAATCAAAGTTGCAAGCAAAACAAATGGTAGACAGATTGCAGAAATACTGGATAACAACGGCATGATGATACTGAATGATGGAACATCTACTAGAATAAACATACCATACGAGAATAAAAGCCCAATTGAAATCACTCCTACTACTATAAAAATAGCAACAAAATGTAATTGGCAGGTCACACAAGATCAGAGATCACAGGATGCAGGATATTAATAGTTATCACTAACGAACCATCAGGCAGCAAACGATAGTGGAGAAGATATCAGACAAGCATGGATACCAGGACAAGCAAATATACCTGGAAATGAAACAGCGGACAAATAAGCCAATATAGGAAGATTATAAGTTCCAAAAAGAATACTTTTAAACAACAGACAGATATACAACTTAATAAAAGAAAAAGTATGGTCAGAACACAATGAAGCCTGGAAAACGTCCCTAGAACAGGAAGGCAGATGGTACGCACAAGTACAAGATAAATTTCCTATTTCCTGCAAACCCATGGCATAAAAAGTTACCCTACTTACACAGAAGTCATACAACGACAATAACAAGAATGAGATCCGGGCACTGCCTAACCAAATAGAACTTACACAAAATAGGCATCAAAGAATCACCAAACCACATATTCCTGGAATGCCCAAATAATGCTATACAGAACGACTTACTGCATTTTAAGCAGGGAAGAAAAACACTCGGAAAAACATGCAATACCTCTGACTACTGTACTTGGAAAATTGAACAATACAATTAATATGTATATTGAACAATTTCCTAAGACACAACAATATAAAGCTATAGCCCAACACATACCCCCATAAGGCTAGCTTCACCAGTGTTCCCTTTAAGGTTTTGCGAAACTTTGAAATATCTGATATGTGTCTGAAATTTGAAGGCAGCTGATTATAGATCTTTATGCCATTGTGAATTATTGAATTTTGCATCAAAGCCGAATAGGGGTCCAAAGAGGAATGTCATGGCTTTGAAGAGTCAAGCAAGCGAGTGTTTTAAATAATCCTGTGTTTGTGTATGTCTAAACTAACACTCAAATCAAATCAAATCAACAATTGCTTTATTGTCTCAGAAATATGTACATAATATTTGTTGACAAAGCAGACGTCTATTACATGATTTGATTTGATTTGATTCAGAAAACTTTAATCAACAAAAAAATACTCACATCACTTTTAGTATTCCCATAGAGCATGTGTCCGATAATCATGAAAGCAACTGACTGATGCGGACTATTTTCGATATTACTAATATTCTCCAATTTATATTTAGTAATGATACTTTCCAGGCTCTTCATGTCGATATCGCCTTCAGTCAAAATTTGTTGCAATTGAGACCTCAGTTTGTCTCTAACCAAATTAACTTTAGCGATAGGGACATCTTCAAAAATAAGATATAGACAGGATTCGGAGTTCTCATACAAATTGTAACAGACCTAAAAACAAATCATTGAAATAATCTTAATTTATTTTTTAAGGAAAATTCTTACATTGCTAGCATAAGGATTATCAGTCTCCACAAACGCTTTAGGCAAAGGAGAAATTGAATTTTCCGTAAAATATTTCAATAACAACGAACAAGCTGTTAAACTATATAAATCTGTAACACAAGAGGGCCCTCTCCAGGCCATGGCATAAAGACCATTATCTTCATCGTCTGATGGATATTTAATGGTTAAATCTTTAGAAGAGTCTAGCGGAGGGACTGGAGATTGCCAAGGTCTTTGGAATGGACCTCTATCATCCTAAAAATAGAATTATGTAGGTAATTTTTAACTTGGAAATTGTTTTATTACCTTTAATAAAATTAGCTCTTCTAATGGTGCCAAAGCCTTGAAGATGTCAGCAGCTTTAATTTGTCCAGTTATAATGACTTTGAGATTTTCCGGCCTGTAGAATTCTTTGTGGTAAGCTCTTACCTAGCAACAAATTATAACTCAAAAGTATGTGCAGTTAGTATCACTCACCTTTGCATTACTGGTAGATTCACGCAAGTTCTTCATAATACCACCAGTTTCTGAAGAATATCCACAACGACCCGGATAAATATTCCTGGCTATGGATAAATGCATTCTGGATTCTGCCGAGTTTTCTCTGTCTTGCATTTCGCAGTAAACTATGCCAGCGTCTTCACCTACACCTGTTATGTGATGGACTTCAGTTACAAAGCCTTCATCCTATAATAATAATAATCTACTCAATAACAATTGTTGCTGATTGAAAGAATAATCTCACACTTAAAACAGGATACAAAATATGTTCCAAAAATATAGGCATAAGGGAGCAAAATCCTTCAGATCCAGCTGTTTCCATTGTGTAACAGGTATGGTCGATGTCTGTCCAAGCATTGGTGCCCGAGGCTAAGCACCTGTTGGCCAACAAGTCCAGAACGCCTTTGTAGGGGTAGTTTTCGCTGCCCAAAAAAATGAGGTGTTCGAGGGTGTGAGGTAAGCCATCGTCGTCGAAAGCTTCAGTGGCTGAAAGTGAGAGTGATTTCAATACAATACACTACATGATACAAAAAGAAGCAGAAGCAATTAATAGATATGTATGCAGCTTCCCTCCATATAATAACAGGTGGTAGAAAGGGTAATTATGAAATGAGGAGAGGAAAATTAGTGTTGAATTTGTGATGACCATCTCAAGTTTACGAATTCACCAGTTTTTAACTTACCAAGACAAAAATATCCATTGACCACAGGCCCTTCGACTTCGGCAATACAAACAGTCAAGCCTGTCTTTTTCGAAACGTATTCGGAAACGGGAATTTTATTGAATGCCTTTAGGGAATACACCAATTCGAAGTTTCCCATATAAATATTGGGTGTGCTATCCACTGGAGGCATATTGGAGCCTAAAATACACAAAAATAGAAGGATTTTTAGTTTTTTTCAAAAACTAATGGAAAAAAGGGTATTTACCTGGTAATTGACGAGTTTACGGTGAGCCTTCAAAGGCCGGCCTTCTCAAATTATCTTTTTTTTTGGAAGTGATTAATTATTTAGTAGTAGGAAGAAGGGGGGTGATGATTTGATTTGATTTTGATGTCAAATTTTTAGGGTTAAGTTAAGCAATCAATCTTCTTTGAGTTCTTTTTGCACAAATCGCCATTCTTTTTAGTATAGTAGAGTTTCTGTCCTTGTCTTTAGTCGTGATTAAAACAAGGACAGATATAAGCCACGAGATAAATAATTGACAACCATTTCTCAACAAAATCAAAATTCTTTGTTGTTATTTTTAAGCCAACCCAACATGTGGTCTAAAATTATTTAACAATAAATTATGCATTTAGCATTACCTTTTAACACAAGAACTATGGATTCTATAGATATTTGATTGCAGTAGCAAGAGGTCAGAAAACAGGTAGAATCCGAATTGATTTTGGAACAGCTGTTGGAAATTGATATAACCTCAAAATGGAGTCTTCGATTCCCATTTTCAGTGAGTATGTTTGATAATTTTGTTGCTGTATTTATAATAGATGCTTAGTTTTCTCATATTGAGAAACTTCTCAAGAAATATATTTTGCATTAATTAAAAATCACACTTGAGATATGGCATATTCATTCTGGGGCTGTTGTAGCCGTAGCCTTTATCGAGGCCTTTATGTGTTTTCTAGGCTGTTCACTGTTTGTTCTACATAAAAGAGCAGTCAGGTTTATGTTTGGTATAGATAGGAGAGATTCTTGCAGACCGATATTTTTAAACCAAAAAATATCTTGTAACTTTTCCTTCTATACATACAGGGTGTTTTCTGATTGAATGTGAATACTTACATATTTGAGGAAGCGATTTTTGGGTCTATTTCAAATAGAAAACTTCATATGAACGTATGTCCTAAACGTCTTAACTTTTGAGATACAGGGTGGTGAACTTTTCAAATATTTATTCAATTATTTATTTTATTTAAACCAATTCACCATTTATATTTTCAACAATTATATGTTCAGATGTCAAACAATAACATACACAAACTTAGCAAAAATAGGAGATATAATTTAATTAAAATCCCTAATTTAGGTATTTGGAATTTTCATATCTCACGCTCCAGGAACTCTTTCTCCATTTTATCAAACTGTTCAAGAAAGACATTAAATATATAAATATGCTATCTATTCAATGAACTAGCCATTCTGTTCAAAGGCGAGTTCAGTCCATAATTTTTTCTATGAAAACCAACATGCAACAAGGAGAAATTCCCACCAGTTCCAGCAATCTGGGACTATCCATACTATTATTCGCAAGTTTAAACAAGAATCTAACATTTAAGATAAATCTTCTATTTTCTAAGCAGTTGACTTGGCAGTTGATATAAGTTATCAATGTCCTTTTTTGGTATTTTAAGTTTGTAATTAACAATTCGCCAAAAACTTCCTTGTATCTTCTTCAGCATTTCACTGTACCTATTTAAAATAATCTAGATTCCAAACTGGATTGGCATTTTCAATAATAGAACGAACTAAGGAACAGCATAACAACTAAAAACAGTATATGTTCTCAATTTCCTCCAAAGTATGAGATATGAACCCCAACAATATCATTGTTGTAGCTGTTTTCAATGTAAACGTTAAAGTCAATTTTATGCTCATATAATACTCCAAGATCTTTGATTTTGTCGGCACTTTTAAGAACCATATTGTTGTCAATATCTTGCTGAATCTTAAGACAGTCTGTAATACCTATCTAGCATCAAAAAAAATTTGAAATCATCTGCAAAAAGTAAAAAAGTGGCATTTTCTATGCACTGACCTAAATTCATAGTTTTCAGAAATCTGAATCCTAAGGTTTATCTGGCAAAGTTCTTTAGCATTCGGCTATTCTTATTATGACCCAATAGGCTAAATCAACTTGAAATCACATTGTGCAGCTGACATCCAACAGCAAATCATAATTCAACCATTTCTCGCCGGCATTCGGTAGTGCCCCACTGCTACACTTACCTTAAATAGTATAATCGTGCAACAAATGGGATCCAGGACAACTATGGCATTAGGCTTCCCCAGGGCACACCAATTACCAGAAAGAAATAATCGAACCACGAATTGTTGTCCTGGATGTCAGTGAAACACAACTTCAATTGGTAAAAAATGGTAATCATTGAAAGAGGAAGTTATTGGAAACTTTCACAGCCAAATACTCAAAATCCAATGCCAAACTTGCTCAACTAGAAGCAGCTTACCAAAGTTCTGATTTCTGTACCTATCACCCCTGAACAACAATAGAAGGTAAATTCCTTTGGAAAGTTTATAAGTGCATAAAGGGATTTTTCTAGGACCTGTGGCGTGACTGAAGGGCAGGATCAGCAGGTTATCAATAGTTGTTGGTACTTACGAAAAACAATAATTTGTACACTACACTAATCACTTATGTATTAGAAAATTTGGTCAAGAATGCTCACTAAACTTGAGATGTTTTTATAATTATTATTTTTTTAATAGCTTATTCCTGCATGCTGAATAGTCTACTGCCGAATGACGAATATTAAAATAGATAAGAAAAGAATGAAAAAGCTTGTTTACATTACCCTGGTACCTTTTTTTTCATTACTTCATAGTGATGATTCATCAATTAGGTATATTGAGATAAATAAATACTTCTAAAATGCAGGAAAAATCAATTTCCTCCTTTGGGAGCCTCTGGCCCAAAACTCCATACACTAAATTATTCCTAGATATGAAGCCGAAATTTATGAAAAAAGGCACTCGGAAAATTGATAATTTCACCCCAAATTGCTTAACGCGATTTTATTTCTGGAACTATAAGTCCAAATGAGCTGAAATTTTCAGGAATTGTAGTCCCTCACTGGGATAAGAATCGCTGAAAATTTCAGCTCTCTATCTATAGAAAAAAAGTTATGACCTTTCAAAGTTTTCAGGAATCTAAATGATAAGGCAGCTACCTTAGTACTAAAATGATGAAATTTCAATTTTTTTTACGTTTAGATTTTGTGTCCTAATGATTCTTTGGGATCCCCCAAACTCCATACACTTAACTATTCCGAGTTATTATGAAGCCAAAATCCGAGCCAAAATCTAAGAAAAAAGGCATTTAGAAAATTGAATAAACTAGCCCCAAATTGCTTAACGCGAATAATGCGATTCTCTTCCTGCGACAAATTATTCACTTAATAAAACTTCTGTAGGAATATCGGGTGACGTCAGGCAGAAAATGTCACGGATCTCTCTAACCTTGGCCAAAAATATACATATTGAGTAGATAGGCGAGGGGCCGTTCCAAACCTTCTTACTACTTCATTGATCGTGAAATCCCCAATCATCTAAGCAAAGTCGATCACTTGATTTATAACAGTCCGATGCATGGTTTTCTTTAAAAAAATGTCGGATTGTAAAAAATCAAGTGATCAACTTTGCCTAGAAATGATTGGGAGTTTCAAAAATAATTTGGTGAAAAATAAAAAAAATGTGTATTAAAATATGCCTTGATACTAGCTCGGATACTAGTACCTATCTGCCCAGCGGTTCTGAGTCTACGGAAGGAATTCGGACGTAAATGTGCGATGTTGCCGCGTTTAATTATAAAAAAGCAAAAATACTAGGCATGAAGTATAGTTCATGTGAAAATCCATTTTTTTAAAACAAAATATAGATAACAATAATGAAACGCTAAAGACTCTAATGTGGTTGTTAGATCTATTCTTATTTTAATAACTGATTTCTTCAATTTCAATAAAAAATGAACATTTTCCAAAGATACCATCAGCTTTTGTCAATTTGGCAAGCATTCAGCCTGGATTAACCTGATTGGTAGAGTTTTTGGCAGAATTGCCATTGCCACGGGGAACCATGCGGTTGTCAGTGGGCTAACGTCACCTTAAGTCTTCCTATTGGCCAGGGCTCCTATCATTGTATCCTCCCATCTTGGAATATCGATTTATATTGAAATATCCAGTGGCGGGGATTTGGTCATTGTCAATTTTTGTGTACCAGTTGCAATACAATATTATATCGGGTCTTCAAAAAAATAACCAATCGAAGATTGCTTTGATTACGAAAACGTACGTCGCATTACTGTTTCTTTATTGGACAGGATTTTTGACATGACATTTTGACATTAAAGTTCATTGAGGAAATTAAAGAAAAATATTGCTAAGACATACGTTTCAAAAACCATAGCAATCTTTGATTGGTTTTTTTTTTTGAAGACCCGATACTTCCAAAAAGTTCCGCACGTAGCGGGGTATTTTATGAATGAAATCAGCCTTTTTTTCTACAACTGCATTCCCCTTACCGTTGCCCCGTAGACACAGAGTCGCTGGGCAGACATTACATGCCAATTTTCATTAAAATATCTAAGACAATAAAGAATTGAATTGAATTGAATAAATCATTCATTTTTGGAAACTTGTATCTCCCTACATCTCAAAACACGTTCATATAAAGTTTTCGACCAGATATTCAACAGACAATGCTTGACAGGTGAATCAATCCAAGTGACACTGTCAATTTAACATCAAAAGTTCCCCAACTTGATTTTTTTTATTTATTTTTTCGAAAATTTAATATTTATTTATCATAAGTACAGGGTGATCTATTATAAATGTCACCCCCTTTTAACTTTTTCATTTGACATTTTTGACAAAAGTGTCAAATACAAAAGTTTCAAGAAATTGTCGAAAGTTTTCAACTAAGTCAGTTTTAGGCATACAGGGTGCGTCAAAAAAGTTCAGCAGTGTGAAGTTATACCATTTTTTTGAATGGAACACCCTGTATATTGTGCGGTGCGCCTATTTGTTAGTCCCTGTTAACCTGATTTCAACAATATACAGTTTGATATGTCTATCTTCAATACTTATAGGGAAAAACATGAAAACCCCCTTCAAGATTTCATATTGAAAAATGAAAAATTATACAATTTAAGCTTTAGAGAATTTTTTTATAAACAGTTTATTGTTCAAATTTTTTTCATTAATATACAATGTGAAATATTTTAATAAATCCAGATGTCTAAGTTATTACTATTAATTTTAAAAAAATAACATGAGAGACCTAGGAATGGATTTTTGCATTTTTCCCTATAACTATTGGAGATAAACCGAGAGATAAACATATCAAACCATATATCGTTGAAATCAGGTTAGAGGGGACTAAGTCATAAATAAGCGCACAATATACAGGGTGTGCCATTTAAAAAATATAATTTCATGCTCCTGCACTTTTCTGACGCACCCTGTATGCCTAAAACTGACTTGGTTAAAAACTTTTGATAATCAGGCCTATGATGTATCATTTTCTGTTATTTTAACAGCAACGTTAAGTTATCTGTCACTGTTTAGTATTCTATGCATCAAAATAGAGACAGAAATAGATGTTGAGCCTTAACACAGCCGTTAAAATAACACGACAGGATACATCATAGGCCTGAATATCTTAAAACTTTTGTATTTGACACTTCTGTCAAAAATGTCAAATGAAAAAGTTAGCAGGTGGTGACATTTATAATAGATCACCCTGCACTAAGTAATAAATTACAAAATACAGGTAACAAATACCTCTGGACAGTGCTTAGGAGCAGGACAAATAATAACTATACCACTGGACAGCTTGTCTAGGTTAAATACTCACTAAAACTATACTTTTATACTTTACACGTTACACTATACTTTTCTATACAGGGTGGGGCACGAAAAACTTCCCACCCAAGTTTTCTCAGGTGTTAGGTGATTAATTAAAAATTGCTCGAACACGTCAATTTTTGTTTTTTTTGGCGACACATTTTATTGATATTTTCAACCCCCTACCTGTCAACCCCTAAGTGGGGGTGACAGGTAACCCCAAAATTTCAAATGAAAAGGGGGGTCGAGTGATACGTCATTTGATAGCTATTTTCAGTAAGATTATATCCCCGAAGCTTTAAGCTGCTACTATTAACTCTGTCGAAATGGCGGCTTGTCAAAGTTAGGAAAAATGCTGTGTAGATTTTACCTGTTACCTACGCATAGGTGTGACAGGTAAAAACTATACAGTTTAGATTATCGAAAAAAAGCATTTATCCTAACTTTGACATGCCGCCATTTCGGCAGGGTAAATAGTAGCAACCTAAAACTTCGGGGATATAATCTTTATGAAAATAGCTACCAAATGACATATCGACCCCTCTTTCCATTTGAAATTTTGGGGGTACCTGTTACCCCCACTTAGGGGTTGACAGGTAGGGGGTGAAAATACCAATAAAATGTGTCCCCCAAAAAACAAAAATTGACGTGTCTGAGCGATTTTTGATTAAACACCTAATAGCTGAGAAACTCTGGGTGGGAAGTTTTTCGTGCCCCAACCTGTATAATATCTTCTGGTATAAATAATAATTACTTAAGGTTAACAAATGATTGTAGCTGCTCCACAAAATTTTCATAACTTCTTATACCTATTTTTGATATAATATTTCTAATGGCACCACCCCTTTTGTGATACCTAAAATTTAATATTTTTTGAAAAAAATCTTGTGCAGGCGAATGTTATACTCAAAAATATTTAATTTCAGGTATCACAAAAGGGGTGGTGCCATTCAAAATTTTGAGTATTGGGTGCGTGGGGCCAAGGGTCATTCAACCCGTTAACCAAAATATGGTGGTGCTAGTTCCATTTTTGGAGTGGAATATTTTAACATTTGTTTTTTTGGGTTTTATTAAGGATTCAGTACATAAGCTTGCACTGTCCTAAACGCAGTACCTTATCTAGTTTCCAGATTCACAAGTTCCTGTAAAGGTCTTCCGTGCGAGTTAATCGGTTATAATTAAATAAAATGTTTAATATTTTATTCTGCAAAACTTGCATCAGATTTAGGTTCACTACTCCACAGGTGCCCCAAACAGAAATGAGATATCTGAAGTGCATAAAAAAGAAAGCACTGTGTATATTAAGCTTAGTATTATAAAAAAGGTAGTTTCTATTTTTATACAGTACACTGATTATTGGTGTTATTTTACTAGAAATATATTTAATGTGTTACGACCAACTGATTCCATTGTCAATAATAAGTCCTAGGTTTTTAATTTTTGATACATGTTGAATACCTACATTGTTTAGTTTTACATTTGAACAGTCTTGTTTTTCTGCTTAAACAACATAAATTTGATTTTATTAACATTAAATTTTAATTTATTTAACAATAACCATAATCAGCACACAACTTCAGATCACCATTCGAGCAAGCAGATGGAAATTTCTATTTTTTTTACCGAATTCTATTTTTTACTGTACTGTACAAGAAATTTTACAAGTGCATTTCTTGAACACTTTCCTCAAAAAATGTAAAACGTCCCTGAGCATCCTTTTTTGGAAATATAATTTTCTCCAAAAATTAGATTAACATACATTTGCCTTACCTTACAATACAATATTTGAATATAGCTTCAACAGCAGCTGCGAAGCTTGATTCTACCATGTTTCAACAAGACAGCGTGCAAAAATCCAAACCTTGAAATAGAAAATTTTGGTGAATTATTGGAATTTGAAAATAATAAAGAAAATTCGAGAGCCTGGAATAGACAAGAAAATGAAAAATAGAGCGGAAATAGTTCGAAAAAAATTGAAGACCCTTAAGCGCCTAATTTCAACAATTATTTATTCGCAAATTTTGTCAGTCACCCTCTATATTATTATGTGTTTTACTTCAGCTAGAGGATCTGCTGGAATAACATCAATTTCCGGTCCACCGAGCTTGAAACGATTTGATGAATTTCCACCAATCAACAACAAATCGTGCAGAACCATACTTTTCAGCCCTGATGGGTCTTATTTCGCCTATACCAGTGCCTCAAAGTAAGTTTCTAACAAAAATTGAAAAAAAAAAACCTCATTAGTCTATTTTCAGTATAAATATTTTGGAAACCGAAAAATGGCGTCCAATAGCAACGATCGAAAACACAAAGGCATATCATTTAGCTTTTTCGCCTCAGAGTACGTTTTTAATGACCTGGGAACCTTTTACCGTTAGCAATGCTAACCCGCAAGGAACTCCTAATTTGAAAATTTACAAAACTCAAGGGGGAGATTTGGTCAAGAGCTTCACTCAAAAGAAACAAGTAAATTGGGAGCCTCAATGGAGCAATGACGAAAAACTATTCACGAGACTTGTCAATAATGATGTAGTGTTCTATGAGGATTTAAATTTTGAAAGAATTGTAACTAGAATAAGCGGCTTGAAGGTGGTTTCTTATAAACTATCTCCAAATGTTGGCACTTATTTTATTTTGTGTCATACTTTGAGTGCTCAACCACCATCATTTGGAAGGTAATAATAAAGTCACTTTAAAATGTCTTTGTAATTCAATATTTCTCTAGGCTTTTTAAATATCCTAACTTTGACATTCAGCAAGCTGTTGCTAGCAAAAGCTTTTTTCAAGCTGACACTGTTGAGGTTCTATGGAATTCCAAAGGCAATAATGCCTTATTGCTTACTTCAACTGAAGTAGATAAAACTGGAGGTTCATATTATGGCAAACAAGGGTTACATTTTATTGGTTTGAATGGACAAACTGCTATAGTGACTATGAGTAAGTCAAAAACTATTTTAAAAAAATAAGTAGCATCTAGGAACTTATTTTCAGATAAAGAAGGTCCAATTTATAGTGTGGAATGGTCACCTAAAAACCAGGAATTCTGCGTCATTTACGGATTTATGCCAGCAAAAGCCACACTTTTTAATTTAAAATGTGAACCCATTTTTGAACTAGGTACTGGGGCTAGAAATGCCATTTATTATAATCCTCATGGGAATATTTTGCTTCTGGGAGGTTTTGGAAACTTGCGTGGACAAGTTGAGATTTGGGATGCTGTAAACAAGAAGAAATTGGGTAAACTTTCAATAGATTAACAGTTTTTTTGTTTTAAATTGGACAATTTTTTTGCTCTAGGTAGTTGTGAAGCATCAGATTCCACTCTCCTTAGATGGTCAGCAGACGGTGAACATTTTCTATCAGCCACCACAGCTCCCAGATTAAGAACCGCTAACGGTTTCAAGGTGTGGCATTATTCTGGTTCTTTGCTGTATGAAACTCACTGGCCTCAAGGTGAAGAGTTGTACGATGTTGTTTGGAAGCCCGCTCCTAAATTGGCATTTAAAGAACCGCAAATCACTAGTAAAAAAGTTGAAGGTATAGCTCCGAGCCAGCCTCAAGCTTCAAAAGAGGCTTACAGGCCTCCGTCTGCTAGGAACCGTCCAACGGTTAACTTTAAGTTGCACGATGATGATGAAGAAGCTCATAGGGTAGGTAAGTTACCAATAAAATAAAGTTATTTTGAAGCTTTTCTTTGATGCAAGTAGTTTTAACATAGTTTTTTTCTAGGATCAAATAATGCTCCTTCTAAGGCAGCCTTGAAAAACAAAAAGAAAAGAGAAGCTAAAAAATTGAACCAAAACGAAGCAGGCGAAGGTAAAACAGCTCCGGTTGTTAGTAGTGTACAAGTGGCACTTACAGGAGACCCAGAAACTGACAAGAAGTTGAAGAATATCAAAAAGGTGGGATTTTGATTTATTTCCATTATTTCTTTTACGAAACGAAATTCGTGTTTTAGAAACTTGATGCCATTGAAAAACTTAAACAAGAGCAAGCTTCCGGAAAAACTTTGGAGGCGAATCAGTTGACAAAACTCAAAGGGGAAGCTGATTTGTTGAAAGAGCTGCAACAACTGACTCTTTGAGAGGCCGTTTCAACTTAACTAAACGAATGTTATGTTATGAATAAAGAAAATTTAATTTCAGACAGGTTTGTTGCACTCGGTTATTAGACCAAAAAAAACGGATGAGATATTCAATCTTTATGATTTTTGTTCTGAAAACCGAGGAGTGTAACATGGTTTTTATTTTTCTTCTCCTCAGTTTAACAACCTTACCATATATAGAAACTCCCAGCCAACTCATAAAATTTATTCGGATATTTTGAAAAAATCCATGCATGATAAGAAGGCAGAAGTTTTTATTTTTTTGAGTTAAGTTCTAATGAGCAAATATAGTATAATGATAGTATATTTAATAATATTACCTTGCATTTTTTGGGACTTACACCTCAATTGATATTAATTGATAGTATATTTTGTGTCAATGGAAGTATGTAAAGACAAGGTTAAAATGATAATTGCTCTGATGATTAATTTTTGTAATAAAAGTACATATTGTGGGAAATATACCGGCAACCGGTGCAGTTGGCACCTTCAGTAAAGGTGTACATGACCAGTATTATGAGTGTCATGAGAAGAAGGTAGATTAGCAACTGAAAAACAGTTGTTCAAGAAGAAGATAACTACGAGGGTGCACAACGACGGCCCGAAAATTACGTCGACACAAAGAAGTGTAATGACTACGTTTATTTAATCCATTTTTGTAATAAAGTACGAAGTTAGAAGTTAGTGTTCAAGTTAAAAGTTGTAGTTCCAAATAATTGAAATTACCAAAAACCCAAGTTCTGCACGCAATACCCAATGGCAAAATAGGAAGTACAGAAAATGTATTGAAAATTGAAACGTTATTCAAGAGCCAGAAGGACCATAAGTCATGCGGCTAATGCGATGCGAGGTTAGAGATTATAGGGAGGGTAGTAAAACAAAACATCTTCTTTTTCTTCATTACATCGGGAGAATATGATCGTTTGTAATGAACTATCGAAGTGATATCGACATCAATTTTAACATTCTGTAGAAATTGAATCGGAACTTCCATTCGACAAAAAGGGGAGACATAATTAGCTATCCGACGTTTTATACAGGTTTTTAGACGATATCTCGTAGAACCTATCCAGTTTATATTCTACAGAACGCAAGTTGCAATAGGTATTGCCAGTATGTGCAAATAGAATTCAGATAGTTCCTTAAATTATAAGTGTCTCTTAAATCTCCTGCGGTCGACTCAACGTAATATAACAAAAGAACAGTCATGAGACATTTCAAACTCGCAATTAGAATTCTTCAGTACCTACTTCTTTACAATGTAACATAACAAAACCTGCAGTGGATTTAGGAAGAAAAACGCAAAACTGCCTGTAGATGTTTCGTGCTTGCTGAGTCTCATGGCATAACTCGCAAATACTAGAAAAACGTCATAACCAAACGCTTGTAGATAAAACTGAAACTATATCTGAGAAAATCAAAACTACAAATGTTGAACTGAAAATAATTGTCAAGTGTTAGAAGAACCAATTTATCACAATCCTAGACTCTTACCTTATCCTGAAAGAGATATAGTGGATATACAATAAGTAGAAGAATGGTTGGAAAATGGAATAAATGAACCATGCACATCTGAATTGTAGAAGCCAAGTGGTAAAAACAAGGAAGAAAGATGGTTCGCAACGTGTATGTATAGATTTTCGGCGTATCAACAAAATTTTCATTCGTTACCCTTGTGAATATTTTCAACGATTGATTTGAAAAATGGATTTTTTCATGTGAGCTTGGAGCCATGCAAACAGTAGAAAATATACGCCATTATTACATACCTACAATACATCAATGGTCAGTATCAATTTAGAAAAGTTTTTGTTGGTCTATGTAATTCTACAAGTGTTTTTTTCAAAAATTCATAAATCAGATGTTTAAACCATTATGGATGATTTGATTATTCCATTCCTGCGGAGGATGTACATAGGGGAGGGTGCGGGCCACGTTGAGACAGTTTTTACTTTTTTGGGGATAAAATTGGTAACTTTAATTTTTTCGCTTCAGTTTGAGTGAGCCTCATAATCTTTCATCTTATTGCACACATTTTTTGAATAAAATATTAACACAATATTATTTATTTAATTTTATAGAGGAATCCAAAAAATCTGATTTTGTCTCAAGGTAGCCCATGAGGTGGGCCCGAGGGTGGGCCACTTTGAGACATACATAAAACCCGAGAAAAAAGAAGAAAAATAAGGTTTATTCAAAAATAATATCGTAACGACTAACGAGGGCGGTAATATAACTTTTCTTCATTATTATTTTGTGTTTTTTCAACATATCTTGCAAATGTTTGATGTTTCACGTTGTTTTTCTCTGCTGCATTACTTAGAAGCATAATTTATGTTTAATCTTATCTTCGACATCCCTTTCTATTGATTCGGCACTATACAGGCCTTTTTGAGATTTTCTCTTGGGTTCCCGTGACATGTTTTGAACAACTCAACATTTGAGACATGTCTCAAGGTGGCCCAAACTTCGTGTCTCATTGTAGCCCATGGTAGGTCTGAGTTACAAACCGCAATATTTTGGTAAAACGTGAAAAAGCGACTCGTAATATACATAAACAATGAAATTAATTTCCACCTGTTGTGTTGGAAGCCTCAGAAAAAATTGAAAAAATATTATTGGGAACGATTGATGAAGTACTGAACTTACAGCAAAAGAAATTTCACCATGGCGAAAACAAATCGAAACCGGCAAAAAAATATGGGGCGCATACGTGCAGCTTCTCTGGCAACAGAAATAAAACTAACATGTTTAATACTTGATGTACTGTGAAATGGAGACAAATAGCCTACGTTATTAAAAAATAATGGCGACTGTCTCATGGTAAACGCGTCTCATGGTGGCCCACCCTCCCCTACGCTATCGAAAAATTGGAAATTGTATATAAATACATATAAAGACTATAGGCTTGAAATTAACAAAAAAATAGTTAAGTTTTTGAAAACAAAAATTGAATTTTTAGGTCATCATATTCAAAATGGTAAGTTATATCCGTTAGAATTGAAAACTAAAGCAGTTTTGAATTTTCCAGAGTTATCATTGAAACAAGTTGAAAGTTTTCTTGGTTTAACTGGTTATTTTAGAAAGTTTATTAAGGATTATTCCCTTATTGCAAAACCATTGAGTGACCTTTTGAGGAAAAATAGTAATTAAATTTGCATGGGAGGATAAGGAAAAGACAGTCTTTATTCATTTAAAACGAATAATGGCGGAAAAGCCATCAGTTTTGCCTATATTTTTACAAGGTGTTGAACCCGAGAGACATAGATACTGTAGTACGCATCAAAATATGGTTATGGTGCAATATTGCTACAAAGTTCGTGACGATATGCAACCTTTCTTTTGCTTGGAAATTGCATATTACCTATTTAAAAATATATTATGATCAGAAATTAATTAAAAAATCAAGTCAATAAAAGTTTACATTAGGTAACATCCTTTGTCTTTGTGTTAAAATTTCAATTACACACACAACATTCAATCAACACTACCTATATTCAATACTGAAGAGTTTTTGGTTAGTTAGCCCATCTGTGGCAGGTACTGAGGTCCCTGGTTACGTAAACTCACAGCTATAGTTGTTTTTGAGCCAATATCTCTAGATTGATTATTTCAATTTGTTAGGAATATTATGATATTCTCTCGTCAGGGTAGGAAAATGTTAGTAAATTCAACAAGGCACTAATACACGCTCTAAATCCACAAAATCGAAATCTCAGCACAAAAAGACAGCACATAATTTCTTAGGCTTTAATTCACTTCTTTATCGGTGTTGTTTACAGCATGAACAATGCACATGTTATAAAAAAAATGTTATAAACAAACAAAAAAAACATAAAAATGGAAAAAATGATACTTGTATAAATTGAACTCTCACAAACAAAATAATAATTATCTAACTTACCTGGTGATCGCTCCTTGACACACACACTAATAACAAATTGGATTGAACAATCAGTTTTTTGCAAAATTAAAATAAAAAGTGAATGTTGAATAATTACAGACACGCGATACGCGTCTAACGGACCAGCCTCAGCTTGTTCTCTAGTCTCTCTAATGCCTAATCGCCTCTTCTCTAGCTCCCGTTCGGTTTGGTACCCTTTCAGTGCGCTTCACGGCGCATACAAGGTGGCAACATTCATTTTTATTCAGTAAACGGTTTTTAAAAAAAGTTAAGATTTGAAGAAATAATATTTTAAATAGGTGGTTTTCCTCAGTACGTACTCAAAACGTAGTTTCGCATCCCCGACGAACCGACGTTAAAAGGACCTGACATATACGTCTTCAGTACGTACTGTGTTTGTTGGGCTACATCCAGTTCATTACATTAGTAGGAAAACTAACGACGCTGAGCAGATATACAGTAGTTATGAGTTAGAAGTTGTTGCCATAATAGAAGCGTTAAGGAAATCTAGAGTGTATTTATTGGGATCGAAATTCAAAATAGTAACTGAGTGTTCAGCTCTCACAAAGACTATGGAGAAAAAAGATATATCAACAAAAATAGCAAGATGGGCGTTGTTGATCGAAGAATTTGATTATACGATCGAGCATCGATCAGGAACCTGGATGCGACATGTAGATGTATTATCAAGATACCGGATTATGGCCATACAAGACGTCCAAGACGAAAAAAATCTAGTCACAAGAATCAAAAGTGCACAAGCAATAGATGAATAATTAAAAGCTGTTGAGAAAATTTTGTGTGAAAAGTCCTATAAAGACTATATATTTTGAAAAGCCTTATAAAGATTATATTTAGTACAAATAACAAATTATTGACTGGAAGTGAATTGTTAGTTATTCCTGGAGCAATGCAGAACGAAATTATAAGAATGATATATGATGATGATATTTTTGCAGCGAAGAAGACAGAAGAAGCTCTAAAGCAGTATTACTTTATTCCAAAAGTGAAAAATGTAAAATAGAAAAAATAATATCTTGTTGTGTTCCATGCATTCTCGGAAATAGGAAGAAAGGTAAACAAGAAGGCTTTTAACACCCATTAGAAAAAGATTATATACCGCTAAATTCCTACCATATAAATCATCTAGGTCCACCAGAGTCGACCAATAAAAACTACAAACACGTCTTAACTATTATAGATAGTTTTACAAAATTTATATGCCTATATCCCACAAAATCAACTACTTCGAGTGAAGTAATTAACAAATTAGAATGTCAAAGCAACCTTTTTGGGAAACCCTAAAAATCTCGTATCAGATAGAGGTCTGTGAAGAATTTCAGAAGTACTGTAAGGCAAACAAAGTTAAGCATCATACAGTAACAAGTGGAAAACCTGAAAGTAATGTACAAATTGAGCGAATAAATACTATAACTGCAAACGTGTCAACTAAACTTTCCAAGGACGATCCAACAAAATGATACAAACATGTATAGAACCAGTTCAGAAAATGATAAAGTCTAGTTATCAGAGAGCCATAAGCATGAAGCCATTTGAACTTATGTTTGGAGTGAAAATGAATAAGCCAGGGGATCTAAACATTAAGAAAATGATAGAAGAAGAAACCATAAAAATATTTGAAGAATCTAGAGACGAATTACGGAAGACAGCAAAAGATCAAATAAAGAAGATACAGGACGAAAACAAAGCTTACTATGACAAAAAGAGGAAAGAGCCAAAATATTATGAAGTTGGGGAGACTTATGGGTCAATTCTGTGCACATCTGTAAGCAATTGTATAAATTTCTATAAGCCTATAGCTGCCTAAAAACAATTTATAATTCTGCACTTCCTGTAGATTACAGAATATATTATAGGATCGTAAATATTTCCCATGGAGTTTTTGGCAATCGATGCGTTTTGCAGTGCCTATAGGCTTATAGAAATTTATGGATTTGCTTACAGATGTGCACAGAATTGACCCGTTAGTAGCCCTTAAACGAACTCAACAAGCGCCAGAGCTCAAAATGAAGATAAAGTTTCTAGATCCCTATGAGATAATCAAAGTAAAGGAGAACAACACTTACGATGTTATGAAGATTGGTTGTCATGAAGGGCCCGTGAAAACATCTACATGTTCTGAGTTTTCAAAACCATGGATAAGCTACGATGATGATGACCATGATCCAGACACAGCTTATCCAGACATGGAAGAAGACGAAATAACATCGGGGGCCGATGTAACTCCAGGACGACCGAGTCGTGGAAAATATACCAGCAACCGGAAAGCTACTATTTAAGCTATACATTTTCAAAAGTTGAATTGATGAAAACAAAAAAACACAAAATCGCCACCATCAATGTTCCTTACCTAATTTAATTTCATATTATCATCATACGAATATAAAATTTTCACTTATACTCTAGGAACTAGAAACTGCAGTAGGTATTCATATTTTGTTCAAAAACCACTGGAAATTTATTAAGATCCCTTGATCGCACTAATCTGCGAATGCGAGAATAAAACAAGACACATAGGACTTGGGTAGGTACAGAGACAATGTTGAAACTATATAGTCTTAAGAAGGCAGGATAAGATTTTTCCGGAAAAATAATACTTGTAGCTTGAGAAATAAAAATAATTTTAATTACCAAAATTAGTTTGATTAGCTTGTTTTAGTACGAAACTATATATTTACTTTTCACACTAGGTAGCTTATGAATACCTACATGGAACACATTACCAAAAGCTACAGCTCAGTCAGTAGTCCACAGCTCTGGTAGAAACAGATAAACGTTGAAAAAATCTAAACGTAATTAGGTTTCAATTGAAGCCAAATAAAATCTCTACAAATCTCCTGTGAATGATTTCAATCCAGCTTCAATAGTTTTGCAGCTGCAAAGCTTTAAAGTTTTTTGACTGATTTTTATCAGGAAAATGACACTAACATACATTTTGCCTCACAACTTTGTTAATTTTAATCCGATCTTAACGTAATTGGGCTTTAATTAAAGCCAATCAAATTCTTTTCATCCAGCTTCAAGCATTTTGCAGCTAGAAAGGTGGCAATTTTAATGTAATTAAGCTCAAAATTTACGAATAAAAAACAATTCAAGATCCTGTAATAGACAAAAATTTAAATAAAATAAGGCGGAAAATTCTAAATTTCCAATTTTAAAGTCTGGAAACTCGTGTAAAAGGCCCTTATTGCCCTTGAATTACTCGAAAATACAACTTCCATAACCAAAATGGAACAATATTAGAAACAATTTTTCCCAACCTATATTATGAATCTGGAAGTTGTTCTGGGAGGCTCAAAATCAATCTGTAAGTCTTAGATATTCTAGAGGCAGAATCAAACATCTTTTCCTCTGGAAGAACTAACCCAAACTAAAAACATTGGAAAGGAATTTTTTCCCAATTTGATTTTTGTCCCTGGACATTGGAATTGAAGAACTCACTTCCAACAAGTAGGTAAAGGCTTTTAAGATTTCATAGTGTCCAAAATGAAAAAAAAAAAAAAAAAAAACTAGACAACAAACAGTAAAAGGTAAAATCTTACCACATTGGGGGTCCAGGTTTCTTTGAAGTTCTTACCATGACTTTACATAATTCTGGTGTTTTTTCCAGATTCTTTCCTCACAAATCTTGTATTTAACAAAAAGTTTATAATTTAAGTTTCTTGTTGTGGAAAACTTTTATTTTCAATAACTTAAGTGTGCCAATAGTAACTTCAATAAGCCTAATTTCCACACCACCCTTAAGGTACGAGCTGTCGGTGCTTTTTTTAAGTGGTATCCCCGGTAGGCCTAGTCCACTCGAAACTACACTTGTACAGCCAAAACCGTCAACTATCCATTAATTCAAACTTCACTCGCCGGCTACGAAGGCACCACTGTAAACGCTTACCATAAATAGTATATTAGTGCGACAAAAGGGGTCCAGGACAACTATGGCATTAGGCTCCCCCGGGGCTTCCCTGCCTTGAAGATTCAGTCGAATCATGAACAGTTTTTTTGGAATTGCCACATATGTAATTTCACCTTTCACCTGGAAGTCCATGTCCACCATTTCCAGTCATTTGTGGCCATCTCCAGAGCGAGAACCAGTTTGCAAGAGATGCTGTCATGTTTTGTTGGGAAGAAGGAAACCTGACTGACCTTGCAGTTGTAGAAGAAAATCGAAAAAATGACTCGAGAAAGTAAAAAACTCCAAGCAAAAATCAAAGCTTTTCGTGAGAAGTAGGTATTTAGTACCTACTTAGACATGTTTATAAATGCCTACTAGTATACCTATTCTATTTTTAAATAAACTCATATTTAAATAAAAAATTACCCACTTTATTATTAAATATTCGTAAATTTTGATTCCATTCCATTCGAATGCATGTATTCCGCACTTTTCGATCAGTTCGATCATAACAAATCACTAATTGAAAATTTATTAAAGATTGCGAAGATAAGATTAGGCATCTTATTTTGTCTGAAAATTTGCCTCTTAAGAGTACCTACTTGGAATTGTAAATTTATTAAAAATTAAGCCGAAATATATTGTAAATAAATTGCGTCCTCTCTTAAGATGACTGGGCCTAATATTCATTATCTTCAGTCAATAACATTACAAGCAGATGTATTACTCAACATCTATATATATATAAGTTAAATTATTTCATTTTCAATCTTGAACTTTAGCAGCAATGTTGTTTTCGGTAACGCAAGTTTTAATTTCTTTGGCGGTAGTTTTGCTAAGCTTTTTAGCTTATTTTTACTCGGACGTTATAAGAGCAAGAAGAAAATGTGATTGGTTACCGCATGCACCCAGAATACCATTTTTGGGGTGCGTTTTGGAGTTTGGGGCCTTAACTGGTAAGTACACAACATACCTAGTGTATGTATCAATCCTATTAGAATAGTTTTTTGTATCTAACTATTCTAACTAATAATAACCCAATGCATTTTCAGAAATCTTCAATACTCTTACAAGACTCACAAACAATTCAAAGAAAATGGTTTATGTGGAATTAGGCAACAAATGGACAATATTTGTTAAGAATTATGACTTAACAGAGTTCATATTGTCGTCATCTTCAACCAACATTCTAAACAAATCTATAGATTATGATAACTTTCTTCCATGGTTGGGCACTGGATTATTGATTGCTCCAGGTAAAATACTAAATTTTGTTGTAAATTGATTAAATCTCATTGGTTTGGTTTAGGTCCAAAATGGAGGAAACGTAGGAAGATCATAACGCCAGCGTTTCATTTTTCGATTTTGGAACAATTTGTGGATATTTTTGAGTCAAACTTGCAAGTATTGATCAAGATATTGGAAAAAGAGGCTATGGATAAACCGGGAATCGATATTTATGAATACGTTACCGCTTGTGCTCTGGATACTATTTGTGGTAAGATTTATAATGGGAAACTAGTTGAATACTAAAGATACATTGTAATTTTTTTTCAGAAACTGCCATGGGAGTAAGAATCGAATCACAAAACAATAAAAACCAAGATTACGTATTTGCGGTAAAAGATTTTTCCAGAATTGCAATGGCTAGGGGCTTTTCCATTTGGAAAGGTAAAGATATCCTGTTCAAATTAACCAAAGACTATAAGAAGCAGGAAGAAAATCTAAAAATCATGCACGGATTCACGAATTCGGTTATTAAAAAGAGGAAAGAAGAATTGCAAAATAATAAAAACCTTGAACAATTAGAGGAAGATAGTTTGGGCAGAAAGAGGAAGTTAGCGTTTTTGGATTTGTTGCTGAATTGTACTGTCGATGGTCAGCCATTGAGTCAAGAGGACATTGAAGAAGAAGTTAATACTTTTATGTTTGAGGTAGATTACAGAATTTTATTAAATTAATAGGATTTTATAAGAAAATTATTCTAGGGTCACGATACTACAGCATCGGCTATATCATCTGCATTGTTCCTATTGGCAAACCATCCAGATGTTCAAGTAAGTAATTTCTTAAACCTTTTTGAGAAAATTAAATGAAGCAGAAACATTTTTGACTGAGAATGGGTTATCTCAGGCTAAGAAACTTATATTTTAAAATTTTATTATTTTTCTAGAAAAAAGTGCGGGATGAACAGAGAGAAATTTTCGGCGAAAATCGAGACAGACCAGTAACTTTCCAGGATTTTCGAGACATGAAATATTTAGAGCTCGTAATAAAAGAAACCGTAAGGATGTATCCATCAGTGCCTTTAATAGGAAGATTAGCTACTGGAAATATTGACTATAAAGGTAAAGATTCTTTTTTGTTGCGTCTATTTTGTTCTTTAAGTATGATTTTTTCAAATTGGCAGGTCATATCATTCCTAAAGGATCCATGATAACTTTATTCATTTACGGAATTAACCGTGATCCTGACTACTATGAAAAGCCTGAAGAATTTAATCCTGAAAGATTTTTGGATTCAACTGGCAAACTTCCATATTCGTATATACCTTTTAGTGCTGGACCAAGAAACTGTATTGGTGAGTATCCACTAGTATTTTATTGTGTTAGTTGGGTAAATTAAACAAATTATTTTTAGGACAAAGATTTGCAGTTTTGGAAATGAAGAGTGTGATATCGGGCATAATCAAAAACTTCGAGTTGTATCCAACTGATCCGCCTCACAAAATGGTGGTGTCACCCGAAGCAGTATTGAAATCTGTAAATGGTGTTATGGTTCGAATTCAGAGACATAAATGGGAATAAACACAATTATACACCTCTGTAAATATTATGGGTGCTCACTTGAAACCCGCAATATATCCCTATATAATGATGCATGAAAAAAAATACTTCTTGAGGAATATTTTACTCCAGAAAAGGTATTTGCGGCTTTCAGAGAAGATTATAACAGATTCAGAATTAGTTAATTCAAACAATTGGAAGCTTCGATTTAAGTACTTAAGACTGGGTGGGCCAGGAGTCAAAAAGTTGAAGATGGTTCCAGGGCCGATCCTAGGATATCGGCCGCCCGCGTGCAAAGAAGAACATTTGCGCCGCCCCATATAGATATAGCACCCTTACGTAGGTACCTGTGGTCAAAGATTTTTTTTTGGTGCCCCGCTCAAAAGCTTTCATTTCGAGCCTCAAAGTGAACGTTTTTGGGCGTTTAGGGTTGAAAAAAACTTTTACATACATATCAACATACTTGTTTTCTATAAGTTGTTTGAATGCGGGTGAGCGGTGATCAATAATGACAAACACTATCCTAAACTAAGTAGGACTTGGCTTGGGCCTAGGTACGAGAGTGAAAAATAGGGCCCTTTGGAAAGTCAAGACACTACAGTCCCTAGTCGTAATACTTACCCACGGTATAACATACCCACCTGCATTTGGAAGTCTTTGGTATAGTTTTTTCAAAGTTAATTGGAACCAGGTGAACATAAATTATAACTGGTGGCTGACTAGTAGCAGTGCATTTCTTATGGAAATTCTCAGTGACTAGTCAGCCACCAGTTGGTATACCGTGTTCCAATTGAGTTTGGAAATACTATACCAAAAAAGTTGGTAATATTGTTAGTGGGAGTATTCAACTAGTTCTGTTGAACGGTTAGTAATTATTCTTGCAGAATTAGGTGAATCGGGAACAAAAATAAACATTTTGAAAAATAAAGCAGAAGTAGGTATTTGGGAAATATAAAAAATTATGCGATCTTATGATGGATGTGTACCTATAGAGTTAAAACATTATTATGCGTGAGCCTACACATTGACTGTGCACTAAACTTTCTATTTATGCTATCAGGAGATCAGGGTTTATTTTCATTTTTCAGGAGTTTTTTGAAGTTCAGCTTATTTCTTTATTAGAAGTAGTTTCATTTTGAGAAATTCGTTAAAAGTTTTACTTGAATGGCTTGAAGTTAAAATCAGCAATTTTAGGTTCCTAGTGGCTTGTGTATATAGAAAAAAGCCAAAAACAACCGTAGAGCTTAACTTAGGACTGATACGAGCTATTAAAAGTGCTATGACATTAAAAGAGCCTGTCTTTATCATGGGAGACTTCAATTACCCTGAAATCACCTGGGACAAACTAGTAATTCATCCACACAACCAGTGCAGTTATGACTTCCTGGAGAGTTACAAAAACCACAGAGGACACCAACATGTTAATTTCCCAACAAGAATTAGAAATGCCCAGCAATCACTTCTAGACTTACTTATAACAAATGAGAAGAAACTAATTTTCGATATTCACCAACATGCACCGCTGGGAAAAGGTGACCATGTAGTATTTACAGCCACAACGCAATTTCAAGTTATAACTCAGCCAACTCACAAGGTTTACAAGAGACAGTTCTGGAAAGCTGACTATGATGCTGTCAACAACTCACTCCAGCAAGAGTTACATAAGGTAGCAAATCAAACAAATATTGACACCTTTTACGAAGCAATAAACAGATCAATCAACATAAACATACCAATAAGATCTCAAAAAGTTAACAAGCAAAAACTGTGGCTGACTAAAGAAGTACCTATTTAAAGAGATCCAGCTAAAAAGAAATCTGTGACATAAATATAAAATATCCAAAACTGAAGATAACTATCAGAGGTATCAACAACAAAACAACAAAACTAAAGCGTGCAGAGGGCAAGAAAAACTTATGAACATAATCTACTGACAAACGACAAACAATTATATGCATACATAACTCGCACCCTCAACTCCAAGCATAAAAACTTTAACATAATTGATAATGCAACCCAACAACCATTTGAGACAAACCAAGAAATTGCAGAATGCTTTCCAGAGCAATTTGAAAGCGTATACACATTACTGGATCAGAACACAAATAAACCCACACTTCCCTTGGAAACCTACTCCAGGACTGAAATTATCAACATCATATTCACAGCAGAAAAAGTCGAAACCGTCATCACATCGCTGAAACCAAACTCTAGTCCAGGGCCTGATGAGATCACACCAGTTTTTCTCAAGAACTGTGTATGTACAGGTGCTGAAAGAGCCTTTGTCCAACTTGCTTAACACCATAATGAGCACAGGAGATTTCCCTTTAGCCTGGAAGAGGGCTGTGGTAACACCAATATACAAGAAAGGAAACAAACAGCATGCAGAAAATTATAGACCAATCAGTCTAACAAGTGCACTACGTAAATGCATGGAAAAAATAGTAGCCAAAGAACTCACTGATTTTCTACTTGAAAATGTTTTACCTGCTGAACAACATGGCTTTCTCCCAGGAAAATCAACATTAACAAACCTGCTAACCAGACTAAATGAGTGGACCCTGGCTGACGACAACCATAAACCAATTGATGTCATTTACCTTGATTTTGAAAAAGCATTCGACAAGGTGCCAACAGAATTTTTGCTTTATAAATTGGAACATTTTGGAGTTAGAGGTAAATTTCTGAGGTTGTTGGAAGGCTTTCTCACTGTACGTACCTTCCAAGTACGTGTGGATTGTACGTGTGGATTCCTCACTTTCAAAGGAGCACAAAGTATACAGCGGTGTTCCTCAGGGTTCAGTCCTTGGCCCGCTGCTGATTATAACTTACATAAGTGATCTCTATCAAGGGCTTCACACGAATAATGCGACATTTGCTGATGATGGACACCTACCTATACACAAATCCGCTGCTACATCAGGTTGAATTACAAATGAACCTTAACAACATTAAAGCTAGGACACATAAGTGGGGGATGCCTCTGAATGATTACAAATGCACTGTCCTTCATATTGGTCAAAACAATCCCAATTTCAACTATTTCTTTGAACAAACGGAAATAACACCAGTAACGAAACAATGAGACTTAGGAGTCACTTTAACATATGACCTGAAATGGGATACACGTATCACACAAATGTCCAAAAAGGCTAATTCAATGATCTACCTTATTCAGACAGCCTTTAAAGACTTATCAAAGGAAATGATCTTGAAACTTTACAAGTCGTATGTAAGACCAAAACTCGAATATGCCCAAACGATCTGGAATCCATACTAAATTAAAGACATAGAACAGATTGAGAGAGTTCAAAGAAGAATAACCAGATTACCGCAGGAACTTAAAAATCTGTCCTATGAGGAATGGCACCTGAGATTGAACCTCAACAACTTTAAGAGACAGGAGAATCAGAGGTGATCTCATTGAAATACATAAAATACTCAACGGTCACTATGCCTGTAGCCTGAGAGACATCTTCCACCCAAGCCACAACATAAATCTGAGAGGACACGATCAAAAGCTTTCTAAAGAAAGATGCAATAAGCTCCTGAGGAGGAATTTCCTTAAGAATAGAGTTGTTTACAATTGGAACCGCCTGAGCGCTGAGACCATAAACTCTACCTCCAAAAATCAGTTTAAGAATCGCCTCGACCAGGAAATGACAATCTGGGCCCTAACCTCCTTTGTGCACTACTGTCTATAGACCATACAATCAAAACTAAGAATGCGATAGCTGTCTAAACAAATACGGCAGTCTCATCGGTTTTTCTTTAAACCGCCTACTGCTGTTAACAATAATAATAATAATAATAATACGAAAATACTTTCTTGATAAACAAACATCTCTCCACCAAGCGGTGTGCAAGGCAGACAAGAACTATACGCCACTCGATCTATCCACAACCAGCCATTCGGCGGATACCTTTATCCCAATTCAATATATAGAACAAAAAATCAATACATGGACATCAAAACAGCTACATGGAAAGCATAGGTACATCATAGCAGAAACATATATCAAAGCCACACTCATATAAATGGCTCCAAGATGGAAAGCTTTTTCCTGAAACTGAGGGATTTCTCCTTGCAATTCAGGATCAAGTAATAGCCACACTTAACTACCAAAATTATATAATAAAAGACTCTAACATACATACCGATACGTGCAGAAAATGTCATCAATTTAAAGAACCCATAGACCATATTACCAGTGAGTGCAAAATCTTAGCAGGTAGAGACTACACCGAGAGACCTAACATGGCAGGAAGAATTATTCACCAGGCACTCGCAAAAACTTACAAACTAATTACAGAAGAAACACCATACTATAAATATGCCCCCAACACGATCATAGATACCAACTATACTGGGATGTAGAAATACGCACGGATAAAACAATAACATGCAATAGACCAGACATAGTTTTCCAAAATAAAAAAGAACAGATCACCTATCTCATAGACATAGCCATACCCAATGATTCAAAACAAATATAACGAAAAAATATCAAAGTATACAGAATTGGGCATAGAAGTTCAGAGGCTCTGGAAACAAAAAAAAGTAACTGTCATACCATTCGTTATATCCACCACAGGCATTACACCTGACATGTTCGATTCGCACCTTAAGCAGCTCGGGATCAACTCACACATTCACACAAATATTCAAAAGTCTGTCATCATAAAAACTTGTAATATAGTCAGATCATTTCTTAATTCCAGCGGTAGACTCTGAAATAGCTTGGCACAGCCCGCTATTTCGGAGAAGTAACACCACTTTTCGAAAAAGTGAGAAAATTTTTCAAAACAATAATAATAATAATAATCTTGAATGACAGAATTATAGGCGGCCTGTGGCCGCCCCTAGTTTTGGTCGCCCTCGTGCGGGGCACGCGCTGCACACCTGCTAGGATCGGCCCTGGATGGTTCGGTTTCAAATGAACACCCCGGATATACCAAATATATTTGGGTATATTTTACACCCTCTACTGTACCAATTATGACAATATGTCTACATACTTTTCGAAACTCGTAGGTAGTAGATTCATATTTTCAAATATCTACTTTGCACTTTGATTTGTATCGAAAAGTTAAGATTAGAAATAAAATGTAAATAATAAAGTTAAGTCGTTTTTAATAGGTTTATCTGTTATTTAATTCATGTTCCTTAATCTATGGGCAATGGCCAATGTCAACTCATAAATGTCTATAAGCCCACAGACTATAAAAATAAAATGAATTTGGCGCTTGTACTACAGAAAATTAACTGACTGCTGACGGTAGCAATAATTCTTGTATAAATTACGCGCACCGCAATGCAGTCAGGCAGAGGTTAGTCTCCACAGCCTTAAGCTCCTCGAGGGTACAAGTCTAAAGACTTTCTCTCCAAGTTGGGTGTGACTTGCTACAGTACGACTCTTATATCTGCTGAGATATGAAACTGTATACATGATATCTGGTCTGGTCTAGAAAAGCACGCTAGGTAGGTACATCAATGATCTATTTCCAGTTTTCTGAAAAAAAAAACACTTTGGATCTCATCGCAATGCCCTTCCGCCTTTGTTTTGATATCAAAACCAGTTCCTTGACAATGGGTTGTCAGATATAATTATCAAGCATCAAGGTTCCTAAAGTTCATAGGTTGTCTGGTAATGGGTACCTTGATGACGCATCTGGAGTGTCTTATGAACACTTGCATTATGTTGAGGCTTACAGATGACGTCATGAAAGTTATCAGGCAACCTCGTTTTAAGCAACCTTGATCAAGCATACAGTTATCAAGTTTGAAATTTTTCATTTTTGTATTTATCTTGCTAAATAAATGCTTTTTGAAAACAAACAGAAATATCAAGACAACAGCACTGAAGATCTGCGTTTGAATAAACCCATTCAAGTAGATGCTTTTCCAAAAGAAACAACCTTGTGTCATAATCTATAAATCGACAACTAATCTTAACATATTTTTTTAACAATTCATTTCATCAACATTCCCTATTTTCAAGCGATATCCTGACGCCATTGGCGGAAATTAAAATAGTTTCGGCTGCAATCTTAATTTTGTGTTCCGGCTTTGATGGTGCTAATTTGAAATTTCTTATCACTTTCGAAACAGTGGAGAGCATTTCTAGCATAGCGAACTTTTGACCTACAAAATCATTAAAATCATTACTTTTTAACTAAGTTAAAAGCACTTTGAACTCGCCTATACAATTTCTAGGTCCAGCACTAAACGGTGTGTAGGCGTAAGGAAATTTGTTATTATAATCTTGAAACCTCTCAGGTATAAACTCTTCTGGATTTGGAAAAATATTCGGATTTCTTTGGAATGCGTATGGAATAATCATTACTGTTAAGCCTTTAGGATACAGATTGCCCTCTAAAATCTTTATTTTATTTAAAAAAAAAATCAATTATTAGTAACTTACTAAACTCAATATCATTGGACAATTTTCTCCCAAAAAATGGCACCGATGGAAAAAGTCTAAGAGTTTCCTTTATAACCAAATCCAAATATTTCATTTCATTAAGCTCGTTATAGGTGGGACTTGCAGTTTTTAAATTGCTTCCAAAAATATCAATCTGTTCTTTGATTACTTTCTCCTGGGCTTCTGGATGAGTGGCGAGCATCAGCAAACAAAAACTAATTGCTGTTGAAGTTGTATCGTGACCCTAGAAATTTAAATATTATATTTCGATGATATTTAGGACTATATTTGGACTTACTTCGAACATAAATGTGTTCACTTCGTCTCTTAAATCCCTTTTCGAAAGTAATTGTCCATCGATGGTGGTTTCCAATAGCAAATCCAGAAATGCTAGACGTCTTTTAAGACCGAAATCCTCTTCCATTTTATGTCGGTCTTTGTTGAGATTTTTTTTGCTTTTTTCTTCGATTCTCTGAGATATAACGTCTTCAACATAGGCATGCACTACCTTTGATTAGATAATGTAGCTGGTGGAATTGTTTTTAAAAAAATCTTACTTTGAGCGCTCGCTTTTCCTTATAATAATTCCATGTAATAGGGTACAATAGTGGATGCAATGGTGAAAAAATCCTATCGACAATAATGCTACAAAGTGCCTTGACACTTTTGATGTATTCCGAATTTTCCTGTTCCAGCGCGTTTACTCTCACTCCCATTGTAGCTTCTGAAATTAATATAATTAAACCAATATTTAAATTAAAATATAATATACCACAAATGACATCGAGTGCATACAACGACACAACTTTTGAAATTTCAGTGCTATCTTTTCCTACTTCTCCTTTAAGCCTTTTAATCAGGTTGGTGCCATTGGAATCAAAAACAGCAATGAAATCTTTTAGAATTGAAAAATGGAAAGCAGGCGTTATGGCTTTTCTGTGTTTTCTCCAATGAGAACCTGAAATAATTTGTTCTAAAACCTAGTATTTTGTATTAAATCACCAGTACCTTTACTCGTTAGTAATCCCAGTCCAAGCCAATTGTTCATAAACTCATACTGAACACTTTTTTCAATATGCGTGGACGAACTGAACAGTAGCTCGTTGAAATCATGATCAACGGATACAACTGCCCACGCAAGAGGTCCAGGATGAGTGAGTATAATGTCTCCATGGATATTTAGGTATTTCATTATTACGTTGAGAGTAACTAGAAATTTAAAAATAAGTTTGTTCAATGCTTAAGCTTGCAGTCTCACCAGTTGATCCGCCGATAAGCTCCAAAGTATTCCCAAAAGGAAATATAGGTTTGGGTCCTGAAAGGTTTCTCATGTACTTGGATGTTGATTTAACAATTCTCGTATACACAAAAAGTAAAACAAAAAACAATACAAATATGGATATGAGAATATATAAAATGATGGGCATGTTTGTGGATGTGAATCAATATGTAGGTGTTCTTTAAGTAAAACTGGTAATTTAATCATGTTGCACCCGAATTCTGTCGAAAATATTATTATAAAAGAGCCAAAGGTTATCTTAATTCTTCAATGAAATTATATAATAGGCAAAGTTATCGTGAGCCATGATGGACTACATTAGAATATCTAAGCGCTGCGTAAGTTCAATTGAGTAATTTATTGACAATGTTTTACTTATAAATTATTATTGCATTGTCATTAGCTGGGTACAATCTTTAAATAGATAGATATTTTGGTAATAACATCCCATTTATACTTCAAAGCAGATAATCTATAAAGATATTACTTTATGAATGCATTCATCAACAATTAGGCCAGGGCAGTTAGCAAAAATAGGGGAAGTTTTTGCAATCAAGCTGATTTTTTCACAGATGATAGTACCCATCAATAGTACTCTGTAAAAAAAAGTTACACCTCCTGGGAGGCTTGCTTTTTCCGTCACGATGAATTAAAGATGGCGGCTGGTGCTATTCTTGAAAAAATTCGTAACTTTCTTATTTATTAAGGGCGTGAAGTTGTGGTTGGTATATTTTTTTCAAATTTAATGGCATTTCAGAGTTATGATCTATAACGCCCGCTCATAATATTGTCGGTAGTAGAAAAAAAATTGTATGCAACAGGTGTGTAAAGCATTTTTTTCACACATTTGTGAAAAAATGTTCACTTCGCACACCTGTTTTATGCAAAAAAAAATCTATCACCAACAATATACAGCCATAAATTTGAAAAAATATACCATAACTTTACGTCCTAGTATCTAAAGATTCTTTGTCTAAAGTAATTTAGTTCTTAACTCAGGGCGTAAAGTAAAACCAAATTTCTGGTGCATGATATTAAATTTTATACTTGTGGGTATTTATGCATTTTTGGGAAGAAACAAAGTTTTTTATTTTTACTTGACGAAAATCGGTTAATAAATAAGAAAGTTACGATTTTTTCCAAGAATAGCATCAGCGGCCATCTTCAACTCATCATGGCGGGAAAAGGAAACCTCCTAGGAGGTGTAGCTTTTTTTTACAGAGTACTTACTATTGATGGGTACTATCATCCGTGAAAAAATCAGCTTGATTGCAAAAACTTCTCCTAAAGGCCATTTTTTCAGCTAACTACCCTGGCCTAAATCTGTCGCAGCCAGACTGAAACTATTATGATGTTATGTTAGCGAGCATTTTTCCCATCTTGCATTTTCGAAATTCCAGCGCTTTGTCTAAATCAGCTTTCAAGCTGGAATTTTCATATGTCTATTGACAGGGCAGCTTTACCTTTTCTTTTTAATTTAACGTCCTGTAGCTGAGCTAATCTGTTTTGAAGTTCACCTTCGTCGGTTGATTTGGGCTTCAGCTTCTTTTGAAGGAAATTCCACCTCTTTTTCTCAATTCAGTATTGTCGTTTTACAGCTGCTTCTGAGTCTTGTTTGGCTGTGTTCCATTCTTCTTCTAACAAATTGTCGTTTGACAAACCTCATAATTTTATTTCTGAGCCTCAAATTGACTTCAAATTTACTTTATTTGATGAAAACATCCTGGTCAATAAATCTTGAAAGTTTGAAATCGATCTGATACTTCAACGTATTTTTCAGGATTTTTCAAAGGTGGCTTAACGTGAATTTTCCAATTTTTTCTGGTATTAAGTTGGAAAAAAACCTCCTAATTTTATTTCTGAGCCTCAAATTGACTTCAAATGCACCTGGTTTATTAAAAGGATCCTGGTTAATGAATCCTGAAAGTTTCAAGTCGATCTGATACTCTGAAGTATTTTTCAGGATTTTTCAAAGGTGAATTAACGTGAATTTTCCAACTTTTTCTGTTATTAAGTTGGAAAAAAACCTCATAATCTCATTTCTGAGCTTCAGATTGACTCCAAATTTGCCTTTTTTGATGAAAACATCCTGGTAAACAAATCTTGACAGTTTGAAATGGATCTGATACTCCAAAGTATTTTTCAGAATTTTTCAAAGATGATTTAACATGAATTTTCCAACTTTTTCTGGTATTAAGTTGGAAAAAACCTCATAATTTTATTTCTGAGCTTCAGATTGACTCCAAATTTGCCTTGTTTGATGAAAACATTCTAATTAATAAATCCTGAAAGTTTGATCGATCTGGGTCCTTATTCTTGAAACAGGGGAGCAGCGTTCCCAGGAGAAAGAGTGTTCCGTCTTTGTTACTTATATTATCATTTCCATATCATGGAGGAAAACAGAACACTCGTTCTCCCGGAAACGCTGCTCTCCTGTTTCAAGAATAAGGACCCGGATAGTCCGGAGTATCTTTCAAAGGTGATTTAACGTGAATTTTCCAACTTTTTCTGGTATTATGTTGGAGAAAACCTCATAATTTTATTTCTGAGCCTCAAATTGACTTTAGATTCACCTCGTTCGTTAAAAAGATCCTTTTTAATGAATCCTGAAAGTTTCAAGTCCATCTGATACTCCGAAGTATTTTTCAGGATTTTCAAAGTTGATTTAACGCGAATTTTCCAACTTTTTCCGGTATTAAGTTAGAAAAAAACCTCATAATCTTATTTCTGAGCTTCATATTGACTCCAAATTCGCCTTATTTGATGAAAACATCCTGGTTAATAAATCCTGAAACTTTGAAATTGATCTGATACTCCGAAGTATTTTTCAGGATTTTTTTAAGGTGATTTAACATACATTTGCAACTTTTTCTTTTATCATATTGGAAAAAAACCTTATAATTTTATTTCTGAGCTTCAGATTGACTCCAAATTTGCCTTGTTTGATGAAAACATCCTGGTTAACAAATCCTGGAAGTTTTGGAACGATCTGATACTCCGAAGTGTTTTTCAGGATTTTTCAACGGTGATGTAACATGAATTTTCCAACTTTTTCTGGTATCAAGTTGAAAAAACCTCATAGTTTTATTTCTGAGCCTCAAATTGACTTCAAATTTAACTTATTCATTGAAAATATCATGGTTAATGAATCCTCAAAGTTTCAAGTCGGTTTGATACTCCGAAGTATTTTTCAGGATTTTTAAAAGGTGATTTAACGAAAATTTTCCAACTTTTTCCGATATTAAGTTGGAAAAAAACCTCATAATCTCTTTTCTGAGCCTCAGATTGACTCCAAATTTGCCTTATTTGATAAAAACATCCTGGTTAACAAATCTTGAAAGTTTGAAATGGATCTGATACTTCAAAGTATTTTTCAGGATTTTTCAAAGATGATTGACAATGAATTTTTCAACTTTTTCTGGTATTAAGTTGGAGAAAACCTCATAATTTTATTTCTGAGCCTCAAATTGACTTCAGATTTACCTCGTTCGTTAAAAAGATCCTGTTTAATAAGTTCTGAAAGTTTCAAGTTGATCTGATACTCCGAAGTATTTTTCAGGATTTTTCAAAGGTGATTTAACGTCGGAAAAAGCCTCATAATTTTATTTCTGAGCTTCAGATTGACTCCAAATTTGCCTTGTTTGATGAAAACATCCTGGTTGATAAATCCTCAAAGTTTTGAAACGATCTGATACTCCGAAGTATTTTTCAGGATTTTTCAAAGGTGGCTTAACGTGAATTTTCCAACTTTTTCTGGTATTAAATTGGAAAAAACCTCCTAATTTTATTTCTGAGCATCAAATTGACTTCAAATTTACCTTGCTTGATAAAAAGATCCTGGTTAATAAATCCTGAAAGTTTCAAGTCGATCTGATACTCTAAAGTATTTTTCAGGATTTTTCAAAGGTGACTTAACATGAATTATCCAACTTTTTCTGGTATTAAGTTGGAAAAAACCTCCTCATTTTATTACTGAGCCTCAAATTGACTCCAAACTTACCTTGTTTGTTAAAAAAATCCTGGTTAATGAATTCTGAAAGTTTCAAGTCGATCCGATACTCTGAAGTATTTTTCAGGATTTTTCAAAGGTGATTTAACGTGAATTTTCCAACTTTTTCTGGTATTAAGTTGGAAAAAACCTCATAATTTTATTTCTGAGCCTCAAATTTACCTTGTTTGTTAAAAAGATCCTGGTTAATGAATCCTGAAAGTTTCAAGTCGAGCTGATACTCTGAAGTATATAGAAGGAAGAGATGAAGGAGATAAACCAGGATCATGAATTCAAATACTTGGGTCATGAAATGAGAATCGGACCTGTGAGATTCAGCAACGCATAAGTTTGGGGTTGGGGAGCATTTGACAAGATGCGAGACATTTTTCGAGGAAAAACAGCAAAGAATCTTGAGGGAAGATCATACGAAGATGTGAGAACCTTACTCTTGCACGTCTCTGTTTTCTCATAGAAGGTCTTAATGTAGTATTTTTTCAAAACTATCCTCATTATTCATGTTTTAGCCTGTACCCTGTACTTGAGTGTTCAGTTTGTTATAGAATTTTCATTTTCTTAATCTAGTCTTAGTGTTTGTCTTTCTGTGTCTTTATGAGGCGAACATTTATTATCATTTTTCTTCTTTTTAAATACCAGGTACTGGTACCTACTCTCTTGAAACTACTACTCGTTACTTTTTATGTCGGCCAGTTCATAGCCGTTTTAGGCACAACCAATGAAAATGTAGTCATGACTTGTTGGATCTAGCCTAGTCCAAGGGTTTTTGCAATAAAGTTCTACAACCGAAAAACTGAAGTCTGATGGAGAGATCATGGTGCTTTGATGTCCAATTTTCTGTGGGAGTTTTTCCAGGAATGCACGATACGAAACATAAACTGCTTCACCCCAAAATGTATTTGGCAAATTTGAGTTTAATATCAGCCATCTGATTCAGGCTGCGGCCTGCGGAGTGTAGGGTACTGCCTAGTCTAGTATAAAAAGATAAACAATAATTTTTGAATGAGAAAAAATCTATTGAGCATAAAGGACCCCGCAGAAACCTTATGAGAACTGGCCCTCAGTGGAATCTCATGAAATTTTGCATATTGATAGTTCTTGACCCATAGATTAAAAGTGTCCATAGGCACAAAGTTCTAAAAATTCGCCTTTTTGAGTTATAGTCGTTTGAAGTTGCGTCATGTGGAATAATAATTGCTCAAACCTTATACAGTCTAGTTTTTTCTGTTACTTGGTGAATTTTAGAACGACATCATAGTATCATTGTAGTATAACACGTTTTATACTATACGATTCCAGTATGGCCACTTTTTAACCATAGGCGTCTTAAGAGGGGTTAAAAATAATTATAAAATAATAGTTATCTACACACCAAGTGATTTAAATGAATGTTTACCCATGAGAAGAAAGTTTAACCTACGAGCCCTAGCGAGTGGGTTAATTTTCTTTGAATGGTGCATACAATGCTTTATTTTCTACTGAATATAATGTTCCTTCATCAATTTAGTATCAAGCATGTACCTTTACTACCTGTACTCACCTCATTATTTACCCCTAATTATTTTTAAAACCTTCTTAGGACGTCTATGGTTTAAAAGTCGCCATTTCTTGAATCGAATAATTTAAAACGTATTATACTATGCATGCCTATCCAAAACACGTGACTTTGACAAGCAAACAAAGGGTTTGTGTGCCTCTTGGCGGACATTTTTATTTAAGTTTAACAGCATCTTGGAATTGTCAGCCTATCCAAAACACGAGACTTTGACAAGCAAACAACGGGTTTGTGTGCCTCTTGGCGGACATTTTAATTTAAGTTTGACAGCATCTTGGATAGTCTATGTCGATTTAACATAATTCACGAAGCAACAGAAAAAACTTGGTATAAGGTTTGAGCAATTTCATATATGACGCAACTTCAAACGTCTGTAACTCAAAAAAGCGAATTTTTAGAACTTTGTGCCCATGGACACTTTTGATCTATAGGTTAAGAACTATCAATATGCAAAATTTCATGAGATTCTACTGAGGGCCAGTTCTCATAAGATTTCTGCGGGGTCCTTTAGATGCGGAGAATCAGGTGAGATTTTTTCTTTTAGAATAATATTTGAATCACTTCTATATATTTTCTAACTTTCGGACAACAAAGATGAAACTTTGAATATCTATGGAGATCTTCAGAGGGCCAGTGAAGATAGCAAAGACGCTTTACATAACGGAATCGAAGAAAATACTTGAAATGTGACAGAGACTCTTCTGCTTTTTACCAAAATCATGTAGAAGGATCAATTGTACAAGAAAATCCATAGTGGTCATTTTTCAAAATGACTTTGAAATGCTTAAAGGCAATACTGATGCGAAGATCGAGGATATTTCTTAAACTGAAAAAGCCTGAATCGTTACAGAAGTACTTTTTCACCGCAACTGTCTTCTTTATTGCAAAACTCTTCTTTTAAAGTGAGCAAATATATTTTGGAGCTACTGTATAAGCTTCAATCCTGATGCAAAGCAAAACCTAGGAAAAAAATCCTCAAATCAAATTCCCACGATTGAGAAAAACTCAGTTCAGTTGCTGAAGTTACCTACTGATGAGGAATTATCACATCATAATCCCCTAGGAGAGTACTCAAGAAGTGAGCATAGCCCTTTGCTGAAAAGTGTTACCTTGATGCAGATCAGTACCCGGTATAAGAATCTTCAAATTGAAATTCTGCCAGTGAGTACTCATATCTCTATGATGGATAGTGACGAAGAACTTTTCACGAATTCTAAGGGCAATTTTGTAGACAATGTAATTGATGAATCATTGGAAAACACGTCGTTGGAAATGATTCTTCGATGGATGATACATAAATCAAGTTCCAAGCACATTGCAGAAAAAAATTTAGAACAAGATCATGCATTCAAAGACATTGTGGTACCTACCACTGCTGATGCCAACCAATTATTGGTTAATCCATTAATTTTGAAGGAACATGAACATTTTGCAATATTGTTACCTAAACTCTTCTAGGTAGGAATGGAAATAAATTTAGTTAATTCAATGAAAACGTACAAATATTTCTTTTTTTTTGAGCCTCTCTGTAGGTTGTATAATATATTCTTACAAAATTACTTACAACAAATCATTCATGGAAAAAGTCGATGTCTATACATACGTTACCTCTTGTGCGTTGGATATTATTTGCGGTAAGTGGTTCAGTAGTCTTAACAATGAGCTTGAAACTCTTCTAAAATAATAGAGAAAATCCCTGTTGAAGTTTTTATAATGCAGAAAATAGGCCTAAGAACGTTCAGAAAGAATATTGAAGAATGTTTCTTTCTAGAGTTTCTACATTTCAACAGTTCGATTGTATATAAAAATAAGCATTGATTTTAAGTAGGTAACAAACTTTATTTTTACAAACTGACTAAAATTTTACATAAAAATTGATAAAGCATTCAGGTATATAGCAACATTGCAAGTCTCTTTTTGCATATGATTTCCATTATGAAACTTCTAGTAGATTTGCAAGCAAAATTTTTCAGTTTTGTTTTTTGTTATTTTTTACCAAAATTTTATGGCATTTTTCCGATATTCTTCTTCTCAATACTCCAAGCTTCCAGTACAATCGGGGCCCCGGTGGTGGCATTCACATTAGTCTTGGCATTGGGCAAACCATTTTTCAAGTAAAACGTGTACTTTCCTATGATGCTTATTGTGTTGTCGTGCATTAGAATTTTGTATGTGTGCAACAAATTTGGATTCATTTAGGGAATTTTGATTGATGAATAAAATGTGACTGCTTTAATGACAAGGGTTTTGTTTTGTGACATTTTCGATTTTTGAGTTGATTAAAGTCTCATTCAGATGGCTGTGTTGTTGATGAGGCGCAGGACTAACAATTTTTTTAAAACGCATCTTACTATCTTTGTTCCTTTTTGAGAACTCTATAGTTTCTCGAAACTCAAGGAGGGAGATTGTTGAGAATTATGTTACAAGGAAACTACGCTAGTAGAAAATAAAGATATATTTCTATTCTTTTTTCAGAAACTGCAATGGGACTAAGCATAGCAAGACTATGTAAACGCCGTGAAAGATTTTTCCAGAATTGCAATGGGTAGAGCTTTTTCCAGCTGGAAAGGTAACAATTTGCTGTTCAAATTATCCAAAGAAAATTATCGTCATTGTAATGTACAGACTATTAATTCATAAGTCATTCAACAGTATCAGCAAAACTTTTATTGTAGGTAATTCCGAAATATTTTTGAGAATAATTAAATAGAACACACAAAGAATAATACTAGGTTTACTACATCACCTATATTTGTAAAAAAAAGAGTGTATTTTCACATGGATTGAATTATATTGAGCATGTTGCACAGACGTGCAAACATCTAGGTGGCCCATTTACTATTCATAATAATTATTAAGTATTATTATTTAATGTAATAATTGTTAGTGAATAAATCACAGGATTCATCAAGTTTTCTGTACAAATAAATTAAAAAAAAAAATAAATGAATAAATAGAAAAATTCAAACTCTGTGGTTCTTTTAAATATTGAAAGAGAGTTTGACTTCACTTGAGAAAAAAGAATCAGCAGATTGAATTCAAATCCCCACAGTAATCATTTAGGCCAAGTGTTTCCAAAATACTCCAGAGAAACTTAAATCACTGATCTGACTTGAGAATAGAATAATGGATTTCTCCAAAATATTCTATGAACTCAAATGCTTTCTCAAGACTGCATCACGCCAGAAGAATTTTTTTTAAAAATTGAATAGGTACCAATGCATTTTACTCAAATGTCCTATTTTCAAGCGATATCTTAACGCCATTCTTGGATTTCATAATAGTTTCAGCGGCAATTTGGATTTTGTGTTCCGGTTTCGATGGTGCCAGTTTGAAATTTCTTATCACTTTCGAAACAGTTGATAGCATCTCTAGCATAGCGAACTTTTGACCTACAAAATCGTTAAAATGTTACTTTTAAACTAAGTTTAAAACACTTGAAACTCACCTATACAATTTCTAGGTCCAGCACTAAACGGTGTGTAGGCGTAAGGAAATTTGTTATTATAATCTTGAAACCTTTCAGGCATAAACTCTTCTGGATTTGGAAAAATATTCGGATTTCTGTGGTATGCGTATGGAATAATCACTACAGTCAAGCTTTTAGGATATAAATTATCCTCTAAAAGAGATTTTATTTTATAAAAACTTTGTAAAATTATTGTTAACTCACTGAACTCAATATGTTCTGCTAGTTTTCTTGCAAAAAATGGCACCGATGGAAAAAGTCTAAGTGTTTCCTTAATAACTTAATCCAAATATTTCATTTCATTAAGTTCGTTATAAGTAGGACGTGCAGTTTTCAAATTACTTCCAAAAATATCGATTTGTTTTTTGATTACTTTTTCCTGGGCTTCTGGATGAGTGGCGAGCATCAGCAAACAAAAACTAATTGCCGTTGACGTTGTGTCGTGACCCTGAAAATGTATTAATTTTTATATGTAATGTGTGGTAGGTATATAATAATATATTCGTTTACTTCAAACATAAAAGTATTCACTTCGTCTCTTAAATCTTCTTTCGAAAACAATTTACCATCGATGACGGTTTCCAGGAGCAAATCCAAAAATGCTAGACGTTTTTTAATACCAAAATCCTCTTCCATTTGGCCCAAATTTTTGTTGGTTTTTGTTTTACTTTTTTCTGCGATTCTTCGTGATATTACGTCGTCTACGTAAGCGTGAACCACCTATTAAATAATAATAAATACCCACATATAAAAATATCATTGGAAGACAAATTTGATTAAAAAAAATAACACTTAGATGGTGACGAAAGGGAAAACATAACTGATGGAAGACAAAAAAAAAACTAATAAATATCTAAATAAATTATTCTTAATAAATATAGAAAAAGTTCTTACATTGAGTGCTTTTTTCTCCCTATAACAATTCCACGTTAAAGGGTACAATACTGGATGCAATGGCGAAAAAGCCCTTTCCACGATAACGCTACAAAGTGTCTTAACACTTTCGATATATTTCGAATTTTCCTGTTCCAGTGCATTAACTCTCACACCCATTGTAGCTTCTGAAAATGATGTAAAATCAAACTGAACCAATAATTTCAAATAAAATATAATTTACCGCAAATGACATCGAGCGCATACAACGAAACAACTTTTGAAATTTCAGTGCTGTCTTTTCCTACTTCTGCTTTAAGCCTTTTAATCAAGTTGTTGCCATTAGAGTCGAAGACAGTGATGAAATCTTTTAAAATTGAAAAATGGAAAGCGGACGTTATGGCTTTTCTGTGTTTTCTCCAATGAGAACCTGAAATTATTTGTTTAAAAACCCATTATTCTTTGCTAAATCAATGTTACCTGAACTCGTTAGTAATCCCTGTCCAAGCCAATTGCTCATAAACCCATATTGATTACTTTTTTCAATATGTATAGACGAACTGAATAATAACTCGTTGAAGTCATGATCATTGCTAATGACAGCCCAATCGAGAGGTCCAGGATGAATCAGTATAATGTCGCCGTAGCTTTTCAGGTATCTTCTTATCACGTCTAGCGTAACTGTAGATCCGCCAATAAGGTCCAAAGTATTGCCGAAAGGAAATATAGGTTTGGGACCTGGAACATTTCTCAAATACTTGGATGTTGATTTGGAAATTTTCATTAACACATAAAGTAGAACAAGTAAGATTGCGAATATTATTAACTGAATATATAAAATGGACAGTTCCATTGTCGTTTTTCGAGTGTATCAACTTGTATAATGGTATTTATTTTAAAATGGCTAGATATTTATGCAGCCCTCGAAAATCTTCCAAAATTCATTATTTTAAAAATCTAAAGGTTATCTCAAATAAAAATATATAGACCCAGAAAAAAAATATTGTATTAACCTGTTCCACTAAATTTGACCCCGTCTTTCGATTCGTGAATTCAAAAATTAAAAAAATTTAGAAAAATCATTGAAAGTTATCCTGAAAAGAATTTAATGCTGATTAAGAATATATAAATATACACAGTATTGCCAACTTCATTATGAAACCAGATTTCGTTAGTACCTAGTTCATTGGCGTGCCTACATAGGAAAAATTAACGAAATATTGATTAGACTAGCCAAGCAGATTATTATTGTGAAAATCTTTTACCTGCGCCTATGGGTAGTATAATTTACAAAAATACGCCTCATGAAATCAAGAAACCCATTGTTTGACGAGGGGATTTTTCGAGTGGATAAGGGTAGATCAAACCTTTCTGTTCATTTAACGGGTCTCCAACCTTTACTTACGGCTATTTTTCAATTTCCTCTATAACATTCATGGGTTCTGGACTGGAAAAAAATTACCAATTTCTACCTCAGATCCAGTTGGTTCTGCTCTGCTTCAATTTTCTTTGACAAAGTCACAGGTTGTCAATTTTTTTCTTGAAAGGCTCAAACAGAACAGACTTATCTTCTTTAGCTGATGCAGCAAATTTGTTATTATATGTCTTTCGTAATAATGATAGCCCGTTCAGTCACCTTTTAAAACGAAAATTTGTTTACTTTGACCTTAATAAAAAAACCTTAAAATTATCTTACGTTTAGTTGTTGTAACCGGACATTAACCGTAATTTTCGTGTCACGAATCTCTGAACGATAGTTATATATATATATTTTTTTTTTTGTTGTTTATCAGTATTGACTTATAGATTGATTTTGTATTCTCCCTAATAATCCCAAGTGCCCATATAGGCTAGTCAAAATAGGTGGTTCGGGTAGAAAAAATTAGCAACAAAGTGATCTCTGCGGAAATGAATAGTCAATAAGGTCCTAATTAATCCCTCAAAAATTGCACTTTGTCGCATTGGTGGAACTTGGAAAAAAATGACCGCCATATTGATTTCTTCGGAATTTATTGAATATTTCGTAAAGTATGCATTATATCAAAAAAACTCAGGAGAACTTTTTTGTAGAGAATCAAAAGTTATCTATATTAAAAGAAATTTCAAGACCATTAGCTGCAAAACGAAAAAGTTATTGACATTTATTTTATTTGGCAACATGGAATTTTTCAATAAATTTAAAAATCTCAAAATTTTTATTGAGAGGGAGCAAAAACACATATGACAAGAAAAACATTTTGGCAGGGTTTTTTACCTAACAAAATTTGTACACCGATTAACAGTACTAACTGAGTTATTTCCATATATTAACAGATATTTCTATGTACCTATATAATAAGTAATTGCCAACTATTTTCATGTATTAACAAAATATTTCCACATATTGCTAGGTATTTCCCTAGTATTATCACATATTACCAGATATTGCCATGCTACTGACAGAGTCAAATCAAATATTTGTTACGCCAGAATCCTAGGTATTAACATATCCACAGGTATTTACATGTTATTAATGAGTATCAACCAATGACATTATAACATATATTGCCTAGATATCTACAAGTATTGACATATATTACCTACATAATTAACAAGTAGGTATTGCATAGTATTGACACTATTGACATATATTACCCAGTGATTTGTACACCAATTAACAAGGTGAAAAACCCCTAGGCAGGAAACTACCCAGACTCAGACAGCCACACAAAGTCTTAAAGACGTCTTTTTTAGGTCTGCATTCTGTATTACATCTGAACGTCTGAAGACTAAAATAAGATTTTAAGGACAACTGAGCCACACTATTTCGTACAACCAGGCCTAAAAGTGAATAATGGGTTCATGTATTCAAAAGAGATTCAAAGATTTCTTTTAAAAATTCCGTTGAAGACGTCTTTAGAATGCCTTAGTTCTAAAGGCGTCTTTATAAACAGACGTCTGAAAAACGTTGAGTTTTGTAACATACGACGTAAGCAAGACATCTTAAATGTCGTTTGGTGGACATCGTAAGAACGTTTTTAAGATGCAATGTCTACGAAAATTTCCCACAGAATTCGTTTTTCATTCAATTTCAGAAGTTATTTGAAACCATTTAGAATGCTACAGAACACTTAAGAACTTTAATAATAGAGCCTTTTCGAAAGTTCAAAAAACTTAAAGTTCAATTCATAATTTCCAAAAGCATTCTGTAGCGCTTCAAAAAATTTTGGAAACTTTAGAACCATTATTAAAATGGAGCATTTTGGAAAAATTTAGAAACTTCAGAGATATTTAAGAACAATTACGATTCAATCTAGAATTGTAAACCTTTCAGAATGCTTTTAAACCAATTCAACTTCAATAGGGCTCTATAAAATACCTAAAAATCTGTCAGAACATTTTGAAATTTAACATGGATCCTCCAAAGGAGCGGACTTCGCAATTTAGAAATTACGGAAAAACTTCTAGAATGCTCCCGAACTCTTCAAGCCAAGTTAGAACACTTTAGACATCCCTCAGAATTATTTCAGAGAGCCTAAAGCTTAATTCTCACTTGCGCGAAAATCGCTTTTTTTGACATCGCTTCGAAAACTTGACGTTTGATACACGCATTAAACATCAAATTGTCGAAGCAATGTCAAAAAAGAGCGAATTTCGTGCAAGTGAGAATGAGGCATAACGCCTGAAATAGATAAAAATTGAAAGTTATAAAATGAGTAATAATAATAAAATATTAGTACCTACAGAAGACGTATTTAGGCAGACGACGAAAAACGTTGTGTTTTGTAACCAACGACGTATTTAAGATGTCTTTAAGACGCCTTGAAGACGTAAGCAGACGTCTAAAAGACGTCTTGAATGTCGTTTGTGGACATCTTAGGAACGTCTTTAAGATGTCTGTGACAAGAGTCTGGGGAGCAGACAGGCGAAGCTCCGAAAGATGCCGAATGATATCATAGCCATCGCTCCGCGCGCCGTCGAATAGACCACGGCCACCAAAATTGCGTGTAAATATACGATAATTTAAATAAAAATAATTATATTTGGTGCAGAAAACCAAGCTCGGATAAAAGGATCATATTATTATCGCCTTTGTTGCAACAATGAGTAATGGAAAAAAAAACTCGTATTTAAATTTTCAGCCTTCAAAGCTTCCGTACTTTCTATACATCAATATCAATACCTATTACGTCTTTTTGATGAAATTGCTGAATACAAAATATTAGGAACATTAGGTAACGGTATATTTTATAGAATGGGTTGAATGGTTAAAAATTGAAAACAAATACCAAAACTAAAAATTTATGAAATATGCCCAGGACTATGAATTTTTATAATAATGCAAAATTGTTGCATACAACACTCATTTTAGTAATTTTTAAATAATATTTTGTCTAAAAATGATTGAAACATATACCTCACTTGTAAGAAAATCGTGTATACATACGACATTTTGCGAAAATTACACCAACCTAGTGTAGACAATATCTTACATGCTACCTATACGTTCGTAGAAAAAAAAAATTAATTTAATAACTTATCTGAATGATACCGCGTTTATTTATAGTCCTACCTATATTCACATAATTGACCCGAATTTAGTGAACAATTGAAATTTTTTATTACAAGTAACTTTTTATTCTCCACAACAAAGTTCTCCAGAGTTTTTTTGATATAATGCATACTTTACGAAATATTCAATAAATTCGAAAAAAAATCAAGATGGCGGCCATTTTTTTCCGAGTTCCACCAATGCGACAAAGTGCGATTTTTGAGGAATGAATTAGGACCGTACTGACTACTCATTTCCGCAGAGATCACTTTGTTACTAATTTTTTCTACCTCACCTGCATAAACCTGCCTAGATTGACTACACTATTACATTTATTTTATGGTACCGTGTTCGACCAGCTTTGCATGGAAAAAAATTAATTTCGAAAATTTGGATTCTAAATTGTAACTAAGCTCTTCGGGCACACCGCTGCCTAATTTGAGAAGATTATGTGTTTTAAAGCAATGTAGGGTGTCCCAAGTCTTCTAAATTTTTCGAGTTTTTATCGTATCTTTTAAAACTATTTTTTAGTCTCGAATCACGAGTCATCAAAATCATTTTTCGTGAGTGTTGTCCTTTAGTCTTTAACGATGGAGCCTTAGAAGCATTTTCATTTTCATCTCAATTAATTTTTTGGAGACTCTCGCCTGGTCTGTACGGGCCTTAGATTTCGCATATTTCAACCAGAAGTATATTAGGTATTTAACGAAAAATATAAAATGAAAGAAAGGTTACATACCAACAAGCTTTTTCATTAAATCTAAACTGCCTCTGCTTGTACAAAACCCAACAAATTCATAAATTTATAATTTTTAGAGCTGACATTTCACTTGATTCCAGATATTTAGTCTCTATCTCACCACTTTAATTGTTTCTATAATAAAATGGTGACGCAAATCTATATGCATGAAATGGTTATGGAAAAGTGTATTGAACGAAAGCTTTAGTGCACTACATAAAATGATATTATCAAAAGAACCAAATAATTGATGTCACAAATTTCTGAGGTAAATCGCCTCCTTTGCTGTCATGTAGGTACTCGGCGTCTTTGCTGAAATAAGCCACTGTTCTACTGTTCTCTGCTTGTTGCTCTCCCAAGAAATCAAAGAATTTGAAAAAGTTAAACAAAAGCCAGTATTAGACCTTCTGTATTCTACAATCAGTAAATAATCTTTAGTATTTTTAAGGTAGGTACCTACTTTAAAAGTCTCTTTGCAGCTGTAGTGACATCTAACCCAGAAATACCACGTCCTGAATTAATAATTAATGCTATGAATACACGAAGTGTGGAATGTCTCACCACAGGTGAGAATATTTTATGAAAATCTGCTCCTTCTTTCTGGATGATGTCCTTACTCCTTAGCTACTAGTCTAGCACGATAGGTCTTGTTGCTATCCTTATCTATCTTAATCCTATACACCCACCCACATTGAACTACTACACTTTTCACTGGTGCATCTACCCTTTCCTAAGTATCATTTTGCACTAAACACTTATACTCGTGCTGCATAGCATCCTTCCAACAACTATACCTATTCTGATCTTGACAATGCCTTTGCCATTGTCACAGGAGCCTCCTCTAATAAATAAGCAGCGTTTTGAAAGTCAGTACTCAAATATGTTTCGTAGTCAGTGAACTGCTTTTCTCGCTTCGTCCTCTGAGATTTTCTCACAACGTCTTGATCGACAACATTTATTTTTGACAAATCTGGCACACATGCACTGTCTACGTAGTCTAGATGAGTTGGAAACTGTGCATCGGGTAGAGAGTGTGGAGAGATAGACTCTCAAATGAACCAGCTGAGCTATTATATTTTTCGTGTAAAAGTTTGTAACTATCCTGCTCTAAATGTCACTTCATGGCTAATATCCATTTTGTTGGTTTTCAGGTTTTCATATGTATGATGACATATCTACATGTTGTCACATCATCAGTGTCTGGGATGTGAATCCTATAATTTTTGATTTGATCTGAGAAACCAACTAAAATATGTTTTTAGGACTTTTCAAGCGCTTCTGTATTGGAACGTGAGCCATGACTGTACTTCCAAAGGCACGTAATCCTGAAACATCAGGTTTCTTACCAGACCATTAATCGAAAGGTGTTTTTCCACTTACTTAGGCTACTGGCGAAGCATCTATTTTTTAAACAATTAAACGTATCGATGGCCTCCGCTCGAAACCTTTTGTGTAAACCTGCATCGAAAAGTAGAAATCTCGCTTTTCCTATCCAGTGTACAGTTGTCTTTCTGAGAGACCATTCTGCTCAGGGGTGTAAGCATTTGTTTTCTGATGTAGGTACAATGCCTTCTGCTCTAAAAAAGCTGTCAAATTTATCACAACAAAACTCACTAACTTGGTCACTGCGAAAAAATTTCATGTTTCTGCCTTTTTGCTTTTCTATCATGGACTCCTTGAAATACTCATAGACTCCACTTTTGGCCTTTAAAAAATATAAAAAGGACATTCTTGAATAGTTGTCAATAGGAAGCAGTAAGTTTTTTGAGCCACCAATTGAAATCGTCCCTCATAAGTCCACAGACATCTCCATAAATGACTAGAGAATTTTATAACTTCGTGTACCTGTGGTTGGGAGAGGCAACTTGTTTGTTTTCCTTCACAACACACAACACAGTTTGACTTGTCAATTGTAGCAACTCCTTTCAGTTTCAAGCCATTCACACAGTGCTTCATTTGTCTTGACTATCCATGTGTAAAAACCTCATATGTCAAAGTTTAGTGTTATCACAAATGGCAAGCATACATTTATTGGTTTTGAACTTTAACTTGTATACTCCGCCAATCAAATTTGATGTATCGCCACCAATTTGTTGCTCTTACTGTATATGAAACAACCATGTGTTGGTTAGATGTTAGAGGATTGGTTGGATGATATTCGATTTCCTTTTCAAAATAAGCTCATTAACAAAAGATTTGCTGTAAGATTGGACAGACATTACATATCGTAAAGGGTTATATATTATTGTGCTCTTCATTCACAATACTAATAATATCCAGACCACCCAAACATTTCACTGCTAGTTCTTCATGGTTAGCAACAGTGATTTCCTCTATGTTTGCATGTGCTTGCTGGCACCGGAATCCAGATAAAAATCATTCTTGGAATAGTTACGGCTCAAAAACGATGCTCCAGAAGCATATTTTTGATCGGTTTTTAGGAATTTTGGGAATTTTGACATAATACATAATGCCCTACTTGTTTACATCAGTAACATAATATAACGCTGTGATAAAACTCTACCTTTATTCCGCTCGTCATCTTTGAGCACCACTTCTTGGTTTGTTCTTAAAGCTAACAGCACCAGAGTTTGCTGCAAAAACAACAGTCTTGTTGTTGCCACCAGATCCATCAACCTGCATATCGAACAATTTGCTCTTAAAGGGGGCGTGACCCAAAAATAAAAGTTTCAAACCGCACTAGGCTACGAGCAACCGTTGCGAAGATACCGTGGTCTAAAGTTTCCTCTCCCAGCACTATGACGTCATATGCACAAACTGAGTCCACCGGCAAGTGCCGGGCGCGCGTTTGCTCATGCTTGCTGCATATATTATTGACATTTTCGTATTGCTTTTGCGTTCTCACCCCTATTGCTGCGTCAGTTTAAAAAGATTTTGTAATTTTCGCGTGTGCTTATGACGTCACGCGATGAATAGACAAAACTTTATTTAGCCGTATCTACCTTATTATTTTGAGTAGCGCGTGCTCGATCGCCATCAACATGGGGGCGTACTTTTCTGGCAAACCAGTTAAAAGAAGGCAACCTACCCATTCCTCACTTATATCAAAATTGGTTTTCCTCAACTTCCTCAATCAAACTTATTACTACTTCTAAAGAAAAAAATTGCACTAGCGAAGCGTGAAACTTTTATTTTTGACCATTGAGGATTTGAGGTTGAACTAGAGCAGTTAACAAAGATCATATTTCTCCCTGACAGAGTTAAAATTAATTTGGAAAATCTTTTTTCTGGCTCTACTAGAGCTAAAATTTGAACTGAAGAAGCGAAATTCTATTCATGGGACTCCTAATGCTAAAAATTGAACTAGCGATGTGTAAACCTTCAATTCTTGGCCATTGATAAGTTAAATACTTGAGCTAGAGTGATACAAAAAGCTCACTCAAAATTCTTTATGCTATTTCAGCCCAAATTTTAACTTTAGTAGAGCCGAGTTTAGGATTTATACAATTTTCCCAATTGAATTTTATTTTGATTCTGCGGACAAGCATGAGCTTTTTGAACCGCTCTGGTTTGATCCAATTTTACCTATTGGATGATGAGAATGAAAGTTTCACACTTAGGCCGGTGTTACCCAATTCCTTAATTCTTAATATTTGTCGCTAATTCCTAATTCTTAAAAAGTTCAATTTATTTAACATTGGTGTTTTCAAAGATTCAGAATTACGAACAAAAATCAAGAATTAGGGAACTGGGTAACCCCGGCATTATTCGCAGTTCAACTTTGGTGAGGAGCACCAAAAAAGTTATTTTTATATTTTGCCGCTAATGCCGTTCAAGTTCCAGGTTTACCAGGTTCCCACATTTTCCTATCAAAGTTCAGTGCTGCAAGAGTCACACATGAGTTTTTTGAATTTTTCTATAACAAATTTAATTATTTATCTATTTACTGATAACTCTGCAAAAACACTGTACCATAGCCAAAGTTTCTACAAACTAAAAATCTAGACCCAAGAGGAAATACAATAACAGATCCTGAGATGAGAGCAATAATTTTCTCAAAGAGCATTCCTTATCATTAAAAATGTCCAAATCATGCCTCATCATTACTTCATCACAAATAGCTATAACATTTTGTTTAATGGGGATGACTTGTTTACAATAATAGATAAATCTCTCTATAAAACCCTTAATTGTATCTTAGGTAGGTACTCTGAAATTTATGTAGTTGATGAGATCATAGTTATTCTACTCAACACTATTATTACCGAAATAAATGAACATCACAGCTTCTATCTTTCTACTCTCAACCAAAGAATTCTCAACCAAAGTAGAAAATTCAAAGGCTTCAAGCAAGAATCTAAATATATGGGTATGCATTACTTCTCCTTACATACAGAAATCTAATGGAACGTTTTTGTACCTTTTCAATATGGCTTATATTAAGTGATGCTGTAGGCAGCCATATATTTGATGCATATTCCAAATGTGGTCTCACATAAGTATTATACAAACTGACAATGGTTGAGATCTGAAAATTCTTGCTATTGCGTATTACAAAGCCCTACAGGCTGTGGCAGCAATAGTATAATAATGATTATTGAATTTTAAACTCTAATGAAACGTAACTCACAAGTCCAACGCAATCCCACTTACAAAATATTCATCCCTAATGTGATCTACTTTTCTGGCGAAGGAGACCACAGCACATTTGCTGATATTAAGGATCATTTTGTTTACACCAAGCCAACCTACGACAGAGTCAAGATCAGACTGCAAAGTTTTGCAATCTGTTCTATCATCTATCATTCTGAACAATTTAAAATCGCTGTTGGTAAAACTTTAATTGGATAAAATTTCAAAAAAACTACGAGAAACAAAAATTCATTTTATTTCATAACTAAACATTTTTATTCACTAACCGATCAATACGTCCTGTTTTCGATCGATATTTTAACGCCATTCTTTGAAATCAAAATGGTTTCTGCGGCAAGTTGGATTTGGTGCTGGGGCCTGGCTGGAGCCAACTTGAAGTTTCGCACCACCTTCGAAATTGTAGATAACATTTCAAGCATTGCAAATTTCTGGCCTATAAAAGGATAATTAAGTTATGAAATGAACTTGATATTAAATTCATATACTAATTTACCTATACAGTTTCTGGGTCCAGCACTGAAAGGCGTGTAGGCGTACGGGTATTTGCTACTCAAATCTACGAACCTTTCAGGGATGAATTTTTCCGGTTCCGGAAAATATTTCGGATTCCTGTGGAACGCGAACGGGAAAATCATTACGTTGATTCCTTTTGGATACAAATTGCCCTCTGAAATTTTGTTATCCATAAGTAAAACCGATTTTATTTTGGCACTTCAATATGTTCTTACTGAATTCTGTATCTTGAGCCAATCTTCTACCAAAATATGGCACCGACGGAAAAAGCCGAAGGGTTTCCTTAATGACCAAATCCAAATATTTCATTTCGTTTAGTTCCTTGTATGTTGGAGTCACACTGGTCAAATTGCTTCCGAAAATTTCAAGCTGCTCTTTGATCAATTTATCCTAAAAATCAAAGTGTAAGAGTTGTGGTACTAATAATTTTCAATGTTTTATTTTACCTGAACTTCTGGGTGCTCTGAGATCATTAGTAGGGAAAATGTTATTGCTGAGGATACGGTATCATGACCCTAAAAATTGAAAATGTGGAATATATATTCAGTCGATATTGGTTTATACACTACATTTCTCAAAATGTCAGCTTAATTGAATATATTATAATTGATTGAATAGTTGAGAAACGGTCAAGTAAGCTTTTTTTGAATTAACTCTTCCACAAAACCAAGCTTGATTAATCCTACCTCGAACATAAAAGTATTAACTTCATCCCTCAACTCTTGCATCGAAAGCAATTTCCCATCAATCGAACTCTCTAAGAGCAAATCCAAAAACGCTTTGCGTTTCCTGACGCCAAATTCGTCAGTCAAATCTGTGGATCCTATATTTTTCATGCGTCTGTGGTCTTCGATTCTCTTGGAAATAACTTCCTCTACAAGCTTATGAATAACCTATAAAGCTATATTTTTTTTACATGCTTTATTACATCAAGAGTATTTTACTTTAAGTGCCCTTTTCTCTCTGAAGTAATTCAACGTGAGCGGATAAAAAAAAGGATTTAAAGGTGAAAAAGCCCTTTCCGGCATTATTGAGCACAACGTCTTGACACTTTTTATGTATTTGGAATTTTCTTCTTCCAATGCATTGATTTTAACACCCATTGCTGCCTCTGTAGAAAATTAATCTGTCAGTTTTTTGCTTTGAGTATTATCAACAAAACCTACCACAAATAACATCAAGAGTACATAACGAAACGATTTTGGAAATTTCCATACTATCTTTTCCTACTTCATTTTTCAATTTTTCAATAAACTTATCCCCGACGGCATTGAATATGGAAATATAATCTTGCAAAATGGAAAAATGAAAGGCTGGCGTTATGACCCTCCTATGGTTTTTCCAGTGAGCACCTGAAAACTCGACTTGAAAACTTTTCTTCCAAAATCCGATCAGATTTTTATACCGTAACTGGTAAGTAAACCTTGCCCCAGCCAACCATGAAGAAAATCATATTGAGTGGGTTTTTGAATGTGAACTGCAGAACTGAAGAGTAATTCGTTGAAGTCATAGTCTATGGTTATTATGGCCCAATCAAATGAGCCTGGATTCACTACTATGGTCTCTCCATATTGTTTTAGACTATCCATTAATCCTCTTAACACACCTGGAAGATCGTTTGAAATAATTGGTTCAGTAAGTAGGTAAATTCTTACCAGTTGATCCATAAATATAATCCAGAGTATTTCCAAAAGGAAATATCGGTGTAGGTCCAGGCACATTTACCATATATTTGGTTCTATCCTTGATTTTTAACATGTACAGATACAATGCAATATAAACAAATAAGAACACAAATATTACAATGTACCAAATTGGAATATCCATCATTTTCTGTCTGGATATTATTCTTGTTGCGCTACTAAGTCATCTAACAATAGAATTATGTGCTTATATTATTTAATGTTTGCGGAGGTCTGCAGTTAACATTTTAAAAAGATTTTATTTGAATCATTATATTGAGTTTAATTAAATACATATATAATAGATATTAATTGAAAGAAAAATTTTGTGTGGGGTCAAAGTGTCAGAATTAAGTATATTTTACGTAATAAGTATGTGTTTAATTAGATTAGACAAAGTTAATTTTTATTCTTAATATAGAAATTTGTTTTCGTTTCTTTACTTTGTTTCTGATACAATACCAAAGAACAAGTACCTATAACCTTTTATTAATTATTACACACTAGCCGCTTTTTAATTTGCAAGATGGAGAAAATAACGATTTCAAAGAAATGAAGATAGAGTCGGATATTCCTTTTACAGATATTCAAAGCTTGAGAAAAAAATCGGCTTATCCAGGAGCACCTCCAAAATTATTTTGCATTACACATGGACCTCCTGTAGAAAGAAGGTACAGGCAAAAGGGAAACATCTTTGAATGGCACATTGATAACAATCTCCTGTTCCCAAGACTAAAATCATGAACGAAATACTATTGAAATAATTCTATAATCCTAGAGACGCTGCAATATACTAATTTTGAATCCAGTAAATACTTCTTAGTTACTTTTCATTATGCACTTGTAAATTTGAGACTTTTCACATTATGTCGTTATCGATCATTAGGCTAGATGCAGCATTAGATTGCAACTAAAAGGTGAAAATGTCAAAAAAAAGGAAGATTATTATTGCAAGGTCTTATAGTTATTTATGTACCCAAGGTCATAATATAAGTACATTTATATTGTCAAGAATACTTAGACTATGTCATGTTTGGATAATAATATAATTATTCCGGATCCTTTTCTTTTCATGAGTTTTTCGAGCAACTGTAGGTACAAAATTGCTGTAGTGAAGTCACTTTAGAAAATATATGGTTGGGAAGCAGGTACCAAAAAAAAAGAAAATTTCTTGTAATTAAACAATATCATCAAACACGAAATCTTTAATAATCAGTTGGATTTCTAGTTAAATCCTGAACCTTTTGCACCCAACCTTGCTGTATAGGAAGCAGGTAGGTTTCTTTTGGTTATCATCTTTGACACGAAACACCCATTTTGATTCAATAGCCTTCTTGCCATCGGGTGAATCTTGCAATATCCATGTTTTATTTTCATTCAGAGCTTGATTTTTTTCTTCAATAGCCTTTTTTCATTTCTCAGCATTCTCTCCAGTCCCAGCTTCTTCAAAAGAATTAGGAATATACTTCTACCAAATTCAATTCATTATCTTCAAATCTTTCTGGAAGTTTTATTGATCTTGAAGGTCTCAAATTGGGAGAAGGTGTATTTATAGTTACTTCTGGCTGGATCAACATTATTGTTTTCATTTCCAATATTTCCACTTTCGCTGCGACTATGATTGTTTTGGTTTTCAATAAAGTTATTCTCAGTGTCACTTTCAAATGTAATTAACACTGGTGCTTTTCTCTTCTGCTCCTTTTGAAAACCCATACATTTTTCAGTGAATATTACATCACAAAGAACTATAATTTTTCTGGTATTTGGATCAAGTAGTTTGTAATTTGTTTAATTTCTATCATAACCAACAAAAATTAGTTTCTTACTATTTGGTTCGAGTTTCTTTCTTCTTTGATCGGGTTGATGTGCATGGGCCACTAAAAACCAAATGATAGGGCTTTCCATCTGTTCAACCTTCGAAAAGTGTGTTCTGACTTTGTTTCGATGATACTCGGTTTAGGAAGTAGTGAAGTGTGTTTACAGCTTTTGCCCAGAGGTCATGAGTTGCACTTGCACTTATTAACATGGTCCTGACTTTTTCTATAATAGTACGATTCTCTTTCACTTCCATTTTGTTCTGGTGCGTAGGGTGCTGTAGTTTCCAGTTCTACATCTTCTTTATTTAAATATTTCCTAAATTCATGATTTGTGTACTCACGTCCATTATCTACATGTAAAGCCATAACTGAATGTCCAGAATCTTGTTGTTATATTCGGTGAAGCAATTAAGTGTGTATTTATGTTTTATAAAATAGGCTACTAAATATCCTGTGAAGCTGTCCTTAAAGAGTAGCATGTATCGAGCATCTGAAGCTGATGGAGTTTGAAATGGTTCACATAGGTCACTATAAACCCAAAATACAGTCATCAAAATTGTCATTGTAACTTATTTTAACACAACTTACTAAATTTTCATTTACCATTTCCTTCAAATATTGAACATTTAGGTGTGCTAACCTTTTATGTTTGTAGGTTGCTTTTCTGTTTTTCTGTAACATTGAGCTCACTCGTTTCTTGATACTTGCGGTATTGCGCAGGCAACCAGGTGATTTTTGAAATATATTTTTGCCTTATTACACTGTTTGATGATTTTCATTCCTATTTGAGTTAAAACTCCTTCTGATAATATTTTTTTTGTTAAACTTGGAACATAAAGTACATCATTTATTGTTGAATTACACCATTTGCTTTCATAAGCTTTTTCCATGTTTACAGTAAGTAACTTTTCCTTGTACTTCTAAACTTTCATTCCCAGGATTACATTTAAAGGATTTTCGAAAGTTTCAAGTTTTGTAAAGTATTCGTTTCTGCTAGTCATGTGTACTGAAGCACCACAATCTAGGATTTAGTGCTCATCGCTATTGGTCACATTGTTGAGCTAAATTTTCTTTTTTCGCTATGTGCTTATAGAAATAGAATCATTTGGCTCCATTTTATATTGATGGAAACTCTCATGAGTCTCATGAGCCATAAGTTTGTTTACTTCTGATGTCTGTATATCGCATTTAACTTGTCTGTAGTATAACATACCCAGGTTCGCTCAGTAAGATTGAATGATGAGAATTTTTATTACCTTTTAAACAACAAATCTTGTGAAAAATTAAAAGAAAAACCAATAGAACCTACGTTGTGAATACTTACTCAAATTTACTTACTGGACATGCGCCCGACATAGCAAATATTTGTGAAATTTAAGGGAAGCTGTAATATGTGAGTAAAAGAAACGCAAAATTTGTGAAACGCCTCCTTTATTTTCAAAGAAAAACGTACCGTTCTCGACCTGGAATTAACGAGGAAAAAGAGAAAACCTCGATTCCCCAAAAATCGAAACATACTGTGTCATTTTAAATAATAATTGTGAGTCATTAATTACAATAATTTAAGTCAATCAAAGTTTAAATTAGGTACCATCCTTTGTTCTTGTGCTAAAATTTCAATTACACACACTACATTCAATCAACACTTTCTATATTCCAAACTGAAGAGTTTTTTGGTTAGTTACCCAGTTTCCCAGCAGGTACTGAGGTCTCATACGGGAAGCTACTCAGCTATAGTTGTTTTTGAGCCAATATCTCTAGATTGATTATTTCAATTTGTTAGGATATTCTCTCGTCAGGGTAGGAAAATGTTAGTAAATTCAACAAGGCTCTAATGCACGCTCTAAATCCACAAAATCAAAATCTCAGCACAAAAAGACAGCACATAATTTCTTAGGTTTTAATTTACTTCTTTATCTGTGTTGTTTACAGTATGAAACGATTTTGGTTAAATACATAAACAATGCACATGTTATAAAAAAATGTTATAAACAAACAAAAATGCATAAAAATGAACAAAATAATAGGAACTTGCATAAATTGAACTCTCAAAAACAAAATAATAATTAATCCACTAACCTGTACATTCCTTGCACACACACTAATAACAAATTTGATTGAACAATTAATTTTAATGCAAAATAAGAATGAAAATTGAATAATCAATAATTACAGACGCTCGACACGTTTTCTAAGGGACCAGTACCGCTCGTTTTGTAGTCTAGCGTCTAGTTGCCTATTCTCTTCTACCCTTCGCGTCGGTTTCGGTAACTTCGTTGTCCCTTAAACCTAAACTCTGTGGCGCAGTACATGGTTGCAATATTTACTTTTATTACGTATAACTTTTTTTTTAGAAAAATTATGATTTGAAGAAATAATATTTTTAATAGGTGGTTTTCCTCATGTCCATCATCTTTTTCGAGGTTTCACAATTTTCAGCAAGTGCAATTTGTAATAGGGCCATTGCTGATGTCACAGAAAACATAGCGTGTGCATCTTTATGTAACCAGGTTTCTATAGTTTCTCAATCTGGTGCTGGTTTTCCGTCAACCATCCCATATAGACCGTTCGCACGTAGGGCACGCTCCAATTGAAACATTCATTGGTGGTAATTTCGCCCATCAGACTTAATAATAGAACTAACATCAATCTTGTCGGCCATTTCCTTTTCTCCTACACTTCACCGTGCAGTAAAGCCACAATTTTCGTGTTCCACTGGTGAACTGGGCCCATAACCTTTTGGAATTTGGGTTTCGTGTAATTAAACAAAATTACCAAACACGAAATCTTTTCTTTGTTAACATAGATAAAAGTGTTCAAAAACACTTTTGGCTCGGTTGATACATCAGATGTTGATACAAACTAACATGACATCTATCGTTCTGTGCATGTATCAAACTTCAAATTACTATTGCAGATATACATAAAAAGACATTATGCACAACTTGACCTGAAATTTAAAAGAGCCAACTGAAAACTCAGAAGTTGAAGGCAAGGCTAAAGTATCAGCGACAGATCAAGGTGAGTAGGTTCACTGATCCTACAAATTTTTATTCAATTAGCAGATGATTTTGTCTACAACGCAGCAAAAATAACCAAGTACAGGGGTAGCAGAGAGTTCTTCCCCAGGTATTGAGGGAAAGGAAGCTGCTACGAGGTCATTAGTAGCAAAATGAAAAACTCCACATTTTTTCGAGTAAAAAAGATGCCAAAACTTAACCAGAACCACCAGCCAACAGTCCCACTAGCAGCCGGGTCACCAAGTCCAGAAGGTTAAGGGTAAAACCAGTAGCTGATAAAAATGTGAGGGCGCCTCAAAAAAAAAATAGCCCAAAGTACCAGTAGAAGTACTAAGTACCAGTGGCTGCTTCAGCAGCTGCAAGACAAACACTTGGCTTAACAGCTGCAAAAAAATCTCAAGATAAAATCCCAACTAACAATAGAAAAAGCTACTAATTACTAATCTTATTGATGCTGTTGCCCTAACCAATTCTAAGGGTAAACAATCTGAGATTGCTAGACAAACCAACTCAGAGAAAGAAGTGTAGATCAAAAGCTTAAACGTATAGATGAATATACACCCACTGAGATAGTGCCAGAACTGCCAGAAAAAGCAAAAAAAAAAACGACCAAGTTGCTGTAAAACTGAAAGAAGAAAGTGCTGAGATAAAACTTCCTTCTTGGGTAGGTAGTTCAGCTAAGCCAGAAATGGTTGAGGCATTTGAAAAGTCGCGGAAAGAGGCTTACTATACAATTTCAAAAGCAACCATCATTGTCAAACATCAAGCATATTAATAACAAGAAAATGTAGAGGAAACTGTAAAACCTGGAAAAGAGAAACCCTGAGAGTGAGCTCAACTGAATTTTGTAGAGGTAAAAGCAGAAGTGTCAAAAGAAGTTGTTTGAGAACCAAGTGTAGTTGGAGAAGTTATGAAGGCTCCATCAAAGAGGGAAGTGCTAGAAGAAGCACCTCCCAAAATAGTAGGACTTATGTTTGATGTTCAGGACAAACCTTCTATCACCACCAAAGAAGAACCTCCAGCTCAAACTCATGTTGTTATATATTCATCATTATCATAGTCACAATGTCTTGGTAGACATGATGTGTACTAAGTCAGAACTGGAGGATTGCTTGCCAACATGAAATTTGTCAACTTCGTCGAAAACGGCATTCCGTCATCATCTTTCGCGATTATTTGTCAATTTTCTCTTGGGATATCCAACCAGATCTTTAATGCAGTAGTCTCCCATTTGCTTTTACCTCATGACGGTTCATCCGCCTGTAAGGACAATTTTTGATCCCTAGGATAACAGAATGCCCTGACTCTTGTTGACTCGTCTACCCGAAGCTGTTGGTTGACAAGAGGGTACTGCTTATATCAGCAGAATTTTGTGACGAACGGGGCAAGACGAACGGGGCAAGACGACGAATTCATTTTTTCGAAAATACTGCAAACATTGCTGGGAAATCATTCAACTCTATAATACTTTCAGTGAATCCTAAACTATTTTGACAGCTGTTGTTTATAGGAATCCTGGGCTGGGACTCTGTAACGGATAGAGATCGTTATCCCTATCGCTATGGCACTTGCTGTCTTCTTCTCTCTTTTCGAAATCAATAGAGAGGAGATGTCAATAGAGATAGAGAAAATATCTCTATTCGTTACAGACTTCCAGCCCTGGGGATGTAAATAAGACATTTTGCCAAGTCTAAAGAAATTGATTGCTATTTTAATCATTATTCGAGTTTATTGTAGATATTTCAATGTAAAAACGGGAAGATACAATCTAACGGGGGTAAGTTGAAGAATTTGTCATGGAGAATTGAAGAATGAGCATGGAATCCCAGAGGCTACATTGAGAAGATACATTAAAAAACAGAACAACAACCAACCACTTCCACGTAGTGTTGGGGAAGATTCAGGAAAACTTTTTCGGGTGCTCAAAAAAAAGAGTTTGTGCGCTACGTTGCGGATCTCAGTGTTAGGGCATTTGGCATCACGTCCCTGGAGTTTAGAAAACTAGCCTATGAATTTGCTGAAGTAAACAATATCAGCCATCAATTTTGAATAAGAACAAAACTAGCAGGGAAGGACTGGCTAAAGTTTTTCATGGATAGGCATAGAATAAGCCTTAGAACTCCGGAGTCTACGTCACTAGGACGGTTAATGGTATTTAATAAAGTTAAAGTCACTAGATTTTTTGACTTGCTTCGAGCAGCTGATCGCATCTATAATGCTGACGAATCAGGGTTATCGACAGTTCCTAATAAAAAGCCAAAGATTTTAACACCCACTGGCTGTAGGAGTTGCTAGTGAAGAGCGTGGAAAAAATACCACAGTTGTGTGTACCATGAACGACCGAGGTACCTACGTTCCACCATTTTTCATTTTTGGGAGAGTCAGAATACGACCCGAACTTCTCAATGGATGTGTCCCAAAATCTGATGGCATAGCATAACAGAGTGGGTGGATGAATACAGAATCATTCATCTTATATCTCAAGCACTTTGTTAAAGGACCCCGTCCGCACCGTATACATGAGAATTTCGGAACCATACGAATTTCAACAAAGATTTTCCACAATTTTTTAATATTCCAAGGTCCGCCACTGGACTTACATACTAAAAATTATTTTGTATACCCGCTGCTGCTACTATTCATCAATTATAGGCTAATTTTTAGCATCAAAATGCAAAAACAATGCAAAATAGAATTTCATGGCCGTAACTTTGATATGCCACTGTAGCCAAACGAGGGGAGCCACCTGGAGCCACCATATTCTAGCTTACTTTTTTGTGAAGTACTTATCCATATACCTACAACATATTAAAATTTAAAGAAAATCGTATGGTTCCGAAATTTTCATGTATCGGGTGGGGGGTCCTTCGTTCGGCCAAACAAAGAAACACCAGTATTGTTGATAGTTGACAATTACTCTTCTCATACATCTTTCGAAGCAATTAATTTTTGCAGAGAAAATGGAATGGTAATGATGAGGCCTCCGCACAGTACCCACCGCTTACAACCCTAAGACGTTGGATTCCTGTATAACCCCAACGTATTTCTAGAAGCTGATCTTGCTCCTTCCATGGTCAGTGAAAGGCATGAAACTTCTGAAGACGGATTTTCGAACAGTGATGATGAACCACTAGCCCTTTTTAAAAAAAACGGCATCAAGAATCTGTCACTTTGGACCTTCCTGGAGTTCCTGGTCTGGTCCTTCAGGCATAAATAAAATAAATAATAAATCTGATAGGAGTAAGGAAAAATTCTCAGAGATTACAATAAAAGATCAGAAGAATCCCAGTTTTACTTGCATTCCAAAGAATGTAGAAAGAAACGAAACAGAAGATCTTTCAGCTACACTGTTGGTTCATTGAGTCCCATCCGAAAGTCTAATGAAAATCACGTCCCGCTTGTTCACATCACATCAGATCACTTCCTAAATATAATCGACCGGTTAAATCTACAAGATGAGTTAAACAAAGAGCTTCTGTTATTACCTCAGCAAATAAAGAAGAGCAAGAATAGAAAAACAACGAAAAAATTGAAAAAGAAAGTAAGAAAGAAAGGTTATTTTAAAGGTGCTAGAAAGTGTTCCAGGATAACAGTGAAAAGCAGTTTGAAAAAAAAAGGAAAAACAAGAAGATATTTTCTGTCCAGGATGTCAAAACCATACAGAGAACCTCCATCCGAAGACTGGATACAAGGTGAAACCTGCGAGAGTTGGTGGCACGAATCATGTACAGCGAAGGAACAGAAAGGCACTTTTACATGCGATCTCTGTTTGTATTCGTCAAATTGCCCCCATAGTCTCGTCAACTTGCCTCGGTACTGGGGCAAGTTGACGAAAATGCAGTTTCTTCTTTTATTCATTTTATTTTTCTCAATAAATATAGTAATAGAAATTGATTTCATTTTTGAAAACCAAATATTTCCGTTTCTGCACCCTTCGGCAACTTGCTCTTCCTTCCCCTAACCGGAATTGACAATTTAGGAAAAACCAAAAAAGACATTTCTTCGAAAGTACCAGGTGCTTTTACCGTAAAAATTTATGAATTGTTGTGCTCGAGAAGAACTTCTTCCAGGAACCCCCAGGAAAATGTTAGAAACCAAAAGTAAAGATTGAAGAGTTTTTGAAAGAAGGCTAATCCAAAAGTAACAGAAGAAGAAGCTCGTGAAGAAACTACAACACCTGCAAGTGTCGTATCAAGAAGACCGATATAAATATTCAATACAAACCAGTTAAAAAGATGCTTATTACTGACTTACTGAGAAGAAATTAGATTAAAGAGGTATTCACAGATGATTAATTTGTAACAGACATAATTCACTTTCATAATAATTACCAAGAAATGATTGTCTGGAAGAAATCTGAGCCATCTTATGATAATTGGATGCTGTCCAAAATTCTTGCTGCGAAAACCTTCAAACAGTCAAATAAATACAGATTTGTTTTTCATGGTTTATAGGGCTACTCAAAATACTTAGGTTATTTGAGTGTTACAACTTCAACGTAGAATTTTTGGGTGGAATTTAGTTTTTATCTGCCAATTTTCTTAGGTGATGAATTGACTTTGAAGAGAGTATCTTTGATGACAGATTAATCGAAAATAGAATTTGATTTGTTTCCTAACACAGACGGACACAGAAGCTTAAAATGTTGAGAACTTCTGTCAATACAACTACAGGAAGTCAATGAATTTTCATTTTTAGAAAAGTTTGGTGGAGAGAAACAGACTGTAACAGTTTATTCCGACCTTCATTTAAAATATTGTAACGGCCACCAGTGTGTCAAGAATCCTAGGCTGTCGAATACCCTAGAAATTACAGATTCCTATAATCTAGTAAATTCTACTTTAATCAGGAAAATAAGATTATGGCGTTTTTTCTAGATTGTATATGGATGGATTTACGGCTATATAAAGCAAGCTGGTATTTATAAGTTTTAAGTTTAAGTTTGACTGTGATACGATTTAAATAGTAATTATTGTTGCGAGTTGTAAAGAGTTTAATTGTTGAGTTAGTTATGTCAGAGTGTATAGTTAAGTGGAATAAACTATTGGTGTGTTAATTGGACTTTGATTTTGGAATAGAAGAACAACGAACCCAAGATTGCTGTCACGCACACCAAAGCCGTGACAATATCAAACAGTTCCAAACAAGTAGTTTTCAATCTCTCTCGTTGGGCCACTAATACAAAAACGACAAACGACTTTCAATATTTTATTTTAATAATAATAAGAATGATATAATAAATTGTTATAATTTGAGATTCGTTGTTTTCAGCAGCTACGGAGCTCCTTTGTCCTGCAAAAGAAAACAGCTATTGATATGTATCCGTGCACAAAAACAAAGAAAATTACCCCAAGATAATCTTTTTCTGAGAGTATCTTCTCAGCACGGGCTCCCACTCCTTTCACTGGAGGTTCCATGTCGTGTATCAGGCGGTACACTTCTGATCTCTGAAGGTAGTCCAGGTTCTTCGGGGGCGGCTGATATTTTAGAAAATTGATGCTGGAACAAGAGAAAACAATTTTCAATATCGAAATTATTTTATTTTTCGAAAAGAAATATTCTTTTTAACAGGTATTATCATTATCTAATATAACTTACCATAAAATGCTTAAAGTTTGACTCCTATAATAGTATTAAGAGTAGGTACAGAAAATAGACAAACAACTTTAAAAGTTAACTAGAAACAGTAAGCTTATTTGGTCAAATAAAAGTTCCAATAGTAATAAGAAAAATGGAAATTGTTACAATATAAAAAGGTTTTCATACTCACAATCTTGTCTGCTACTTTACTAGGTACCATAAAGCAATTGGATTCTCTGGAACTGCACACAATAAAAGATCATGCCATCAAAACTAAAATCAAAATACAAAGAAATCGAATTTACACATTTTTAGCAGAAGGAGGATCAAAACAAATTAATGCCAAACAATTTTGATATTCAAATTAAATTCAACTCAAATAATAATTTTACTTAACTTTGATAAGTTCCAACTTCTTCCGTTTCAAAAAAAAAAAAATGTGTCAACCCAACTCATTTTTTTTTAACAATACCTGTAGACTGGTTTCATCCTCTCGCCCCACGGCCAAATTTTGTTCCAATGGTTGACCTGAAAAGACGTTAACCATTTTAAAAAACCAAATTGTGGTTCGGTTTCCTACCCTTTAGTTTTTCCGACGATCACTTCCGAATAATCGTCCAGAGTTTTGCAAATTTTTTCGTCCGACATTTTCGTGGTTTTCGGTTTGGGCGTCGCGTCTTCTGGGTCCGTCCATTTCCTACCCCCAGGCAACACTATGGGTCTCTGGGTCCAATCCATTTTTCGACGTGCTTCTTCTATCTGTGTATTAGGTAATTTAGCGGACAAATAAGAATTTATGATTTAACTGTTTGAAGAGTGTTTACTAAAATGAACCAAAACTTTACGGTTTGGTCATCATGATCATGTGATGAACAGAAAGTGTAGCCAAATAATTGAGCGTGTTAAAAAAAGGAATGTGACCTTGGACTAAAATAATAACCTAATTATACAAAATATTGCCAAGAGTTTGATTTAATTAAAACAAAAGTGTCCCAGGTTTGGAATAAGTCCACATTTCTATTTACTTAATTTTATAAATACTTAAGTGAAAAACAATCTAGTGGACAGAAGAATTAAGAAAAATAAGCACTTTTGAATATGAAAACAAAAAATAATGCAAATATGGGATCAAAAGGACAAACATATTATTAGGAAGGACAACTGAAAGATTCACTGAAAGCTCATAGAGAGCATTGTATTATCACTTAACACTTTATAAGTGTGCAACAGAAATAAGATTTTTTCAATTAAAACAAAAATATTTCCTTACTTTTTGCTTCTTAGCCATCAACTGTTCCTCTCTAAGCTTAGCTTCCTTTTCTTCCTCTGTCAACCCAGCGTATGGATCCACCACAACCGGTTCTTCAGGCTCAACATCTTCTTCAACTGTATTGTCATCCACTTCAACTGGATCACTCTCCAGCTCATCCACATTAGCTTGATCCTCGTTTTCAGTTTCCGTTATATCACCTTCAGCGTTTTCGGATAACGATTGACTCTCGTCAGGATTTTTATCTATAATAAGTACCAAAATAGAATTTCATTGGAAACAAACACACACATTTACCATCTTCAATAGTGTCCTCAGAACCATTCACCATTATTTCCCCGTTAATGTTCTCAACTTCAATTTCATTTTCCTCGAATTGTTGTTGCGACTTTTCCAAAACAATTTTGTTTAGTTGTTGGGTTACTGCTTCTAAAGTAACTTGAATAGCTGATGGTAGCTGAGACAAAGCTAGAAGCTGTTTCTGAACAGCTGCTAATTGTTGTTCTAGTGATAAGGAGGACTCGCATATTACAGGCTCAATGTGGATATCCAATGGAACTAGAAGAGACAATATTTATTTGGTAAAATTCATTAAATGACTCACCAGCTACTGGTCTTCTGATGGTTAATTTTGCTTCATCTTCTTCGATTGTTGAACTGTCAGTTGCTGGAGAAATAGCTCCGTTCTCCTCTTCACAAATTTCCACAGTGGTTTCTTCCGATATTTGTACTGACGTTTCAACTTCCATTTCCATGTCGTTTTCGATATTTGCTTCTGACGAATCAAATGATTCGTTCGAGTCTGCGACGGACGTGTCCCGTGAAATTTCAACTTCTATCTACAGAAAATATTTTGTTGATTGTAATCCACAATTAAATTGCCCATTGTTGTTTTTGATGTCTATTAACGATATTGTGAGCGTTGTTAAAGACTTAAGAGGTCAGAATGTCTGTTATTTGCAGATGATTTCATGATTTTTAAGTGTGTTACAAATGATAACGATTGTATTGCACTTCAGGATGATCTGAACTCAGTTCCTGATTGGTTCAGAAGATATAAAATGATGGTTAACTCTAATGTTATGTGCTATGTCATTCATACACAAAACTACTCCTATATTGTTTTCATATATTCAATTGATAATAATGAACTTCAAAAAAATACTGAGTGCATGGATCTTGGGATGTGCTTTAAGATCAATTTAATTTTTCCCTTCAATTGTATGTTGATTAAATGTAATGAATTATTTTCCCAAGATCTTAATCTAGATTATTTCATAAATAACCGACATGAAATAATTTAAAAGTTAAGTAGTACCTAGCAGTGCCATCTTGTATGATGTTTTAATTTTATGTTGTTTTTAACGGTATTGTGTTCAGTTTGTAAGTATCCATTTCTCTTACTTGTAATTACCATTATGGTATTTGTATGAGTATCAATAAATAAATAAATAGGTATACTTTTGATTTTGTTTTAAGAAATTTTCAAGTTTCTCTGGCAAAACCCCATTAATTCACACTTAGCTCAAGTTTTATTGTATAGGTACCGTTTTGCGTGTGTATTACTTAGTTAAATTGTATATTACAAAACATTGAGAAGCAAGTCCACAGGGTTTCTAAAACATTTTATCGTGTTCTATTTCAAAACAAGGCAAGGTGAGAGTATGCGTTTGCGGTATATGTATTCAATAGTAGATACCTACACATAGTTAAGATAGAAATTTACGTAGGTACCTACCTAACTACTTTACCTAATTATATGTTTACTAAGTTTTTTCCAAGTCAAAATAAGGTAAAATTTAACTTAAATGTAACGCATAAAGTCATGCTCAAATAGATGTAAAATTTCTATCACATTGATGTAAACCATGGAATTTTTGATCATCCAACATTGCCTCACAAAACCGTTCATAGCTTAATCAATTTTCCACAAACTCCAATGCATATTGATATGTTCTTGATGAAAATTAAATTCTCTTTAAGATAAAATTAAATTAAATAATTTGTTTCAAATAATTTTTGAAATATTAAGCCTCAAAGTTGAGACTTTGTCTCAAATTTTGAAAAACCTTCAAAGCCGATTATCTCGAAAACGAAGCCCTAGAGCTCGGTGCCCCAAAGAACCATTTTTAAAGCCCCAATTGAGATCTACAACAAAACCAAGTTTCGTGCTGGTAGCTTCTCTAATTTCCAAAATATGGCCCTTTGAACTATGTATTTGAATATGGAATTTCCTTGCATACCCCTTAGAAAAATTTAAATTTTGATTTTTGCAAATACTGTAATTTTTCACTTTACCAATCGAAAGAGGGGGTCAAATTTAGTGGAAAAGCATTTCCGTAATTTTCATTTTTGAAGTTTTACGCCCTGTGAAAAATTAAATATGCACATATTGCATTTTTGCCCATGAAATACTTTGATCATCCGACATTGTCTCACAAAATCGCTCATAACTCAACTAATATTTCACAAATTTTGATTCATATTCATATATTCTTAATCAGAAATAAATGCTCTTTAAGATAAAATAAAATTGAATCATTTATCTCAAATGGTTTTTGAGATATTGAGCCTCAAAGTTGAGACTTTGTCTCAAATTTTGAAAAACCTTCAAAGCCGATTATCTCGAAAACGAAGCCCTAGAGCTCGGTGCCCCAAAGAACCATTTTTAAAGCCCCAATTGAGATCTACAACAAAACCAGGTTTCGTGCTGAGCTTCTCTAATTTTCAAAATATGGCCCTTTGAACTATGTATTTGAATATGGAATTTCCTTGCATAGGTACCCCTTAGAAATATTTAAATTTTTATTTTTCCAAATACTGTAATTTTTGACTTCACCAATCGAAAGAGAGGGTCAAATTTAGTGGAAAAGCATTTCCGTAATTTTCATTTTTGTTGTTTTACGCCCTGTGAAAAATTAAATATGCACATATTGCATTTTTGCCCATGAAATACTTTGATCATCCGACATTGTCTCACAAAATCGCTCATAACTCAACTAATATTTCACAAATTTTGATTCATATTTATATATTCTTAATCAGAAATAAATGCTCTTTAAGATAAAATAAAATTGAATCATTTATCTCAAATGGTTTTTGAGATATTGAGCCTCAAAGTTGAAACTTTGTCTCAAATTTTGAAAAACCTTCAAAGCCGATTATCTCGAAAACGAAACCCTAGGGCTCGGTGCCCCAGCGAACCATTTTTAAAGCCCCAATTGAGAACTACGACAAAACAAAGTTTCGTACTGGTAGCTTTTCTAATTTTCAAAATATGGCCCTTTGAACTATTTGAATATAGAATTTCCTTGCATACCCCTTAGAAAAATTAAAATTTTGATTTCTCCAAATACTGTAATTTTTGACTTTACCAATCGAAAGAGGGGATCAAATTTAGTAGAAAAGCATTTCCGTAATTTTCATTTTTGAAGTTTTACACCCTGTGAAAAATTGAATATGATTATTTCATTTTTGCCCTGAAATACTTTGATCATGCGACATTGTCTCACAAAATCGCTCATAAATATTCTTAATCAGAAATAAATGCTCTTTAAGATAAAATAAAATTGAATCATTTATCTCAAATAGTTTTTGAGATGTTGAGCCTCAAAGTTGCATCTTTGTCTCAAATTTTGGAAAACCTTCAATGCCGATTTTCTCGAAAATGAGGCCCTAGGGCTTGGTGCCCCGAATCACCTTTTTTAAAGCCCCAATTGAGATCTATAATCAGACAAAATTTCGTGCCGATAGCTTTTCTATTTTTTAAAATATGGCCCATTGAAATAAGAAGAGGAATCTAGAAGAAAAAAAGAAAGGCAAGAAGAGGAAGCCTGGAGATAAAAAGAAGAAATTTGAAGACAACAAGAAGAGAAAGTCTAAGGATAAAAAGGGAACCAAGAAGAATAAGACTGGCTTCAGAAGAACTTTAAATTTCCACTGTCCACGACCATACTGATGCGAGAATATTCAAGAATTCGTTCCCGTGGCATGCATTGAATAAGCAAGAATTTACGAATATTCTAGAGAAATCTCGGTTGATTGGTTTCGTATATGAAGCGCATAGTTTGTAAGTTGCAATCAGTTTTTAATCAGAGTTCAATAAAAGTTGTGTTGTTACTTCTTGAAACTTACCACATTTGGTTCAAACTGCACAGTTTTTTTCCGGTTCAGAACATCTTTAGGGTCGCGTCGAGGTTGTTTCACTATTTTTACTCTATAAGGATCGCCCTAAAATCAAAACCCAAACTTATTCATGAATAATTTGCCTTGCGTATCAACTTACAAGTTTTTTTCGGTCTTCTTCCGCCTGCTTAGATACAGGCTTGGGATTTCTCGGTTTTACCAAAAACGTTGAATATTTCTTATTTTTTGTAGTTTTTTCGCTAATCGATGCCCTACTGTCAATCAGCTGCTCTTGACTGGAAAAAAAAACTTATTACAAAAGTTCCATACGGACAATCAGACTTACCCGGCCAAGTTTTCTAAAATTTTTGATTCAGGGCCAATTTCTTGATCTTTGTCTGTGTCTGGAAAATAACTGAGTTTGATAATGTCTTATTAAACAAACAACAAACATCGCACTAATAAAATAATTAAATAATTTCGCATCAAAACAAAACTTACCTTCAAATTGTTCAGCCAACGATTCTTTTATTATATTTTCTACTTCAGCGTTAACATCTTCCTCCTGTAAAATAATCAGACTGTAACAGCTGGGCAAAAAGTTTCATATTACTTACACAAGGAACAGGTATGTCGGAAAATAATCCTCTAGAACGAAAATAAAATTTCTTTTACACCTCAAAACAATATTACAAAAGTAATTTAAGTACCTTCTAATTGCCATAATAAAATCGCATCCTGCTTCATTAATCAGATCATGAGCTTCTGTATGAGTTAATCCTGCAGTTGCGTCATCATTGACTCGAACGACCACATCTCCCACCATTAATCCTGAATTTTCAGCAATACTGTTTTCGTTCACCTTAAAAAAGCAACCATTTTGAAACTCGAAGACAACTAAAAATTTTTCAAAATACCTTAACAACCACTAAAGGTTCGTTGAAATCGCTTCCTCCCACTAATCGAAACCCCCAATGCGAACTAGGATCCGGTTTTGAAAATCTCAATTCGATAGCCATGATGACTCGACATTAAAAATCTCCAGGACACTATATTTTTTCACTAATATTGAGTCACACCTGACTCGATTTGTAACTGAAATAAATCTGTTAGGATATAATTACTTAATGAAACGATTGACACAGTTTTGTAGATCGCCAAATTGTTGTCGATGATAATGTCAGCTAAATTTAGGTGCAAGTTCAGCTAAGGGTATTTTGGAGGCGTTATATCGAGCATTGGGTCAGAATTTAGAGGAATATTCAAATATAAACTGAAAAAATAAATTATACTAGAGTAATGAGAACAATAATGTATAGCTTCTATTTAAAATACTCTTTATTGCAAGTATAATACTGAGTTATCTGGGGAGAGTCTTACAAAACGGTATGTCTATGACCAAAGCTGTCTCATAACTGACTTCCTCCTCTTTTCAATCTTTTTTAAATCTTGTACATCCCTTCTAAAATGTCCCTAATGCCTACCTAATTATATCTGGAAACCCCTAAAGAAAAATCGGCAAAAAAAAAAACCTACATAATGCGGCGTCAGGAATCAGGATTGTGTTGTGTTTGTTCTGATAAATATTTAGTTTGCTTGTGATTTTGTAACTTAAGGAATGTGCGATAGAGATATGCCTTTATAATTATTCACATCAGTGCTATCTCGGGATTGGTGGAAAGAGTTGGGATTTTCCAACTTTTGGGAAGCATGCCCGTATGGAAAGGAAGTGGGAAAACATGCTCCAGAGGTTCTATTAAGATGTGCAACAGCCTTTTTAAGAAACACTGGGGAGAGACCATTCGGCATCATGATCCAAAATTTTTTCTCTTTATTTCCTCGATTGTGAAGAGTTGATCGGAGAGGTATGTTCCAAAAGGGACTGAGTAGTCTTCTTCGATCTCAAGATCCTTGTGGTCAGATACCAATTCTTGAAGTGTGTGGCAAAGAGTTCAGCAATCTGTTGAGGGTTCGAAGAACGGATATTGTTAAAATGCATGTGATTTGGTAAGCCTGCATCTCTCTTTGAAGATCTTATGAATGACCCGAAGTTTTTTACATTTGAGGAAATTAAATGCTGCTCTTTGGTAACATGCAACAGGTTGCACATGTCACTATGGTACTTCACGTCTTCATAGTCCGTTTGCCATCTTGATCTTCTCTACTTCTCAGAGAATCGATTTTTATGTGCAATTAACTTTTTTGGCTCAGAGTTTAACTAATTGGGATATTTGACGACCCTTATGGTTTTTTTTTGGGAACATACTGATTAATTCCTTGCTGTATAACTTCGTACAAACTAGCTACTGCTTCGCTAGAATCACTATTACTTAAGCACAGATTCCAGTCAATACTGTTGAAGTAATTGTTCAGTTCTTTATAGTTCGTTTGTTTAATTAGGTAGATAGTAGTAAGATCTTCGTATTTGGCGTTTGTCTACTTTCATATGAGAAACTAAACTCCAAAGGTTGATGTATATGAACCACCCCACACAGCGGAAAGTCATTGGTTTTGGTCACACGTAGAGAAAGTTCAGTTACGAAAATAGGATCCAGGGATCTATTGTACCTATTCTTCACATTGTTAAGTTGCTGAAGTTCCATGAAGAACACTACCTATCAGAGTGTGCTCGGCCAAGGAGTGAGTAAATTCCGGCACCAGAAAATCATCCTCTGTAATCCAGTTGACATTGGGAAGATTGAAGTCGCCGAATATGATGTCATTTGCATTTCTGTTTTTCAAATATTAACGTACTGTTACAAATGACCTGTAAGTCTCCTCAGGGGAACTTGGAAGGGCTGGTCCGATCACCATCTCACCACAGTGGATCCATATTTGCTCAAATTCAACAAAGTTATAATTGGAGATTGAAAGTTGCTGTCTCGCGTTATTAAAACTCCCGGTCCTCGATCTGTGTTGGTTGCTGCATAATCCCGATCGGCTCGGAATACTGAGTGAAATTATTTCCTGTATTTTTTATGGACTCATCAAAATGAATTAGTTCTTGTTTTAGCTTGGTAATTTTGGCTCCAAGTTCCTCATTTTCACTGCCTTCTCTTGCGTTTTCCTCTTTATACTTTTCCAATTTTTCTTCAGCCTTATTCAATTACGTCTCATAAGTTTCTGGAAGCTTTTCTAAGGTAATTTTTATTATTTCTTGAAGTTTCATCAAAAATTTTCTGTTTTGATTCTAAACCTTTTTTGAGGTCATCAGTTTTGGCTTTAAAATCCTAATCTTCCCTTTCTTCCTGTTTATTTATTAATTATAGATACCATCTTGTAATTACATTACAATCCTTGGATATCTAAACGTAGATTTTTTGTGTGACACTGGATCCAACCCTTTACAAGATTTTTTTGATATGTTTGGTTTCAGTCAGGTCATTGATGAACGCACTAGAGCCACCCAGAATTGATCCTCGTTGCTCGATTCAATTTTTATCAGTGAGTCAGATATAGTAGCTACTGCTGGCACGCTTGGCGCTGATGGTATCAGTGACCATCGATTAACATACTGTAATATTAGGTTGCCCATTACTAAAAATGTGCAAAAGTTTGTTACATTTAGAAATTTCAGGAACTGCATTTTATAATGATTTATTTAATGTACCATATATATATGGGATGATATTTATTATATAAACGATGTTAATGAGAAGGTAAGTTTTCTTATAAATAATTTAATGTTATTATTTGACCTTCATGCTCCTATCTTGACAGTCGGAGTACGTAACCCTCCAGCGTCTTGGTTAACTCCAGTTCTGGAATCTTTGATGAGAGAAAGAGACAATGCTTTTTTAAACTATACAAAAAATAAAACACCTGAAAATTGGGAGAGGTATAAATCTTTACGAAATTTAACTTTCATAACTTGATGAGGTTTAGTCTCCTTGATACATAATTAGATTGATTCTTGCTTTCCCATACCCAAGAATCAATCTAATTTAACTTTCATGTCGGTTCGTAGTGAGTAAGCTGGATATTTACATTTTTTGGACATTCGAAAGGACCCACGATTATTCTGGAAAGGTTTAAGGCAAATGGCTGTGTGCTCTGGAGCTAACAGTACCAATGACCTTCCTGTCAAAATGCTGCCGGAGGTGATAATCTAACTTTATATATTATGCTCCTAGTCTCCTAGCAATATTATATCATCTTATAATTAACTCATGCTGTCTGGAGAGAGGATATTTTCCTTCATGTTGAAAGGAATCTGTGGTGCGTCCTGTAGCCAAGATAGGCAATCCCTCTAATGTCGCCGAGTTGAGAGTGTTCATACCCATAAGTCTTTTGCCAGGCGTGTCTAAGGTTTTAGAGAGGGAAGTTTACTCACAGGTAAATGTGTATATGACTGTAAATAACTTGTATCCAGTTCACCAATCGGGGTTCCGGGAGGAGCATAGCAAATCGACTGCCTTGCTTAATCTGATCGATAGCCGTAGTACCTATCTATTTCTTTGGATTACTCAAAGGCTTTTGATGTGCTGGACCACGATCTCTTGTGAGCCAAGCTGCACTATCTGAGTGATGAGCTATCCTGTGCTTCCTTCAGGAATTACCTGAATGGAAGACATCAGGTGATACGCATCAATGGGAGGGTCTCCTCTGCTAGGCATATTGTGTCGGGTGTCCCACATGGGTCTATCATAGGGCCCTTGCTATTTCTAATCTATACATTTGACATATTTGATGCTGTTTCATATTCTCATATGCAATCATACGCAGACGACACCCAGCTTCTTCACTACTTTGATCCCTCCGATCCAAACTCAGCATCTGATTTTATTAACGAAGATCTACAGTCTATCTTACAATATTCTAGTGATCATAACCTAAGGATAAATGCGCTAGTAAAACTGAAACTTTATTGTTCTGTCAGAAACATCGCAAAGAATTTGTTGCAGGATTCCCTAATGTTGAAGCTGGCGAATGAGAAATTGCAATTTTCAGCTTGTTCGAGGCACTTGGGTCTCCATATAGATATAAATTTTAGATTAAGGGAATACATAAGAAGCTGCTAGAAAAAAGTTTCATAAGAATGAAAGTACTTTATGCAAATCGGTTTATTTTAAATTTTGAAATTAGAAAAAAGTTATGTGAATCTCTGGTTTTGTCTGTTTAACTATGGTAGCATTGTCTTTTATCCCTGTCTGGACAGTGTCGAAGAATAGATTGCAGTACATTTAAAATGTCTGCTGTCGCTTTATTTTTTCATTAGGGAAGTACGATCATGTCTCAGCAAAAATAATAGTTATTTATTGTATAAGTGTTTTAGGAAGCATTTTATCCACGCAAAAATGTTTAAACGCGAGAACGAAGTTCGAGCGTTTAATTTTCTTGAGTGGATAAAATGCAACTAAAACACGAATGTAATACAACGTTTTATCCACAATCACACGTACCATCGTCACCAAAAGTATCTGAGACACATATAATGCATAAGAATCTCCTGGACTAATTCTACTGTCATTCATTTCAATGCATTCAATTCACAGTTTGACAAATATTTGACAATAAAATTCATATAATAGGACAAGAGCTAATGTGATGCTGTCCCAGTTACTTTTGGTGACGATGGTACATACACATGGCGGATGGAAGAGCTCCTCTGTTGCTGAAAGATATATCGAGGATTCCGTTTCTAATAAGCTTAGTATTGCAAACAAAATTCACGGGGAAAATGTCCCTTACAAGAGGAGACACCTTATATTCCTGTTCCTGGTAATTCTGCCAAAACACCCATAAACGTGCGTTACCAAGCTGATGGAAATTATCACCTTTTTACCCACAACAACGGAGTAGCTATTAATATAAATGTTAATGTTAATATCAATAAATAGAATAAAAAATTTGTATTTCTTGATTTCATTATTCCACTAGTGGAATAAAGTTATTTTATTCCACTAGTGGATAAAGTATCACTTTAGACGCTTCATATGAGTGGATAAAACTGCCATCATTTGATGATTGTGGATAAATGAATTAAAATGGTTAAGGGTATCAAACACTGTGAAATTGCATTTTGTTGTTTTCAAATTGAATAAGTCCTCATCTTCAACCGAGGTTCCAACATACCTGAGAAAAAAATTAATTTTCCGTGAGGTCATACACAATCGTAACAATCGTAACATAAGGTATCGAAATCACTTAGCCAAGCCACAGCACAGGTCTGCTCTTTTTCAGAAAGATCTTTTAGTTAACATGTGGCTGTGACCAATTTTAGTACTTTAATAGACACTATAGAAATAGATTTCGTTCTAAAAGTGCCGTTTGCTACCCAAGAGAAGGACATGAAGGACACACTGTGCAGAATCCAGAGGATGGTTGCCAACTTGCTATACCAATACTTTTCCGGAATTGCTGCAGAGCTAGCAAAAAACATCCCCCCAAAAATGTTTTCCCCTCAACTCCTACCAACTTCGACTGCCTATATAAATCAATGGGAACCTGTTACTATATAAAGGAGGTCACTGCAGTTATAAACAAATTAAAACCAGGAAAATCACCTGGAGCTGAAAGCTTGGGCATTGATACAATCAAGGAATTGAAAAATGAAACATTGCCTTCATGTTAGTTGTTTTAATACTAAATCTGTACTAAGTTTGTTTAGAATGGCAAAGGTTGTCCCTTTATTTAAGGGTGGTGATAGCACAGAAGTAAACAACTACAAGCCCATTTCCCTGCTCCTAGTTATGTCTAAGGTATTGGAGACCTGTGTGAATATGAGATTAACCATCAGTTATTTGGATGGAATACATTTTTGGTATGCGGGTCAATATGGGTTCAGAGAACATAGCAATACCTCCTCAGCAACTTTAGACCTAATTACAAATATTTATAAAAGGTTGATAAGAGATATAAGTATGTAGGTACTTGTCTCGCTGGACTTAAGAAAAGCTCCCGACACAGTAAATCACAAAATTCTCGTGGAGGTGCCTGAAAAAACTGGTATTGGAGGTTCAGCACGACTGTGGTTTAGGGACTATCTATCAGGCAGACTAAAGTATGTTGAATGTTCCATAAAATCGAAAACATTGTACACGGAGTGCCCCAAAGTTCAATTCTGAGACCGACAGTCTTCCTAGTCTACATAAACTCACTGTCATACATACCTCTTCAGGGCTCTCTCAATTTATAGGCAGATGATACTTGCATCACTGATTTTGATAAGGACCCTGCTAACTTAAAAATCATCATTGAAGAAGACTCACAGAAAATAAGCGACTGGCTCTGTTACCACAAACTTAGTTTAAATGTGAAAAAGTCAAGCTATACAGTAATACCAAAGTTTGAGTCCTGGCCTGACTTCACAATAAACTTCCAAGGTCTTCCATTGACTCGTGCCAGACTGCATCAAATACCTGGGACTCTTTGTCGATTCAAAATTTACTTGGGATATGCACATCCTGCATAGGTATATGTGAAAAGTTTACTTGTTGTATTACGAGTACTTGGTCGAATATCGGGCTATCTGTCCATTACGCATCGTAAGATGATATACAATTCCCCTATCCATTCTCACATATCATATGCACTGGGGCAATGCTCCCCTTAACAAACTGCATTGTCAGTTCTCCAAAATCGTGCTATAAAAGTTTAAGCTGCCATAAAAGACTTATATTATCCGAATGGCATCCTAGACATTCACTCCCTGTATTATATCTTGCAATCATGCATCTTTATCCATTCTTTATCCATTTTTGCAAGACTTCCAATAAGTCTCATCCCAGCCAACACAATCTATCACCACAATACCAGACTCAATGAAAACTTAAGAATGTCGGCAATGAATACTACAACTGGCCAACGCAGCATCTTATCAGAAGGACTCAGGTACTACAATCGAATTCCAGAATCTGTTAAAGGATTAAACATAACTTGTTTCAAGTGTAAGCTGAAGCAGCTGATCTTCGATGGATACTTTGGGACTGTACAATGAAATACTTTTATCTGCAATTTAGAACTAATATATTCATAAATGCAACAACTTTGTGATACAGTACCTACTTGTACTGGATATTTTATCTTGTGTGATATTGTATAATGTATAAGTACGTTATATTGTAATAATGTTATATATGATACTAAATGACCCAGCAGCCTTATTCTGTAACTTGCGACCGCAGAGAATTGCGCAATTATCTTTGTCAAACGGGAGTTTTCTATTCAAAAAAAGCAACTTGCGACCGGTTGCTGGTTGCTATGTAGTTACTGTTCGTAGAGAATAGGCCTGCCGCATAGCTTTCCAGCTCAGGGTCTCTAGTTTAGGTACTTACATCTATCGTTTAACTATCATATACCAATATATCCTTTATTTCACATCATATTCTCATATGCAATCATACGCGGATCACACCCAGCTTCTTCACCACTTTGATCCCTCCGATCCAAACTCAGCATCTGATCTTATTAACGAAGATCTACAGTCTATCTTACAATATTCTAGTGATCATAACCTAAGGATGAATGAGCTAGTAAAACTGAAACTTTATTGTAGAAATATCGCAGAGAGTTTTTGCAGGGTTCATTAATGTTGAAGCTGGCGAATGAGGAATTGCAATTTTCAGCTTGTTCAACGAACTTGGGTCTCCATAGACTTACACCAGGCGTTTGTTTCTCACTATGGATTTAAAAAATTTAGCCAATACTGTATTAAAACTTTTGTATTTACACCTATCATTTATCTGTAAAGGTGAAGGCTGCAGGTGGGGTGTAAAAATACACGGGAAAACCCTGTACCTACATTGTACATTTCATATTTCCTTTCCAATTTCACAACTCAGTATGAGACCCCATTTTTTGTAGGGCGACCCATAGTTGAATTATTCTTTAACGACCTCCTTCTAAAAGTTGATACTCTGTCCTTTGGTACCTAAGGCTTTCCACAAATTTCAAGAAAAGAAATAATAAAATCAATATTTAATTAATTCGAAGCAGAGAAAATTAATAAGCATACCTTTTTTCAACCTACATTTAAATTTCATTTTAAAATAATTTCTAAAAAAAAAATAAACATAAATATGCAAATAGAAAATTTCGCCAAAAATTAACATCTTCATCAATAAATAATATTTGACACATTGAATACCATCGCGATAAAAGTGAAATTAAAGGCGCAACACAATAACAAAATACGAAAATCGTTTTAGTTATTTGCATTAGAAAACGAAAGCCTATTATTTACCTTTAGATGTGTCTACTTTCGTTTACCATAGTACATAAGTACACGTGTCTAATAGAGTTTCAATGAATATTAATTGATTTAACACCTTACTTACGCATAAGGAATTTTAAAACATTGACAAAGAAGTAGAAAATCAAATCATTAAATCAACCTCCAAGACATAAAATTCTTATTGATTTGACATAGCTATATATCTAGATAGAGTAAAAAAAACAACAACAAAAATATGGAATGTTTCCCAAACCCAAATTAGGATGTTAAAACGTTAACTATTCTTCAGAAATGTATAAATTCTAGTTAAGAACTGAACATTTCTAAGAGCAACAGTTAGCTTAAGAAACATAACTGTTTCCTTTGAAATTTATTTCTACAATAAACTGTGCAATTTCAAAAGAAAACTGCCCACCGTCCGTCGTTTCGAGGAAACCCATAAAAATTTTACGCATAATATTCTAACAAAACTAACGTTAATGAGCCACCTGAACAATATAACGAGCGCGGATTCAATTAAAAGGTAACTGTTAATAATATCCTTGACCTCTGCCTGCTTATGCGGTTGCTTGGATTGCAGTTCCAACAACCGAAGAAATGTTTAAATATCTTGTTTTTTTCAGCATCTCACTTCTTGGCGGAATGGACCGGTTGAATAAGAACAGGACTGGAACTAGAAGGAATTTTCTTTATCGTATCTACTTATTCATATACTTTCATATTCGACTTGTGAACGAATTTTTCATCAAATCATAGCGATTAGGAGATGCTTTGATTGAAATTCGAGGTGGGAGATGGGATAGTCAGTGGTAAAACTTCTATGAATTCCGAAATATCTTCTTAACTTTCGTCTCAAAACCAAATACACATAATCAGAATGAATAGTCGACTTAAACTCTTCTTATTCTTGATCTTTAGCCACACTTATGCAGATCATTTTCAACAAATTCCATGTTTCCCTATTTGAGTCAGTCTGGATATGTATCCAGATAGATGTCACTTCTGATTATCTGTAGAGGATCGATTATTGGGAAACTTTTCCTAAGTTCCGCTTGTTCGGCAAGTTGATAGAAATCTAGCTCATTTATATGCATAAATATAGGTATTCCTATATCCCTGAAAATAATTAAATTGACATCTGAAATAAGACAATAATCAATTCATAATAAGATCCTAAAAGGAACGGTATTTCAACTACTACGTCATTGACCATTTAACCAAACCAATTCCTAAAAACCAACCCAAAAATAAAATCAAGAAATAAAAAAAATCGGCATTGACCCAGTTTAATATTAAATCGTCGATTTGTCAAAGTCTACTAACTAAAAATTTCACCGAAAAATTTCACCGAAAAATTTCTCTTGAATCCACCTCTGGGTATCTGCGCGCTCGGGAAAGAAGAACTATAAACATTTTAAGAAGATGCCCCTATAAAATCGACCGGTAAGAGTTCAACAACTCCAGTACGGTTCATTTCATCATGCTACTCAAATATACAGTAATATTTCTAGTGATAGTTGTTGCCGTTAAGTCGGCCACAATACAAGAACGGAATATACCCGTGGAAATTAGATACGAACGATTAGAACATGATATTACCGGAAATTTAAGAGAAAAAGTACAATTGAGCGAAGAAGAACTGAAAGAGAATCAATTGAGGCTGCAAAAGTTTGAGGAGGCAAAAATTGCGGTGTCTAAAGCTGAAGAAACCAAAGACCATTCCCATTTGATTCAAAACCTAAACGAAAAAGTTCAACTTTCTCCAGAAGACTTGCTGCAATCCTCCAAGCACATCCCAATCCAACACACACTTGACCAAGAAACTGAAAATTTAGAAAAATTAGGAGACAGTTCATCAACCAACAAAATCTCTTTAATAGACAAGGCCCAGGATCTCATTGAAAACGGCCTCAAAACACTGAAAGCCAACTTCGTCCCCACAGAAAACCAGGTGGCACCGCCCAAAGAACTTTGGGAAAAGTTGGAAAAAGACGTCAAAGACTTTTTCACAGAAGAAAGAAATAAATTCGGATCCCGGCAAAATCAAGGCGCCAATCAGCAAAATATTTTCCAGAATTTCGCCAACGGTTTCCAGCAAATGACCAACAATTTCGTCCAGCAATTCCAAGGGTTGAATCAGAACGGACAGAATGGCACTAGCGGCGACGAGGGCACAGCGCAGCAACAGGGACCTATTCAAGGGTTTATTGGATATTTTACTGGAGGTATGAGACTTTTTTTTGATATTTGTCTTTTTTTACTTTTGGAGAAAGTTTTGGTTGGTTGCTTGTTGGGCTTATTGGATGTTAATCCTCATTTTACTCTAAATCACTTTTACTTATTTTATCCCATTTTGACGTTTAAAAATGACATTATTGAACGCATAACAATAAAGGTAAGTAGACGTTTATCACCTCAGTGAGATAAAAACATTTTTCTACTGACGTTTCATAATAGCAACTTTTCGATTGTCATTTTAGTTTTAAAACGACATTCTTTTAAGCACTGAATGCGTAAAAGTTACTTTTAGGCACTCAGTGCGTAAAAGTGACTTTTGAATGCGTAAAAGTGACTTTTGAGTACGTAAAAGTAATTTTTAAGCACTAGTGCCTAAAAGTGTCATTCATTATTCAGAAATAAAAAACTCACTAGATACAAATTTGAATTTTGTTTTGTATTTATTATGAATATTAAAAATGTAATTATGCAATTGAACGTTTGGGTTACCCAAAACAGAACTTTGTGTTATTACCTACTTTCTAGGATTTTAATTATTGATGTCAAATCTTGAAAAAAAAATCGTATGAAAGGTGTCAGGTGTCAAGCAAAAGCAGGTAACAAAGATTTTGGGCGTATAATCGACTTATTCACATGAAATAAAATTGTGTTTTTCTATTATAAAATGCCAGTAGAAAAAATCTTGTATACAATACGTTACGAAACGATTTCTTTTAGTCACTCGACGTGTTGTCCAACTCGGCTTTGCCTCGTTGGACAATTTTCACGTCGCGTGCCTAAAAGACGCTCATTTCGTAACTTATTGTATAAATAGCTATTTAACTCACTCTCGGCATTTTAAGTCACTCTGCCCAACTAAAAATCTGAAACCTCAGTGATTTGAAATATTTTTAACTCACTCTTGGCATTTTTCCTTGTACTTTATTTTTTAAATTTCCACAAAATGGGATAAAATTTTGTATGCATCACGTGAGTTAAAATGTTTATTCATTCGAAGAAAATTAACCCACTCGCTAGGGCTCGTGGGTTAAACTTTCTTCTCATGAATAAACATTCATTTAACTCACTTGGTGTATAAATAACTATGAATTTTTTATTTTTCATTTAGGTCATTTTTGCTGATTTTAATGTTCAAGAAAAACCGTTCCAAAAGTGATACATTGTTTAAATACATTATACTGGTCTCTGCTCACTCAGGTCATAATTTTAGAGGCTAAAATATTACTTATTTCTTGTATTTAACCAGTTTATACAAATTTCGTCATCGAAAATACAAAATTCCGTGGGCCTTTTCCTATTTCTTCATTCATAGTTTGTTTTTATTATTTATGATGGGTAAGTTCTATTCTGGAATGTAAATATCTTTATCATGTTGCTGATGAGTTCATCATCTCGCCAGCACAATCTGCTCAGTCAAACAGGGCAATTGATCATTTCTTCGTTGATTCTTATGCCCATTCCTACGCAAGTTCTAGAAGAGTTAAAAGTTATGGATATATTGTGTCAATATTTTGACAATGAACTCCAGGTAGCCTCACAGATGTTGAATAATACTGGTTGAACTTGGGAATCTATTCAACATTAATTCACAAAATGTATTACACGTGTAAGTTTAGATACATACTGGTGTCAATGAAAAAAGACCTATTGTTCAATTTTTTAAAATATTTTTTACGAAACTCTCCTAATCTTCCCTTTTAGGAGTCCAAAATATCGTAAGCAATATCCAAAACCTCGGACAAAACGGCCAACAAACTTCGGGAAACAGTACAGTTCTAGGAGATTCTGGCACCAACCAAGGACAACCTGGAAATATTATTGGTAACTTTGTCAATGGCGTACAGCAATTCTTCCAAGGGCCTCAACAAGGAATCAACCAAATATTTTCTTCTAATAACACACAAGGTAAAGAACCAATTCAAAAACCTGGAAAAGAACAAATTATGCAATACAATTTCATTTTCTTTCTAGGTGACACTGGTACCGGTCAACCAGGCTCAACCCAGCAAGGTTTCTTCGCAGGTGCCATTAACCAATTCAATTCGGTGGTCAGCAACATAATTCCCACCACCGCAAAGCCAGGGACTCAAGGCGATGAAGGCACTGCCAGTACCGGAGGTACCCAAAACGGACCGATCCAACAAGTGATCCAGTCTTTCGGAAACATTGGTAAGCATTTTGCCAAAAACCAATACCTAAACCTCATCAAATTGTGTTTTTATAGGTAACGCCTTCAACCAGTTTATACAAGGAGGACAGCAAAACAAGCCTCCAGGTTTGTATAACGTAACTTTCAACACAAAAGTTTATAATATTTATCGTTTCTAGGCTCTGAAGACGAAAACGCCAACCCAGCCCCACCTCAAAACCAAAACTTCATCCAAAGTATCGGACAAAATATCGGAAATGCTTTCCAGACTATCCAGAATCAGTTCAGACCACCGTCGCCGTCCAACTTAACCGCAATAGCCGGAAGCTCTGACGGTGCCAATGCTATCGTCGGACAAGCTGTGAATGCTGGAACCCAAATCCAGCAGGTCGCTGGAGAAGTTGCTGGTAACAATCCCATTCAAAATTTGATACCAGGTTCGTATTTTTCATATTTAAATTCAAGTGAAAATGGGTGCGTTGCACTTTACAGACAAAAAAATGTAATTTATCTGCTGATTTGTTGGATAATCTTTGAATTTCCATGTTATTTTGGTTAAAGGAAGTTCCCCAAGTGAGAGTGGAGCCAAGAAACCGGTTGAAACTGCAACACCTCAGCCTGCGAGTCCTGCAGCTGAGCCAGTGAGCCTTGAAGCTGTTCCAGTAAAGGTTGAAGCTGTACCAGACAAGAAAGAAGTTATGACTGCCACCGAATAGCTGAAAAAAGACTGCTTAGACTAAAAGCTATATTAAAATAGTAGAGAGATGTCGCTTAGGTTTAGGTATTTATTTGAACATGTTTTTTTGAAGCGTGGTTTTAATTTTAAATTAAATTATTTTTATTTATTGAATTGTCAAAAACTGTTGAGGACTCGAAAAAAATCGTACTTAATAAATATATCAGATATATTTTTTTCTCAGTGAGTTTTTCGATAAATATAACCTAATAAGTTTTCCTGAAGCTGCTTACATACAAATACCATCGTTTTTGCTTCTCGTCCGGGTGTAGCAATTATATTTTCGATTCAGAAACTTGTATTTTAAAAAACATTTATTTTATTGATTAAAATACAGAGGTGACAAAAGAAAATATTCGGTATCAAATTGCTACAGGCTAAAGCCAGAAAACAAATGAACGCTCCTTATGGGACTGCATCGGCTTAAATAAACATTAATGCCGACATAGCAATTTGATGTTTACTTTCCAACAATGTATTTAAAAAGTCATAGAGGAAAGGGGTAAGCACATTAAAGCATATAAAAAATAGATAATTGATTAAAAATACGCATGGCAATTGGTTAATATAACTCCTCCCTCCTTAAGATGTTGCAAACGTGGATTGTTGTGAATTCAAATCAGACAATTCAATTTGCACATTTGCACAACCTTTTTCTGAAGTTTTAAACTTCCTAAAACAGTAAAACAGTAAAATTAAAAATAAAATAGCAAGACTTAAACCTATGATTACATATGTGTTTAAATAAGAGTGTTCAAAAGACAATTCTTTTAGATTATGAACTCTTATTTGTTTCGTCGTCGTGAAGGCTTCTTCTAAGTCTTCTTGGTTGATTTTTTGAAGTTCCAATGTTGTTGCGTTCTCTGGAAGTTCAGGGATGTCTATTCTTGGAATCTTCAGTTCAAAATTGAAGTTCTCGCTGGTTTTTGAAAATGTTTGATTTTGTATTTTCACAAAGCATTTCTCAAAAGAAACTAGCGTTGGATTGGTTATTATTTCCATATGGTTTGTCTTGTCACATTGAATAACTATAGTCAGACTTTTCTTAGGGATGACTAATAGTTGTCCATTCGGAAGTTGTCTCACTATTGGTTTTTCATATTTCACTTTAGTGAAAGGACATTGTTGTGGTAGGTCAGTAATCAGGTCATAGACACATGATTCTTCTTGCTTCAGCTTGGTTACAAAGGTACACACTTTCGACTTTCGGGCATTCCCATAAAGTATTGTAGTAAATGTCCGTAGTAAGTAATAGGTAAGGGTACTTATTCCTAATGGTAAGTTCTTGGATAGGAATTGGATAGATTTTATACAATATAAAGGGCTTGGGATCAATCATTGGTATGTGTATAATAAATATAATTAACTCATTTTGGATTTTTACTTGAGTTTTCATTGTCATACTTGATTTTATTATCAAAAGGTATTTGCTGATTTTTGGGTATATTTGTTAATATTTGATTTAATTCATTATGCTGTAAAATAGTATAATGCATTATTCCCAATTGTGCAAAATTTATTGCTAATTGCACATGATCAATAAGATTCCTTATTTTATTACTTTGAATATTGATATTGTTCAATATTAGATTAAAAGTTAACATTGAGTGGAAATTTTGGTTTTCCAAGGAAATATTTTGTAATTTTCCTGTGATAACCTTTTGGTTATATTCAATAGTTAAAAGTTGATCGTGAAATGTTTTAGTAACTTGTTTCAATACTTGAGCTTGTGTTTTTAGATCTTCATTGAGAGTCTTTTGATTATCGTTGTGCGTCTGGATATAAAAATCATATCTTGCGCCGTCTTCAGCATCTAGGGTTCCGTAGAGCCATTTTTGTGCTGTGCCTATGAAATTTAATAGACCTCTTTTATTACGTTTTCGGTCTTGATAGGTTCATAATCTTAATTTGAGAATGACTGTTTTCAATATTTGTTTGAAACAGTTCAACAAATTGGTTTGACCATGTTGTTTTGTTAAGAGTGTCAGATAATTTCACTGAGGTAATTTCCAGTTTATGGATACTTTGTATGATAATTGTCGTGTTTATGTGATATTCGGCCGTGTAATTTTGAGTTGTTATGTAAGTAGTTCCTAAAGAAATTGGTAAAATAGGATTTTCTACCGTCATCAATGTATACGCTTGGGTGACTCCAACGAGAGTTAGGAATACTAAGTGATTCATCTCGGAGTACCTGAAATAAATTATTGTCGTTTAACATTTTGTTTAGCAAAGCGATTCTGTGTTTTGCTATCATAACGCGGACTTATCTTGTCTCTATTAAATTGTTTTACAAAGATTGGATCTTGTTATTCTGGTTCAGGTTCACGTTTTTGATTACGTGATTCTAAAGACTTTGTTTGTTTCGCTAATAATTTTTCTTAAATTTCTTTATTCAAATTTGCAAGTGATTCTGCCAAACTTGTTATATAGTCAGTTGTTAGTTTATTTTCCGTTTGTTTAATTGGTATGGCATAATTCAAATCTCCTTTAATCACTTGAAAAGGGGTGTGATTAATTGTACTATGAGTACTGTTGCTATAATTCAATATAGCGATTGTCATTAGATCAATAATACTCTTATTCGGGTTTTGGAGTCAAACTCGTTATACTTTCACGTAGTGTCGAATGGAATCTTTCGATTGGACTATTCGAGTTCGGGTTTCTTGGAGTTGTGTAATGAAACTCAATTTTGTATAATGTACAAAGATCTGTCATTATAGCATTTTTGAACTCTGCTCCATTATCTGATGTGATTTTTTGAGGTATTCCATGATCACTAAAATATTTCAATAACTGTGATGATATCTCAACAGCTGTTTTCGTATTTACAGGAGAGGCTTGACCAAATTTTGAAAAGCTATCAATAATGGTCAGAAATTTCTGGTTATTGATTATGTACGTGTCAATATAAATATGTTCAAAAGGTTTCATACCAATGGGTGTTGGTTTGAATATGATTTTGTATGGTTGACGTTCATACTTAGTTTTATTGCATATCTCGCATACTTTGACATAATTCTGTACGTCTTTCTCGATATTGGGCCAATAGAATCTTTTCTTTAAGGCTGGATATTTTCAGTGATTCCTCTGTGAGAGGTTTTAGTCTCATGATATTGCTGAATTTTCTCTTGTTGAAGATCAACTTCTGTGATGTCTTCTAATAAAGAGTTCGAGATGTACAAAGTAAATGAATTCGAATTAAAGGATTCTTGTAATGTACGTATCACAATAGGTTCTAAAGATTTATTTAGGAAATGAAGGCAATAAATACGTGGCATGTATTCCTTTACTAAATTAGTAATTTGTGATGTTGTTGGATTATTTGGTAAGAAGAATATTATTCTCTTCTTATTACCAAATAGTTTGATTATCTCTTTTCTAATTGTGTTATTATTGGAATATCGAAATACAATTTGATTTCCAAATACATTTACATGTTTCTTAGTATATGGGGCTCCTAATATTGGATTTTCCATAGACGTATGTATTGTTTGGTCATTTTCAGACAAGGCTGAAATTGTTGAAGAACGATTAGTTGGTGTTATTTTTCTGTTACTTTTTTAGTTTTCGAAGATTCTCCTATTTCTATGGGAATTTCTTTTTTCTCTTTTCTTGGAGGTATTATTAGTTGTGATATCTTTATTTTGGGTTTTACTTTCTTAGGTTCCTCTTCAGGTTCTTTTTCTGATGCTGTTTTTGTTGATTGAGATGATTCAGACATTGTTATCTCTTTTTCTTTAGCTATCTCGCTTTGTTTAGGAAGATATACTTTAGAATCTGTAAAGTTTGTTGCTATGATTTCATCATTACATAATGGTGTATCTTTCAGCATTAATCCTAATTTTTTATGAAATTCTTCATCTGAAGATGTTAATCAATGGCATGAAGTTGTATTGTAGAAATTCTTGATAGTGCGTCTGCATTCATGTTTAATGTTCCTTTTTTGTATTTGATCCCATAATCAAATTCAGATAGTTTTAGTCACGATTTGACTAATTTAGAACTTGGTTCTTTAACATTAAATAGCCATTGTAGAGGTTTGTGATCTGACAAGATTGTGAATTTTCTACCAAAAAGATAAGGTCGAAAATTGTTTTCAAGAAATTTGAAAATATGTATATTGCATTTCTCCATCACTTCTCGGTATACCTTGTGTTTTTGTTTGGCGTTTGGGAAAGTATAGTTTTTTCATGCATGAAAAATGCTATCATTTCGATCTTTCAGCATCCTTTCTTACAGAATATTGAGTCACAAGATTGCGGCGTTGTGGTGGTTTTTTAATTTATTTGTTAAAATAATCTGGTGACACTCCCTCCCCACATATAAAGCAGTGGGTTTTAAATGAGAGCTGAGGAAAATCATAAGGGACATTCTTGTAACTCAGTAATTGTGAATATTTGTGGGGATTTTGTAAAGGTAATTGATTCTAGTAAATATGTTTTTCTACTGAATGATTCTAGCTGCGAATTTGAAATGTTCTAAAGTACAAAGTGGCGACCTGATTATTTAAATATTATCAATTGGTTTATTATTTCATTTATTTTATATTTTATTTAAACATTTTTGAAATGTAAAAATCTTATCTAATTGCGATACCTACTTGATGGATTGAATTGAAATAACCTTCAGCACACAATTTACTTGATTACGAGTAAACATCCATTCGTGGATTGCATTTCAAGTATACATTTTTCAAGTCGTTTAACGAAAATTGTATTATATGTAGTTTAAAATAATTTCAGTGATAATATGTTTGCAGTTTTTGTGGCTTTAGTTTTAATTGTTGCCAGCTGGCTGGCGTATTTATACAAAGACATTTATTGGGCCAGGAAAAAATGCGATTGGATGCCTCACGCACCTGCATGGCCTTTCATTGGTGGTATTCTGGAATTCGGTGGACATACAAGTAAGTTGAAAGATTTTTGGATGAAAATTGGACAAAATTTCCTTTGAGAAAATCCTCCCAACCTTAGACCAAAATCTAATGTATAATATCTACAGTTGAGTGAAAAATTCTTTTACACAAAAATCAAGTATAAGTTGAAAGTATTCAAGTGTAAGGACCGGTTTATCAATGGAGGTTTATTTAGTTCAGCTATTCATTAACTGATAATCATCATTAGTTAACTGACAGCTAAACTAGATAACTGTCCACTGATAAGCCGCTCTTAGGTTCTGGGGAAGTAACTTTTACGTACCTAACTATCATCTTCAAAATGATCCCCATTCTGGTCGTAGGCACGTAATGGGATCGTAGCAATAACGTTGCCGTCACTAGTAACTACAACTTTACAGTTCTCAACAAAAGTCACTGGGTCGTACCAAAGACTGAAAATGTTGCTCGGAAGTACCGCATTTGAGCTATCAAGTTAATATAGAACTGTTCAGAGTTGTATTGAATGGAACCTACAGTAATTCACTCATCTTACCCACTCAATTCACTCGTTTTAAGATCAGTACCGTATTTGATCAATTAATTGATGAGTGAATTGCTGAGAGTTTCAGAATTAGGTAATGAATGGAACTCTGCTGAGCAATTCACTCTTTTATAAGCTGTTCAAGTATGATACGAAATAAAGTCTAGAATATAGGTAGTCCGTAATAAATGCAGCAAATTACTAACATTAAATCCTAATTATAATTCCTTATTTTTAGGAACAATAGATGACATTGGAAGACTGCTAAACAACCCTAGCAAACTATGTTTCCTGCAAATCGCCAACCATTGGCACATCATGGTTAAAAATTACGATCTAATGGAATTCGTCTTGTCTTCCAACACGATTTTGGATAAATCCTCGGAATACCGGTACATAGCTAACTGGCTAGGAACTGGATTACTGACAGCGCCTGGTATAAGAAACAATTCAAAATAATTTATATTCTAGTGTTTTGTTTAAAGGCTACAAATGGAGACAGCGTAGGAAAATTATAACTCCGGCCTTTCATTTTTCCATTTTGGAACAGTTTGTTGAGATTTTTGAAGCTAATGCCACAATTATGGTTAGTAAACTGGAACGTGAGGCTCTGGATAAAGAGAGTGTTGATATTTATCGTTATATTACGGCTTATGCTTTGGATACAATTTGTGGTGAGTCTTCACAATTGCTTCTCTAACATGATCCATTTTGTTGATTTTTAGTCAAAGAATAGTTGAAGCCTCTCTCTCTGCAACCTTTTCCCAAATAGGAACGCAACATGTTTTTTTCTTTCTAGAAACTGCAATGGGAGTAAAAATCGATACACAAGACAACAAAAACCAAGACTACGTATTCGCAGTCAAAGACGTGTCAAGAATTACACTGACCAGAGCGTTTTCAGCTTGGCGAGGCATCGATTTTCTTTTCCAGTTTAGTCAAGACTACAAAAACCAACAAAAAAACTTGAGTATTTTACACGGTTTTACAAAGTCGATTATTGATAAAAGACGTCAACTTTTAAATGAAATTAAACCAAATAATGAGGACAAAGAAAAGGATGTTTTTGGACGAAAACGTAAAATGGCTTTTTTGGATTTGTTACTTAATGCTACGACAGTTGATGGTCAGCCATTAAGTATGGAGGACATAAGAGAAGAAGTTGATACATTTATGTTTGAGGTAAGAACAAGGATATTATTAAAATAAAACTATTTGGACATATTTTTAGGGCCACGACACCACTGCATCTGCTTCATCGTTTGCAATTTATTTGTTAGCTAACCATCCAGAAGTACAAGTAAGTTGGGAATTGTCTGGATTCGATTGGCTTAATAATATTTTTTTTAGAAACTAGCAAGAGACGAACAAATTGAAATCTTTGGCAAAGACAAAGAAAAAACGGTTTGTTATCAAGATTTGCAAGACATGAAATATTTGGAGCTCGTTTTGAAGGAAACTTTAAGAATTTATCCTTCAGTGCCGTTTGTAGGACGAATTACTAATGAAGAACTTAATTACAAAGGTAGATTTGTATATGTATTCTAGATGTGCTTTGTCTAATTTTACATATTTAGGTCATATTATACCAAAAGGTACCATCCTGATGTTGCATCTTTACGGGATGAATCATGATCCTGACTATTTCAAAGATCCTGAAGAATTTAGGCCAGAAAGATTTCAAGATTTGTCTGGAAAATATCCATATTCTTATATTCCTTTCAGTGCTGGACCACGAAATTGTATTGGTAGGGCAATAAGGCCTAGTGAATTCACTATTGGTATTGATAGCAATAAACATTTTTAGGTCAAAAATTTGCTATGTTAGAAATGAAGAGTATAGTATCGAAAGTATTGAGGAATTTCGAATTGTACCCAACAAATCCACCTCATAAACTGGTGCTATCTGCTGAAGCTGTACTGAAATCGTTGAATGGTGTAAATATTAGACTGAAGAAATACAATTGGGCACAGAATTGAATACTTTTTATGTCAAACATTATCTAATAAAATTTATACAAGAAATTCCTATAATTATTTGGCTAATTGGTACCTACCTGTGTAATGATTTTTCATTATTGATAAATTTAACTCATTTTCATTCTTATTTCTGAAACACCAAGTAAAACGATGAATTGAGAAACACATCTTAGTTTTTCTATATCAGGCTCTCGTATTTACTGTAAGTATTTTTTGAATTTTCCTCGTTTGAAGATGTTTAGGAGAAAACAAATTATTGGTGAAGAGTTCTTTAGACTAATTTATTCAAAACTAATTGAAACTCTGAGATGTAGGTACAGTGTCTTATTTTTGAAAATTACCAATTAATCAAATGACACAAAACGGATAATGACCGAATGGCTTGATGATTTTTCATTCTAGTTGAATATTCTTTATATTACCTACCATTTACATAATACGCGTAAAACAACATTTTATCTTTGCCATCTGATGTTGGTACTTTTGGTTTAACAAGAATGAAAGAGTATCGTTGATTTTGATTAGTTGGCTTATTAATATTCAGGTGATTTGTTAATTGTCATCAAACAAATTTACATTTTCTTGATTATTGTCTTTTGAGAATCGCGCTTTACGTATAAATAAAAGAAGAGGGTTGTATGTGTTTTTATTATTGTATCTGCACTTCAGGTGGCAAAATCAAAAAAATGTTTGCTCTAAGATAAAGTCATTTGACAATAATGGTAAGTTTACACTGTTCCTAGACTTATTATATGTATTCAACCAGTCCTATTTATAACACTTTATTGTTAAATACAAAGTTGAATGAACTTTTCAATGTTGAGTAACTTGTTCAGGTGTACCACTTTGAAGTTCTGTGTCCTGGAACAATCTTGTAGCTTCATTATCAACCATCATGTATGTATACCAATCATTGAATACCCAATGGCTCCAACTACTTCTTGCTGGAAAAGTATGGAATTTGTTTCTTCCCTGATAGAATACTTTCGTTATTGAAGTTGAAACTTGCTTTAAGTCCATCAGGGGAAAATACACAAGTAATTCATCAAATTAGGGTCTTCCTCTTCTCTTCCCTCAGAAACCACCCCGCTCTTATTTTAATAACGGAATCAATTGATTTTTCAGATCTTGTTAACTACAATGTTGATAACATTATCACGAGCCGCACCATATTATTCCGTAATAAAACCAGACGGATCTTATGAATACGCGTGAGTACCTTCACAACAACTTATTGCCCCTTTAATTTTTTTTAAAATTTACTGATTTAGTTACCAAACAGACAATGGAATCTATGCAGAACAAAAGGGCAACGTACTAGCAGTCGAAGGTTCCTATCTATACCAATCTCCTGAAGGTATTCCTATCCATCTGACGTACACGGCAGACGAAAACGGTTTCCATCCTTCGGGTGACCATTTGCCGACTCCACCTCCGATACCGATAGAAATTTTACGAGCCATCGAATGGATCAAAAAGCAAAATGAACAAAAGGAGAATAAATTGATGGATAAATATTCATGAGCTATGTATTTAATTAATTGAAAAAAATTAAGTCACCTAAATTTATTATTATATTAGTATATGATATGATGTACTTTCTTTCAAGAAGGTTCAATCTAGGGAAAGTTACCTAATAATATTATTATAAGAAATACACAATTACAATAAGTACCTTGTTCATTTACATTTTGTATCAGATGCAATGAAATTAATAAAAACCGATACTCATTCATCATCATAATCAATCAGCGCTCTGCGTCCACTGCTGGACATAGGCCTCCCCTAGTTCAGTCCATTCTTTTCTGTCTAGTGCTTCAAATCCAGTTCTTTGTAATTTTAATAATGTCGTCTGTCCAGCGAGTTGGTGGTCTTCCTCTGCGTCTTTTATCGGATCTGGGTCTCCATTCAAGAAGTCGTTTTGTCCACCTGCCATCTTTCATGTGGGCCACATGTCCGGCCCAGTTTCATTTGAGTTGCTACATCCCTTACCAACGCTTCTGGTAAAAAAACTTGGGATAACACAGTGCAAAATGGAGAGGTCGATGCTTAGGTGTCTCGCTACGTGATCACATTAGGAATGAAGAGTGTTTCCGCGCCGTAGGTCAACATAACCGCCCAGGAGAATTTAAATTCCTCTGTTTATCTCGCATATTTAGTCGGCTTTGGATATGCTTATCTCGTGGCCCAGATATGTATATTTATCCACCAGCTCTACCTCGGAGTTTTCAAAAATTGAGTTGCTGCTAGGGACGAGGTTTGTCATAATTTTTGTTTTTCCTGTGTTAATTTTCAGACCAACTGTTGCACAAACCTTTCGAAGTTCCTGTAGCATTATCCCAATATCTTCCAGGTTGGCAGCTAATAAGACGATGTCATCAGCAAACCGTAAGTTTGATAATTAATTACATGTAAAGGTTCACAGATAGCCGATGGCTCATAACCAAAAAAAGGTCTTTATGGAAAAATTGCTTTAAAAATACAAAACAAAATATAAAATAAGATAAAATCAGAGAGATAACATAGAAAAATAAAACAGTGAACATAGACAATGGACAGTTATGATGGCTAGGGCATAAAAATACGACTTGAAAGTAGGTACTTAATAATTATAAAATCAGAAGCAATGACAATAAGACGACGAACAGACTAATTTTTGATGCAGCTTGAAAGTTTTCTTAGCTGATTGATGCTTACATTGGAAATATCCAGATTTGCACTGCTTATCAGAACCTCGTTGCACCCTGAAAGCATATGGTTTATTGGTGAATGATTAGAATTATCAACATAAAATGATTCGCTATTTGATATTCTTAAATGTATTTTTGGTACACTCATTCGAATATAGTTAGTAAGATCACAGCTCTTGTATTTCAAATTGTTTAAAATATAGTAAATGAATATGACAGCCTGTGTTTTTCTTCTAGTAGATAGGCTAACCACATTGAAGCATGGATCTGTATGAGACCATGGATGGATGAACATTATTTTTCTTAACGTAAAGATATTGTAAGAAACGTCTTTGAACTTCTATGTCATTGGTTCTTACTGCAGTTGTTGGATTCCAAATATTACTAGCATATTCCAAATGTGGTCTCATCAGAGACTTACACAAAATTATAATAGTTTCACTAAGAATTTTTTTTGTATTATGTATAACAAAGCCTATAGTGCTTTGTAGGCTTTATTGATTATACAACTCACTGTACATTATTCCCATATGACACGAGAGGCTTAATAAGTGATAAGCCTTTTGGGATTATCGCGCTTGGTGGCAATATTGTCAATTTGTCATTAATGATTATAAAGATTGATAAAGTATTGAAGTTTAGTTCTTTGTATAACCTTTTGAATACCACTCGATGTTTCAGGATTACCTAATACTTTTACCTGACACTCAACGCGTTACCAGCAACACCACTCCTCCTTCGGAGTCGTGGTGTTGCTGCGTAACACGTTTCGTGACAGGTAAAAGTATTATCCGGTAATCCTGAAACCTCTTGTGGTATTACATTCGATAATACACATGTAATGGTTATTAAACAGTTTTAAAAAGCTTGAAATCATCTGCATAGGTACAGCAAACTATAGGATGACATTAAGCATTCAGGTATAGTATTTTTATTTTCACCTGAAACACTGAATTATACGAGGATATTTCAATATCACGTCGCTCTTATATTAATTTCATAGAAAATCTATTCTAAGTTTCCCTGTACAAAATATAAGCAGCGAGAAAATATCGCTACAGTAGCCCAAAATAATAATTTAGGTCGGCAGGCGCGTTGAATTATTAGGATGGGCTACTTACGTCTCCCCGGGAGAGATGCAGGTGCTTTGCTGACTAGACTACGGGACTTCTATAACCAGTGTCATCCCAATTTATATATTTTTTGCTGTTTTATTCCAGGTATTATTTAGTTGTGTTGTTTGAGATTGATTATTACCATTCAAAGAAATAAAAAATATGTAACGCTCATGTCTTATATTTGTTTGATGTATGCCGACTAGATGTTTTTTTGGTGTTTCACTTGGGATTAAAAATACTTTAGATCATGTATAAATATTATAAAAAGCAGGGGACCCAATTTGCTTCCTTGGGAAACTCCCGAAGTAGAAACAAATTGACCAGAAAAACCATGTGCAAGCTTGACAGACTAGACTGTTTTGCGTTGTGACAAATCTGACCATAAAAAGCTTTAGAAGAGAGACCAAAATCAGCAAACTTGCTCAGCAATATGCCGTGCTGCACCTTGTCAAATGCCTTTGCACAGTCAGTGCGTATATAACATCCAGTTGTTTCTTATTAGCAATAGCTTCAGACACACATTCTGAGAAACAGCATAGGTTGGTAACTGTAGATCTGTCCTCCAGAAACCCGTGTTGAAGTTGCGATATATTATTATAAATATGATACAAAAGGTCACTGTATGTACAGAATTTTTTCAAATAGGTATCTTACTTAGACTATTCAGTAAGCTCATTGGTCGGTAATTCCTTAATCCTTCCCTGTTGCCATTCTTGAAAATAGGCAAAATGACTGCCGTTTTAAAAATATCAGGCAACCAGCCCTGTTTCAATGATAAATTAAATACCTATTAATTTTAATGGGTATAAGAAAAATTCGGCGCATCCCTTGTAAATATAGGATGGTATACCATCAGGACCAGTTGATGTTTTTGATTTTAAAGATTTGATACTGTCAAGAATGTGAAAAATGTCATGATCCGAAATGCAGGAAAAGTTGAAAAGTGTGTGGTCAGCTTGGATTTGGCAAATGGATATTTGGTTGTTGCCTTCCGCAAAAACAGATTGAAAATACTGTGCAAAAGCATTTGCTATAGGTACCCATAGAGTCAGTGAACCTGTCATTGTCAAGCACCATTTCCCGTAGTATCCCACCATGGCCCAACTTACCACGCACAAAAGACCAGAAAGTGTTCGGATAAAGCTCGAACTTTCTTCGACCCTTTTTTCACCGGCTCTGCCTTTCATAATCAGAGTGTGCAAATTATTTTTCTCCCTGACTTTACGAACTAAGTCCATAGAGTACCAAGTAGGATACCTACGAGTGCGACTGTTCTCTCTTCTTTCATATTTAGGAATGGATAAGTCTAAGCATTCATACAGCTGTTTGTAGAACTTATCCACTCCATCATTTACATTAGTGCACGTCAGCACTTGGGTCCACTCACAATCCCAGTCTAGATTTTATGTGTTTATATTCCAGGACGGTAATAGACAGTTTTGGAGGCATCGTATCTGCCTGGCGTTCTCCTCTACCAATCTCTATAGGATTTGTGTTTTCATGTAGTTTTACCATAAGGGTCGCGTTTTTATATATACCTATCGTAAATTAGTTTGGTGTAGCGATAGTCAATATGGCATGCTTTCAGGGACTGTAATACTGCGTCCAGCTCCACAATGTCAGACATTTTATTCAAGTCTACAAAAGCAAGAACAAGAGATCTGCCATACTCGATGGTCTTTTCAATTACTGTTCTGACGCTTTGGAGATGATCGTTGGTTATTCATCTTTTTCAGGACTAGGTTAATGTCATATAGTGATATTTCTAAAAGTAGTTTCGAGCTTTGGTTAACTACACCTTTTCTACGGGTTAGTCTGTCTGGATGTATATTTCCGTCCTCCGATGTAAGGGTTTATCATTTTGGCTTTTGTATAGCATTTTATATAACTCTTCTACTATATTTAGAATATCTTTTCTGTTTGTCGATATGTGCCCCTGTGCATTTTTGAGCTTTATTATCTGTCTTTCATCATTACCGGGAGGCGTATTCTGTAAACAAGAAGAGATAGACATAGACAGGAAATATAAAAAACTAATTCTGTAAGCATCTTTCCAAGTTGATTCGGGTGAAGTCGAAATAGAAATATCGTAAACTATCCGACGTGAAAATATTGCGCTTTCCTAGAGAGTTTCATTATTTTTGTGGTGTTTTAAATTGTCAGTTGTTATCAACTGTTCAATGTCAATATCACACTGTTATTGATTATTTTTTATTATCGAATGTAATACCACAAGAGGTTTCAGGCTTACCGGATAATACTTTTACCTATCACGAAACGCGTTACGCAGAGGAGTGGTGTTGCTGGTAACGCGTTAAGTGTCAGGTGAAAGTATTAGGTAATCCTGAAACATCGAGTGGTATTCAAAAGGTTATACAACGAACTAAACTCTAATACGCTGTACATTATTCCCATATGACACGAGAGGCTTAATAAATGATAAGCCTTTTGGAATTATCGCGCTTGGTGGCAATATTTATAGCAAATTCTATTATACTGTTTTATCTCTTACCACCAAGCGCGATAATCCCAAAAGGCTTATCACTTATTAAGCCTCTAGTGTCATATGGGAATAATGTACAGTGAGTTGTATAATCAATATAAGCCATTATGGACCCTATATTCATGCATTTTGTGGATGAAACTGAAGGAGAAGAGCGTCAAGAACCATTAAGATTGGAAAGGATAACCTTGCGAGATGAGTTTAATACCTTTCATAGGCCCGAAAGGGAATTCCGAAGGTATTTCCACCTCACTCCACACATGGCTCCTGTGGTTAGAGCCGGAAGAATCCCAATTCAAATTAGAGTATTGGGTGCTCTCAGATTTTTTCCTCAAGGCTCCTATCAGAAGGCGGTACGAGACGACTTCAATACAAGTATGCCTCAGTCCACATTTAGCAGGGCATTAAGTAATGAAGTATGTTTGACTCTAGAGGCCATTGCTCCTCAGTGGGTTAAATTTTCCCTATCCGAGACTGAGAAGCAACTCAAGAAAGAGGAAAGAGGAATTCATGGCCCATTTCGGATTTCCGGGAGTGATATCTATGATACCCACCACTTACCCTTTCGTGATTTGCGCTATTTTATCACAGTATTATTACTAAATGCTAAGGCTAAAATACCATTCCAGGGAACTTTTCAAAATATGACAAAACCTTTGACAAAACATAACCACTAATCAACAAAACATAAACTCTGACAGAAATTTGAACGTTTCACGATAATGTGCTAGAAAAAGATAGAAACAATTTTTCTATTACAGAAAGACCTAAACGGGTCTTTCTATTTCTCTATGCCGACCGAACACCGAACGGGACTCGAGTGCTGCCGAACTGGCATACAGAATAAGGTTTTGTGATAATAGAAGGAAATTTCTTGCCTAGAAAGAATTTTCTATGTCTATGGCATTACAGAATACGCACTCAGGCTTTCTACGCAGAACTTTTCATACCCTCAATTGTTGTTCTCTATGGTATCTTTGATTTGGTTCTGTCTAGAAGCTCTCACGTCATACTCATTGCTTGGTAACAATTTTTAATCTCACTACCATATTATCAATACCTAATAATGGCAATTCATTATTATTTGGTATTAGTTTATTCAATAAATTATAGAAATAATTAAATAACAATTTGGTTTTTTGATTATTTTTGAATGTGAAATATTATCAAATGGGTATAAAAACAATAATTATTGATAAGGTTCTGTGGTTTATGCAAATATCATTTTCTTTGAAGTAAATGGTGCCAGTTATCGATATTGGGATTATAATAACATTGTGGAGACGCGGAAATACAGGTATTGTCCGTCGTTTTTAATCTGACATTTTCCGTATGAGGAGCGAGGGGGTGAAGCATATAACAAAAACAAGTGTGACGTCAGGTGACCATTGGCGTTCTAATGTAGGGTGCTACCAGCTCATATTCCTTTGGAGTATCGGATTAAAATCGATCTACTATAAAACTGAAAAGAAAGTAATATTGGAAATTTGAAATTGTATAAAGAAACTTAAAGTTAAAAAAAAAAAATATTGAAGACATAAAATAATAACTGAGAAAATAAATCAAGAAGACAGTGTGACATAATTGAATGGAACTCTGTGGACCATGGGGCAAATAGTCTGAGTGTATTTCATTCTCTGCTTTGCCAAATTGTTATAACAAGTCATTCCTCCTTCGTTATATGAAAACCTAAAAACCAATCAAAGTCCTAGTTGACATGTGGTATCCGTACATCTGCTTCTTACTTAAGGTTTCTGAGTCAACTCAAAATGATCTATCCTTATTGCGTATTCTTGACAAACTATTTCTCTACTTATGGGTGAACATATAGGAAAGTCATTGCTAGAACAAAACAATTGCATTTCTCTAGATCCAATCAAGAGCCGGGAATAATTGAAATTTTGGTTATTATCGACTCTTGATTTACACACAGTACTTTTAAGAGCGAATAATCGCCAGTTATAATTTTGTCGTGATTTTTGTGTATAAGAAACACCCAACTGAACACCGAGTGACTTAATCTGACATAAAAATTATAGCCATTGAAGATAATGATAGTGATAGTTAGGTAGGTACGTATACATTGATAGAAAAATGCTGAAAGCCTGGATATTGAGTTCATTCAGGTAAGTAGATCAGTTTAGCATTTATCAAACCCATGATGGAAAAGCTTCAGACTGAATACTAATCTGACACTAGCGTAGACTTTGGCTCTGCTGATTCGCTCAAGTTTCACGAAGAAAACCTACATGTTTGTATTTGAATAATTGTGTGACTGTGTGACATAAGAAATACAAAAAATCCAATTCTTCAGTTAGAAGACAAAAAAATGTGGCATGCGGAGGCCGATAAAAATGACAATAGCCTGTGAGATTCCCAAGAATTTGTAGCCTTCGCTAATCCAGAAGAATACCCTTCAATTTTAAATCAAATTTTGAAGAAATAAAGATAAGGACAACGTTGGAGCGATTAGTTTTCGAGAACATGTCGAAGACAGAGGTGTTAAGCTGTACAGAGACGCTTTGAAGGCAAAAAAAGACAAATTTGACCAAGAACATGATAGAAATAAAGATGGGGTGCTGACTGCTGACTGAGCTGGAAATATTGAGTTGGATTGCTGGTGGTAAGTAAATAGTTTTACTCATAGAAGCATAATTCTATAAATTCTGGTTTCTACACTAATTATGCACAGCGACGGATGATCATGAAGATCTTTTAAGTTTTGACGAAGCCCCTGATTACTATGAAACTTTTGTTAGTAGACTAAATTGTGAATATATTCACTAAGAGATTTTGTTTACAGAATTTGGTAATCATCAAGTGGTCGATCTATTCCGCAATTTTCAAGTTATTCATGATTAAATCCATAGTGTCTTCCTACGAGTAGGTATTCAAACATGATGATGACATAATGACAAAAGTTGTTGGTTGAGCGATGTTCAAATATTATTGAACCATTTCTATATTTTTTCGGAATTTTTTAATAACCAATTCTAGCTTTTTTTCTAGTTGTTTCTGATTTATTTATTTATTTATAGATGTATGTAATATAGATTAACTTTTAACTGATAGGTACGGGGTTTCATTTGAAGTTGTTTTATCAAGATAATTTACACTGAGTTGATAGATAATAAAAACATACCTACTCTTACTAATAGGCAGCAATAAATAAATATTTATTTATTGATAACAAATATGTATACTTATACAGGAATCAAACACATTATTCTAAATATAGGTAAAATTAAAAAATAAAGAATTATTTTACAAAAATGTTATACCTAATAATAACATTTACAGGCAAAATTCAGATATACTACATAAGTGAAGTAAAGTAGAATAAAGGAAAATTCACTCACAGAAGAGACACTCAAAAAAGAAACAGACTGGAAAGTTACTGTCTGTCACACTTGCAAGTACTACTCCCTCGCATTGTTTTAATCTATTCCCTTCATGCTTCATACTTAATTCCCCTGTCCTCATTATTTTTCAGCTTTCAAACATTTTTTGGTAGTTATCCTGCTAATTCTAATACCTTTAATCTTCGCATGAAACAACTTTTCAGGTAATAAGCAGCTCACCCAAAAAAACCTAAAAAACAATCTAATTTACCCAAATGCCACTCCAACGTTTCCTGTTGAGAGCTGATAAAACCATTAAAAATACATATATCAGTCGATAACAATTATTTATTTACTGTAGGTACTTGTCCCATTCCTAAAAAAAACCGAATCAATAACCCGTTGCTACTTTATAAATACACTCACTCGATGATACCTACCTGAAACCAGTTCAATACATTAGCAAAATGAAGATTAGAATAAGTATTTTATGTTTGCTGTTTGGCAGTATTGCTCTTGCAGCAGCTTATAGGATTAATGTTAAACCAGCCGTTACAAATAGTTGTGTGAAATGTCATGAAACTGATCCGGATAAGATTAACGTGCATTTGGTGCATCATTCTCACGATGATGTTGGATGGTTGAAGACTGTTGATCAATATTTTTGGGGATGTAAGTAACTTCTATTTATTATTTCAATAACTTGAGACCAAATACAACTTGATTGTTTTAGTAAACTATACCATTGTTAATGTTGGCGTTCAATACATTATAACATCAGTGGTAAATGCTTTATGGGAACATCCAGATAGAAGGTAAGCAATGTTGGATGAAACCATGACCAATTACAACAGACATGTTGTAGATTTATCCAAGTTGAAACTGCCTTCTTCTGGAAATGGTGGAAAAGTCAGGACGATGTAATGCGAAACAAGTTCAAAACCTTAGTGGACAATGGCCAATTGGAAATTATCAATGGAGGCTGGGTGATGAACGATGAAGCTTGTGTCAATTACCAATCGACCATTGATCAATTTACTTGGGGATTCAGGCAAGAGTTAACCTAATTTACTTGCTAATTTGTGTCAAACTTATTTGTAGAATTCTAAATGATACTCTTGGTCAATGCGGGCAACCTACAATAGGATGGCAAATCGATCCGTTTGGTCACAGCAGGGAACATGCCTCGATTTTATCCAAAATTGGCTTTGATGGTCTGTTTTTTGCACGTTTGGACATGAACGATCGAGAACAAAGAAAAAAGGATAGTAATATGGACTTTCTATGGAAGACCAGTGCTAATAATGGTTAGGGATTTGCTTCAGATAATAATAGCATGATTTTGTTTACGAATTTTTTTAGATGACAGTGTAATTTTCGGAAGTATGTTTGGTCCAGAAAATATTTATTATCCACCCACTGGGTTTTGTTTTGATGTACTTTGCGGAGATGATTCTATTGATGATGATCCAGAAAACGATGCCTACAATGTTATTGACAAGGTTAAGTGGGTATACAAATTTTAATGCAGTTTGTTGAAGTTACATTTTTAGGCCAATCTCTTTGCAGAAAACATAAAGTCGTATGTAAAATACTATAAAACAAATCACGTTTTAATAACCATGGGTGGTGACTTTCAATATCAGGCTGCAGAGATAAACTTCCAAAACTCTGACAGATTGATAAAGTATGTACGAAGTCTCACAATATAAAATAATAGATATGTTTTTGTAGAGCATTTGAAAATAACACAGAAATTAAGCTACTCTATTCCACACCTTCTTGCTACCTAAAAGCAGTGTACGATGTTCAACCAGCTTTGGTAACCAAAACTGACGACTTTTTCCCTTACGGCAGCGCTGATCATACGTATTGGGCTGGCTATTTTACTTCAAGGCAAAATTTTAAGAGATTTGAAAGACAGAGCCACAATATTCTACAGGCATGGAAGTTGCACTTTGCCCCTACAATTTCATAAATGAGTTTTTAGGTTGCCAAACAGCTTACGACCATAGTCAGCAAATACAACTCTAGTAGCAAAGTAGATGTGAGACCAATAAAAGAACTTAGAGAAGCCCTGGGAGTAATGCAACACCACGACGCCATTACTGGTACTGAAAAGCAGCACGTAGCACGGGATTATACGAAAATACTGGCAAGAGCTGTTGCACAAGCAGAAGACACTTTTACGGATTACATTGGGCAAGAAACGATTTTTGAATACATTAAAAAAAATGAAGCATTTGAATTTTTTTGTGTTTTGAATTCCCTATTTGTGATCACAACACAAATTTAGGAAATGATTAGCTTTGAACGAAACTTAAATATTGTTAACTCAACTTAGGTCAAATAATCAAGTGCATCTTCCATTTTCTCAGGTTTCATGAAGCCAGTTTTTAAATTATAATTTTCCTAATACAGAAAACTGCTGGGATTACCCAATTTATCATCCTTCACCAAATTATCCTCGTGCATTTTGGCCAATATGAGCATTTGCAACACCACCCAATCCTCCGATGGGTTTATCGTTTTCGTTTATAATCCACTTGCCTGGCCTGTCAACTATACTATTAGATTACCTATAGACGACTATTCTACAACAGTTAGACCTGCAAGTGAGTAATTCAAAGCCTAATGATGTTAAATTTACATTATACAACTATTTTATAGGTTTTCCAATAATATTTGACATCCTAAATCCAATTTCGAATTTTTCTTATGTCCAACTCGACAATGTTCATCCAGCAAAATATGAGTTAAATATCATGGCACTTGAAGTGCCACCGCTTGGAACAAAAGTTTATCATGTTCATAAGGTCACTGCTAAAAAACCGTACAGTAGCAATGAAGTTGTTAAACAAGCAGCATATTTAGGAGATGATGTAAGATTGCCAAGAATATGTAGGTACCTACTCATAATTCTGGAATATTATTTTCAGCGAATTGGATTCAAAATTGATAACGACAGCGGCCTCTTGAAATCTATTACCATGAATGGTAGAACTGTGGAAATAACTCAACAATTTTTGTATTATACCAGTCATAATGGAACAAATGACACCGACCCATCGGGAGCTTACATATTTAGACCAGTAGCTGAAGCCATCCCGATTGTCGAACGTCCATATTTATCCTCTACTTTTGGGTTTTTTGTTGATGAAGTAGAGCAAAAATTTAATGACTGGTTAACGCAAATTATTAGAGTCCACAAGGGTTCTAATGGAACCCAAAATTATATCGAGTTCGATTGGCTTGTTGGACCTTTAAATGTGTAAGCAACATCAATTTTTTTTTTGAAAAACTGCAAACATTTCAATTTTAGATCTGACGGTCATGGAATTGAAATTATTACCCGATATACTGTGAAGGATTTCAAAAACGAGGGAACCTTCTATACAGATTCAAATGGAAGAGAAATGATTAAGCGAATATTGAACTACAGACCTACGTACTCGTACAATTCGTCAATTGAACCAATTGCCAGCAACTATTATCCAGTAACGTCGAAAATCAGCATTTTGGATAAACAACAAGATTTGCAAGTGTCTATATTGAACGATCGCGCACAAGGTGGTAGCAGTCTTAATGAAGGCGAAATCGAGTTAATGGTAAGAAAACATTTATTTATAGATGAAAACTGATGGGTTCTGGATATACCAAATAGTAGCTTCGCACATATTCTTCATAACGAGAAACTAAAGTCAACCATGCCAAAGAAGTGTAGGAATTCTAAAGGAACCAATGGATCTATAGAGTTTCAAAGATGTTCCATTATTTATTTTTTTAACTTGATCATTAAAGTAAGAGCATTCCAGTTGTTAGCTCAACATCACATTTTTCCACTAAAACATATCAAAAGCTCATTATCATGAACATTTATTAGTTGCATAGAAGAACTCTAAGGGACGACAGTAAAGGTGTCGAAGAGCCAATGAACGAAACGGAATTTGGTCAAGGAATTGTCGCCAGAGGTCAACACTATTTGGTATTAGGGCCAATATCTGGCACTCAGAGTGATGGTAAGAGCAAATAAAACCAAAAATATTGTTACAAATGGTTGTTTCAGGCAAAACAGTAACTGCTCAAGAACGAACAATCGCCCAACAAAAATTACTGCAACCGTGGGTGGGTGTTGGGGATGCAAGCAAAATTCCTATAGGCACGATTGATTACTTGATAAGTACTTCGGTAACTACCTACATTAACACATCGAATGCAAATTTCTAATATCTTTAACAGTATTCAGCGTTGAAAAAAAGCCTGCCTGAAAACATAAACATCCTGACACTGGAACCATGGACTGAAACCACTTACCTCCTAAGATTGGAACATATTTTAGAGAAAAACGAAGATCCGAATCTTTCCTCAGAAGTAACCATTGACTTATCAGTAAGATGCTTTTACAAGTGTAACTAATCATTACAATTAACTATTCCAGGATCTATTTGCTCATTTTACGATAACCAGTGTCGTGGAAACCACTCTTGGTGCCAACAAAAATCTGGAATCAATTGAATCTAAACCTGAATGGATTTATGGATATAACGAGGTTCCTAAAAAGTCTTCGTTAGCAGGAACTGAAGTTGTCCTAGCGCCTATGGATATCAAGACTTTTATTGTTGAATTGGCTAATTGAGCGTGGAAAAAAGTTACCTATAGTCTATTTTTTTGAATGCTGTTATAATCAAACTGTCATTTCGTCGTTTATTGCAGGAGATTCATTCACTCTTCAAAGGATTTAGGGGATTAAAATTGGTTGAGTATGATTGATTAACCAGCTTTCAAAAAAATAGACTATAATTGATAATCACTTCTATGATGAAAATATAAGATATTTTTTTAACAAAATAAATAATTTTGGGTTTTTTTCGGTTTCGTTCTCGTGTCTAGATGGGCGTTCATTGACTGGAGCCCTTCCAACAACATATCACATATTCATCTAATTGAATATTTGATTCTTATTATTTTCACAACTAAGATTATCCTGATTTATAAATATCTTTAAACACTTTTCTTTTGAAATCTGGAACGAAGTTACCTTTTTTCCCTTGTTCCAGGCCTGTCGGAGTTATTGTCCCCATGCAGCACTGAAACCTGAGAGGAACTTAGCCTGTGAGGTTTATTCCAACCACTTCAGTATTTTTGTGCCTCGTACGAGGTTGTACAGGTCTTTGACTGGGTAGTGTTTATTATTCTTCCTAGTTCTACGTTTGGTTGTCCGAGAATACTGTGTTTCCAGCGATCCAATGCCTTGCAGTTCACCAGATGTGTCTGGCTGTCTCGGGTTTCTTATTGCAGAGTGTGCAATTAAGGTCTTCAGGTTCATCCTGTTCAGGTGAACCTTTATTGGTGTATGGCCAGTCAAGAGTTTCGTTATGGTTCTCAGTCGGCTCCTGCTCATTTGTAAATCTGCGGCCCTTTTGCTGCATGGGTTGGTTGATGAATTTCCTACCATGATTCTGCCTGGAAGTTGTCCAGTGCCGATGTTCTTTACGAACCCAGTCTTTGATGTGGCTTTTGGTGATACTTTTTGGTATCCCTAGAGCCGGTTCTAGCCTATAAGTTTTGTCTCTGACCTTCTTTTTGCGAGTTTATCAGCTTTTTCATTGGCTTTGATTCCCCTGTGTCCTGGCACCCAGATAAGTTTTACCTTATTCTGTTCCGCCAGGGCCCTGAGTTCTTCCTGGCATTACCATACTAGTTTTGATGACACTGTGTGGCTCGAAAGGGCCTTCAGTGTCGTTTGACTATCAGACATTAATGGATCTGCCAGTTGGTTGTAAATCTCCTGTTCTCCGTTGCGCATTGGAATATAGCGTATACCTCTACTTGAAAAACAGAGGCATGTCTTGTCTTCCCAGTGCATAGTGATCGCTATAGTAGGCGGAGTATTCCCCTGCTCCGGTACCAGACGCGGTCTTCGACCCGTCTGTGTACCAGGTCTGATCTTGTTGTTTGGTCTCCGTTATGCCATGTTTTCATTCAGTTCTGCTTGGGAAGCTCACCTCCAATGGTCTGTTCAGGCAGTATCGTCTTGGCATAATCGGTCCTCATGTTGAAAATCTCTCCCCTTACGAGTTCTACGATTGCCATGTGTCCAGTTATTTTGTTGGAAGTGGTTGTCGGCTGCATTCTGTACGCTCCCATCCTTGCCTCCCCCTGTATGTATAGGGGTAAGAAGTCTAGGAGGGTCTCCATCAAGGATGATACACTCTTACAGGATTGCTTATCGACCTCGTTTTTGGTAATCGCCGCCATATTGGTGTGTCCCGGCATACGTCACAACTGGTGATTTGGCGCGGGAGAAAGGAGGGGATTTGTTCCACACAGCCCTTATGAGAATAGGCTATCCTGTAGTAGTAGTCTGTATCATGTAAGGATGATACGCACTACTACAGGTCTCCATGGCTGCTATTCGTCTGTATCTCATTGATCCCGTTATTCCTGAGCAGGCCAGTCTTTGCACTTTGCTAAGTTAGCTTATGGCACTTCCCTGCAGTGTCCTGGGTCACCACACCAGGGAGGCATATGTCAAGATAGGTTTGACCATCATGTTGTATGTCCAATACAGCATGTCCGATCTTAAGCCCCATAACTTTCCATGCAAGCATATGGCTATTAGAGTGATGTTACCGTTTTTTGGTGATGTTTTCCAGATGTTGATTCTCGGTAAGTTTTGAGTCCAGTGTTGCCCCCAAGTACTTGAACTCGCTCAAAATCTGTATATTTTCACCCCTTAATATAACAGGTCTCAGGTCTTGTTTTTCATGCCTAGAAGTAAATGCCACGATGATGGATTTGTTGTTGAAGTTACCTTAATGTGGATATCATGACATCAAGGCATAGATAGCACATTATCACCCAAAATGGGGGGCCGCAATACTTTTCGAAGGTCAAGAGCCATTCCACGGATCCTGATCTCATGGAAGATGAACTAAACAGATAAGGAAACATCCAAGTGCTGGCTCATCGGGTACTCACTCGGGGTCTGAGACAAGCAAAAAGGTAGGTACATATCTCAGAAAAGATATCCGTATGACTTCTCGACATTAGTCTGCCTGTTCACTAGGCGTTGCATGGTATATAAAGTATCACTTGAAAACGATAGTTAATGCATCAGAGAATGACTTCTGCAAATATTTGTGAACGGGGGCAACCGAAATAGCAAGACATCTGTATTAGATAAACCTATTAAGGTTTAATAAAACACAGTGAAATGAGTCTAACTATAATAAAAGATACGTGACTTGTGGATACTACTTATTCTTAACAATCTGATCTGTGAATGCTCAGTTTGGCAAGAGGCTGGAATACCTTGCAGAGGCACCAATAAGAAGAGAGCACCATACAACCTTAGAAACTGCCCTTTTTTTAAAAAAAATCTACAAATTTGAACATGAACTAGAAGCAGATGCAGCAGAAAGTAAAGGAAAAGCAACAGTCCTGAAACGACTCCAGATGATGCAATCCACAATAAACAATCGTCAATTTAGATGAGGTAATCAGGAAAATATCCAGATTTCCTCTGTATAGGATGTATTAGCATCATGTTGTATGCTACACACATCATGTTTCTACGTACACAGCGACTCTATTCATTATCTTCATTTTGCCAGGTGAATATAGGTATGAACCTGCATTCAGGGAATTCAGGCATATTATATTTAAATTGATGGAACCAAAGGTTGCTTCTCCCTATCTGAAGCCACTTCAGTAGATTATCTTTTTTTCCTGCACTTTTCCCGCATAAATCATAAAGACTAATGAAAATTTAATTGCAGATAAACATGAATTATATTTTCAGGTGTGGTTCCAAGTATTCGGGTTTCATCCCAAGTATTTCAGTTGTAGAAACAATAAATCAGTAGGTACTGTTTTGCTGGGTTGGGAAATTACCATAAAACCCATTGAAATAACAAATAACTCTAATAATATGTTGAATTAAATACATAAATATTCCGCTATTTTGGTGGACACCTGAAATTTAGGTAGGTATATATTATTTTGCGAAAATAACAAGGTTAAATTAAAGATGGCTTGATTCCAAGAACAGCAATTTACTAAATATGCGTTTCAGTGCATAATGGCGTTTATTATTTTACCAACACTTAAGCCCACTCACACGTACCTATAATGAGCCAATGAGGAGGTATATAAGAATCTGGAATTATGATAAGGAAAGATAATACTGAAGTGAACTATATGAAGCTTTTTCATTCACATTTTTGGCTGAAGAAATACCTCAAGGACTTATGTTGATTGGCTTATTTTAATTCATCATTTTCCTTCAGATTCTCTTGGCATTTAGCAATTTCGGGAATTTTGTCTTATTTGCATTTTATTACGATTCATGTAGGCGTTAACATGAATAGGCGTTTTTTTTTTTTTCACTTTTAAATCAGAATTTACATTTGGTTGAAAAATGTTGATTTATTATTATGGCCAAGCGCAAAAAGTTAATTTGAAAAACTAACACAAGTCCCTCGAACAGTTCTCAGCTCAATTGGAACAAATCTTACATAATTTCCCATATGATCCTAAAACCGCGTAACATACGAAATTATAAGCACTGATTGCTTTTGCATTCAAATGATGAATCTTCGTAAGAATATTCATTCCAATTTAATGCATAGGTACGTCAATCAAACCTTGTTTTAAAGTTTAATTGGAAGCAACTCGGCTTGGGCCAATAAAAGTATCTAATTAAAACAGACAAGAAGAAATTTTGCTCAATAAACTACAACACACAAATTACATTGATTTATCAAGATGTCCTAGTTGAAAATGTTTGCACATTGCCATTTGCACAGGGTTTCTGAATAATCAATTTTTTGATCGGGTTTTAAATTTATACCAACTGGGTTTCATCAAATAAGGAACTCATCATTTGAATCTGTGTTTTTTATTTGCAGAGCTTAAATCCAAATAATTGGATTGATTGAGCAATACAGAAAAAAAGAAGTTGCTTTACAACTTATTATAGTTTTTCTGGCAACTGCCAAGATCAGTTTTGCTTCAGGATCCGAAACAACTGAGGTTCATAATTGTTGCGACTCTACTGAATGAAAAATAAGAGTTTCGAACTTGCATAATCTTAAAGTTTCTATTTTTGAAGAAACATTTTGAAATTTTCAGGAAGGTTGATCTTGTCTGTTCTATCCTGCATCTTATCTCTTTCTCCAGATCCCATCTTTCATTTAGCATGCATCCAAGTCTACAACCTGTTCAGTATTTCTTCATCTATATCCATTTGGGTATTCAATATATTGCCTCTACCCACAATCAACTTCGTTTTGCCAGTGATAATTTTCAAGCCCAGTGCCTTCTCTGCTTAATCTGATTTAGTGATGTCTGAAGATCTTCTGCATTCTCTGCTAATATTGCGGTGTCGTCTACATTTCTGATAATGATGATGGGAATTCAGTTCACTTTAATACCTATGGTTCAAACAGTCTTTCTGCATATAGCTTGAACAGCATTGGACACAAGATACATCCTTGTCTGACATCTTTTTTTATTTCAAATTGGTTTGTTGTTGTTGAGTTGTTTTAACCGAACTTCCGCTTTTTGATTCCAGTACAGTCTACCAATAAGTCTTATGTCCTTATCATCCAGTCCCCAAAGCAGGATATCAAGACATTATGTCTAACATTGTCAAATGCATTCTCGTAGTGAATAAAGCGCATAAAAACAGCCTTTTTTTGGTCCTGACAATTTTGCACCAAAGTCTGCAGACGGTACTGAATATAGCTTCTCTAATTCCAAAACCGCTCTCAAACCCAAACTGACTAGTTCCGTTAACCTCTTCATTATTTTTGTAGAGTTTTGTGTGTAGAATTCGAAGAAAGATCTTCAGAAAGTGACTAATGAGACGATAATCCTTGCATGCTTTTGGGTTGTTGGATTTAGGTAACATGATAAAAGTAGAGCGGGCCCAGTCCTCGGGCAAATATCCAGTGTCCTATGTGTTGTTAAAGAGCTGAACTATTGTTTTTATGTTTTGTTCGTTGATTTGAGTGAAACGTCTCTGAATACATGTTATCAGGACCCGGAGCCTTATTGCTTTTTATTTGTTTCATGGCATATAGGATTTCGCTTTCTAATATTTTTGGTCCCGAAAGCTGATGGGTATCTTTCACTTTGACTGGTCTGTTGTCATTAAAAAGGTTGATTGTATATCTCTTCCACATTTCCAATAATTCTTCGGAGTCTGTGATTATTTCGTTGTGATCATCTCTAATAATTGGCTTTTTGCTGTATAATCCAGCTATTTCCTCTACTTTCTTAGGCAGATTGAAGCTGTCTCCAAGACGATTCAGATTTTCGGCATCTTTCAGTTAGCCATATCTCATTTCTCTTTTTCCAGTCTGATTCATTGCGGAGTTTTCTCTGTTTGTAATTGTATCCATCTTGATCATTCAGAGCTTTACACTTTCTCCTCTCTTCCATTAGTTTCAAAATTTCCTCAGTCATCCTCATCCATTTGTTCTTTATTTTTGTTTTATTCTTTTGGAGGATGTTATTATGTTGCATTTTTCAAATAATTTTCTGATTTCGAGCTAGAGTTTTTTGTGTCATTTATACCTGCTAATTCCCCATTGACCTGATCTTCATACATCAGTTTCGCTTGTTCGTTTTTGAGTAATTTCGGGTCGATTATCTTTTTAATACTCCGCCTTTTAGGTTTTGATGTCACCGTATGTATGGATTATGATTATGATTTGATTCAATATCGGCTCCTGGCATTGTGGTAAAACTTGTGATGAGATCTGTATTTGGTAATGATATGCTGATTATTATGTTGTGAGGGTGTCATATACGATGTGTTCGTTAATATGAGATCTCTCTCTTCACAATATTGAATTAACCTCTGCCATCATTTCTTCCACCAAGAGCATAGTCTCCTACAGCAGGTTCTATTCTTCCTCTGCCAACCAGGGCATTAAAATGTCCCATTATCAAGTTGATTTCATTAGGCTTTGTCAATTTAAGGGTGTAGTGATGCAAATACCTGAGAAATGGGACTTACGGCCATTTGCACCGTTATAACTTAAGGGATATTTAATCCAAATGAGGCTTTGAATGTGACTCTTGTAGAAACAAAAGTCCCATTCAAAGCTCCACTTCGATCAAATATCCCTTAAGTGACAGTTAAGTAATATCTGTGCGAATGGCCATTAAATCGACAAAATTAAGCGAAAGATTAACTTGACAAATAATTAATGACACAAATCATAGGACACAATCTTGAATGACACACAACTTCTTGATTTTTTCCACAAATTGTTATATCGAGATATGCGTAGACGTCTTCTAGATTATCTTGCCTGATTATTGTATCTAAGACTCTTTGAAAACAAGCTACGCCGTTAGTCACACCAAAAGGAATACGATTAAACTGGTACAGGTTTCCATCAGCTTCAAAAGCTGTGAACTGTTTTTCATAATGTCTTATAGGGAACTGGTGATACGCACTTTCTAGGTCAATAGTGCTAAAAACGTCAAAAAACCAACCCTTCGATATTAGGTAAAGGATAAGCGTCAAGATAAGTAAACTTGTTGATTGTTTGAGAATAGTCAACAACCATTCTCTTTTTATGATTTTCGTACTTTGTCACAAGAATTTGTGCTCGCCAGGAAGACGTACTTTCTTCAATGATACCTTCTGAAAGAAGCTATTGTACTTTACTTGAAATAAATTTGGCATCATCATGTGAAAATTTTCTCGATTTTGTAGCATTGGTTCACATTGCGATGATAGATTAGCGAATAATTGCGTAGGTTCAATTTTAGCAGGAGCTAGGGAACAGTGCTTTGTTTCAAGTACAGTCAAAGCAGATTTTCTTCCAAAATAACCGGTCAACATTTTATGTGGCTTAAAAATGTCATGACCAACGATAATATCAGCACAGAGGTTTGGTAGAACGGAAACTTTTACGTTTGCATACTGATGATCAAGAATGTTGAGGTTGACAACACTAAATCCTTTGCTTTGTGCACGCAGAGACGTTTGAGCCATAGATACGTAGCCTTTACTTGGTTGAACCGGGAGATTATTGGATAAAACAAATGTCTCAGAGCTGCCAGTATCTATTAACGCACCTGCCGATAACTGATTGACTTGTACTGGCATCGCAGTTTTTGATAAACTTTCAGGAACAGAAGCCAATGTTAGAGACAGAATAGAGGCAGTTGTACCACGATTTGAACTTCGACAAACAGTAGAGAAATTACCTTCTTTATCGCATTATTTGCATGTAGCATGCAGGGCAAGACAAAGAAAGCGATCATGTCTTCTATTTTCACAATAATAGCATGTAGAAAATTTTCCGGTAGCACTCAAAACAGTGTATCTTTGTTGCTGCACTTGAGGATTTTCCGCGTTACCAGAACTGATGAAACCTGTTGAAGCTGTTTAGTATACCTCAGAATATTTTTGAGCAGATTCGAGAGATGGAAGGATGTTCGAATTAAGGCTTGTTCCTTTTTCTTTCAGAAAAGTTTCTTGTATTTTTCGTTTAAACATCGTGCAACTTCCGAGATAAGAAGATACATTTTAATAAGTCTCAGTATTTACATTCTTGAACGTATGAAAAATTCAAAGTTGCTACTTTTGCCATTTTTCAAAATGTTAATCCGACATCATTTGGAATGTAGAATGGAGTAGTTTGAGGCATTATCGTAATAAACAACTTTTATCTCTCCGTTTCCTTCCGGCTTTTTATTTTCCGGCACTTTCGAGTGACACTTTGCATTAGAATTTTCAAGAGCTGGGACGTCGATAATGATGAAATAATTTTCAGGAGATCAAATTTTCATCTATCTAAAAATATTTATCTAATTACAGGTACAAGGCACGAGATTTTAAAGCTTGTAATGCTGCTTCATCTAAAGTTAGATTACTTTTTTCCAAGAGGCGTTGACGAATTTCATTTGACAATAAGCCGCTAATGAATGCACCTCTAATGGAAAGTTCGCGATGTTCTTTGGCAGTTACGTTTTTGAAGTTACAATCTTTGCTGAGCTGATTCAAAATTTGAATGTACTGGCTCATGTTTTCTCCATGATGTCGCCGAATAAATATGTCTTGCAAATGCTCCATTTTGAGGTTTAATATAGATGTTATCTGAGATACTCACAGCATCAGCGTAGGCTTTTGCTTCAAAAACGTATTCGAACACGTTGTGACTGACATAGTTACAGCTGCAGCTTTTGTGCTTCCTCTACATCCTTTACTGACAACATGAAGTTCAGGAATGTAGTTTTCCAGTGACACCATTCCTTTGCTGCATTTGATGAGCTGGGATCAGTATCAAACCTTTCGAGTCTCATAGGACAATTATTTATTTTGCCCTAAACTTAATAAATGTTAGATGTTCGCAAATATACTATTAAGGATTCAAAAATTATATAATGAATTTCTCAATTCAAACAAATTGACCCTACATTTTAAGAAATCAACGTTTATACTCATTACCACCAAGACCAAGAAGTAGTTTACGAAGCGAAATATCACCTCTAAGTGGATTATTATATAATTCGAGCATATTATAACTATTGAATATTTTAAATCGATATATTATGCATCAATACTTAATTTCTATTTGGGGATCAGCACAAAAATCCTTGATTTAAACCTTTGCAAATATTGCAAAACAAAATAATGAAATGTATTTAAAAACTTCCTCGATCACCCTTTTTTGAAGAGCAAACTTGATTTCCCAATTTTATCAATTCCCTTGTTATTATCCATTTTATTATATTTCTTTTTCATTTCTGCCTCTCCTGCTTCTAAAAGTTGTTCATCCAATCTATCATTGATATTGTTTGTTTCATCTATACATATAGTTAGACGTCCAATCCAGTTGTTGTTATGGCATCAACCAAAAACTGTATGATTTGAGGAAGCTTCCCAAAAACCTCATTTGCATGTTGGAAACGCGTATACCTACGCATTAATAAAACAACAATAAGAGATTTAAAAAGATACCTACTTAACTTGAAGAAGCCACCCGAAATCAGCGAACGGTTTGCCCATGAACTTTATAATAATATACCCATATTCGTAGGCGGTAAAAATGTATATTTTCATCTATATGGCAAACCGATGGTAATAGGCTGCACAATCAAACACCTGTTGATGTATAAATAGTGGACACATTTCTTCGGTTCGGATATTCTGGTTCGGTTTTCGAGTGGTGCTACATACCAAAAAACATTGAGAAGATGATGAGATTTGTGAGTAGAATTTTTGTGTAATTTCAATAAACTTTATTAATTTAGTTGTTGTTAAAATTTACTTACAAGCATCAATGTTTTATTTTTAGTTGGTCCTTTCCACTCTTGTGGCCCTCGCCGCCGCTGACGTAAGCAGCCTCTTCAGAAACAGCAACACGGGTTTCGCAGGCAACAACAACAGATTCTACCAAACGAACAGTCCAAAAGTTTACCGCCCCTTGCCTGTAGCTCCTGTCAGCCGTCCCTTGCCAGTAGCTCCAGTTCCTTCTTCTCACGGACCAGTCGTAGCAATCTTGAGATCCGACTCCGACATTAATCCTGATGGAAGTTACCAATATGGGTAAGAATTTTCACTACAAGATATATGAGTTTCAGTTTAATAATTATTTGCCAATTTTTGTTTCGTGTCGCAATGTTGAGAGGCATCAGTTTCAGAAATAATGCATTATTTGGAACTTCTTTTTCAATACCTATCTTAAGGTTTTAAGAGTTTCGTTTTCATCTTCCTTGTGCGCGATTTTTCCTTCAATTTTATAGGCCTTTCGATGACCAAGATGTGAGAATATCATCTATATTCTTGTGCGTCTGCATGCAAGAAATGATTCATAACAAGCAAACCAATGTATGAGAGTCTGGATATCTTGATGAAACCCTCTCAACTCGTGTTGGCCTTATCTCTCGTTGCTGATGTAACCCCATGATACCCACAGAAACGTTATGAACATCAGCAGTCTAGCAAAGGCCAAAACTGTACGTTGTCGGATTTTTCATTAATCTCTCCAGAATCTGTTTGATGACTTTGTTAGAACAAATTCTTGAGCAGAGTAGAAAAAAGATATCGCTCTACTTCGGACTTCCAGTTTCCAGTAAGCTCTGCTTCAATATACATTTCAATCAGTCACCTAGTAGTACTGAACCCAGAGAGGAGATGGATTAAGTTGAACTATCTGAAAGTGTTCTATCGGTGTTCTTTCGGAAGCAATCAGCCTGTCCTTTTCATCGGGCATTTTTCCACCTAGTCTAAGGACGCATTGGTAGTACCGATACATAAGTGCGGGAACACAAAAGAGCCATCAAATTATCGCCCAATATCATTGTTAACAACAATATCCAAAGTAGTTGAGAAGCTTCTCAAAAAACGTATGATGGACTTCCTATCAAAACATAAAATTCTTAACTCCGCCCAATTTGAGAAGGGTACCCATGATGCTATGTTTCGCGTTCTGGAACAACTCCTTAAGCACTACAGCAATGGCTTTGCTACCGCGGGGAAGTTCTGTGACTTCTTAAAGGCCTTTGACTGTGTGAGTCACAGAACTCTTCTCAGGAGGTTAGAGGTCTATGGCTTTAAGGGTGTGATTTCGAGGTGGCTCGAATCATATCTTTCACATCGCAGTCAGCGTGTCACCCTGGATGGAAAATGTTCTTCTGATCAGCCAATCGTGCGTGGGGTTCCACAGGGATCAGTCCTGGGACCAATATTATTCCTCATCTACATCAATGCTCTTCTCTACCTTGATATATCGGGAGTCTTCACTGCGTTGGCGGATGATTCAACGGTTGTGTGGCACGGGGGAATTTCTGGTGAGCTGGTTCAGGTAATTTCTGGGGACATCAGGGCCATTAAGTGTTGGTGTGATGCAAATGTACTGCTTTTTAACTTTGGTAAGACTTGGGTGCTTGGGTTCCGATATAATGTTGACGATATTGATGGTGACGAATTCTCCATCAAATCCTCTCTGAATACTAAATTTCTTGGACTTTAACTTGACGTTGATCTTAAATTCCAATCGCATGTCACTGCACTTGGCGGGAAACTTGCTTCTGGTTGCTACTGTGTCCGAGCTGTGGCCACAAATTTGGATGCAACCGTAGCAAAATCAGTGTATTTTGCATTGATACAATCCCACCTTTCCTATGGACTACGTTTTTGGGGCTGTTGTAGCCAATACCTGTTTCAATCAGTATTGAAACTCCAGAAGCGAGCAGTCTGCTTTATCGCTGGTGCCACCTCGGTGGAACACTGCAAATCCTTATGTAAAAAATTTAACATTTTAACATTGCCATGTCTTCTTATACTTGAATCAGTAAGTCTCTTACATAAACACATATCTTCGTTCCCTGTACACCAAACTGCCTTTTGCACACGACAGACGCACAATATACAGCTCCCGATTCCGCACTCTACTCTTGTGAAGAACTCAATAATTTACAACAGCGTGAAATTCTATAATCACCTTCCTGCAACTATCTCATTTGAGGAGCACTCTACTTCAACATGCCTTTTATACAGTTGATGAGTTTCTAAATGTCTCTATAGGATTAAAGCCTTCCTGCTTATGTTGCATGCATGTTATATTTTGACTTAACTGTCGTTGTATTTATCCTAGTCTTAAATTTGCCTGTCATTTGTTTGTTGCTTATCTTTTTTTGTACCATTTACTAACCTATTTATTTTCTGTGCACAATGTTAATTTTGTTTACTGACTGGATTTTAATCTTAATCTTAATATTAGTATGTAAAAATGCTTTGTCAATAATATTTTCTGTTCTTTGACAATAAAGCTTGTTTTGAATTGAATTGAATTGAAAAAAGCCTTATTGAGGATTGAGTACAATATTCTTATCTTCACCTGAAAGCATTTTCGCCATAACATCTCTGAACTGCATAGTATCGAACATCAAGAATGGCAAGGGAAACATCAACTGTAATACTTCTTTGTATCTGAACAAGTTTGAATTCAGGTTCAACAAGTAGATACCTAGTATAGTATTCTAAATGTTCTCCATTTTCTTCCAGTTACGAAACCGAAAACGGCATCTCAGCGCAAGAACAAGGCCAACAAAGGCAAGTTGGTCAAGAAAGTGGTAACGCTGCTCAAGGTTCCTACCAGTACACCTCCCCCGAAGGTGTACCAGTTGTAGTGCAATACATCGCCGACGAAAACGGTTTCCAACCAAGTTCCGATTTGCTACCGACTCCACCACCAGTACCAGCAGCTATCTTGAGGGCTTTGCAGTACATCGCAGATCATCCGCAACCAGCGGAGCCCGCTTCTAATGCTTACGGAAAGAGATTCAGGAGGAACGTGTACTATTATTAAGAGGATTGATGTTTTTTTTTTGTAAATAATAAATGAAGAAGAGAAATGAAAATGGTTTAATTTGTTGCTTGCCAATCATATAATTACATCGATATGCTTAGTTCGTTTAGTATTGGCCATCTTTATGCAGGATTTCATTGATAAATTATCTTCAAATATTTGATTAGGAAAAGCATCACTATTTAGGATTTCACGCAACAGTTGCAATAACAATGCATTCCGTTAAACAATCAGAGAGTGGAACATAGTTTGCCTCTGCACTGCTGAGAGAAACAGTTGATTGTTTTCTAGATTTCCAATAAACAAAAGTATCAATAGTAATATAACTAGTGCAATGGAAATTATTGATAATTTTTGGGAAATTTGCTCGAATGCATTTTTAGTTGAAACTTTTTCAGTTAAAAACGCATGAGTGGAAATTTGTCGAAAATTACAAATATATTTCCATTGCACGAGTTGTATTTAATGAGAGAATTTCATAAATCAAACATTTAAATTTTTTGTCAAAAAATGTCAAAACACCAGTTTTCGCACCAGTTAGTATGCATTTATCTGATAATTTGCACTAGTGCAAATTATCGCGTAATTACAATCTGATTGGTTCAAATCAACAATCAAAACATGTCAATTTATTGTTTGAATACCAGTTCTGACAGATGTATGAAATTCTCAAAAATATTTATTGCAAAGCCCGAGATGCATTTTCTATCTTCAATAGAATTTGCAAAATCTGCATCTACGTAAGCAGTGATCCAGACTTTCACTATTTTCTTGTGATTTCCTCATATTTAAGACCATAATTTTCTGTATTCTTTGAATAGCGCAAAATATGTTTCAACTATTTCCAATGTTCTGAGGAAAACCTGTTTTGAAATTGGCTAAAATATGAAATGCCATAGCACAAGTCTGCTCTAGTTCCTATCATGATAAACATCAAACAACCTATTTATTCACGTTAATGAATGTTTGATTCTTGTCCTTCACAACTTTCCAAATTCAATTTTTGCTGCATAGGAACACTCGAAACTTTGCAATCTGACATATTGAAGTTAAACAAAATTTTAATCTGAATCAATTCTTTCTGATTTACAAACAAACAAGTCCCCACAGTTTTCTTGTGATTTTGGTGACAGATCTCTCATTTGGAATTTTTTCATGATCCTATTTTTGCAAAGACCAAGTTTTAAATCAGATCATGCACCACCAATATCATATTAGAGTCAAAATATAGGCACGGATCGGATTTTGATATTTGAAAGTTCACGGTTAGTAGGAAGTTATGCAACTTCTCGTACCAACATCTTGGTGCTTCCCGCAAACCATAAGGTGATTTCTGTAACTGACAAGCATACTTACAGTTTGAGTCCAAGTTTTCACATTCCAGTCCTTCAGGTATTTCCATATAGGTAAGTACACACGTTCTAGCAAATCACCGTTCAAAAGAGCGCACCTCACGTCAAGCTGGTTGATCAAGTAGTTTTTTTCCACTGATAAAGAAAACAACAGTCTAATAGTCAGCATTATGCGCTACCGGGGAATATACTTCAAAGTAAAACCCACTGAATTTTGATTGCTTTAAACCATGTGTCACTAATCGTGCTTTTTGTACAACTTTACTACCCCAGGGAAATTAGACGTCCTCTGCGGAGTGAGGCCGAACAAACTGAATTTTTGCAGAGACCTTCATTTTGATGTTCTAATGAAGCACAAAAAAAATCGAATATGCATACCCTTGTGCGTCTTGAGATATCGAAAGTCAAATGTCACAAAAATCGGTTTTTTGCAAAAATCTTGCTTCCAGTGCATCTGACGTCGAAGAACTCCGAACAAAACTTACGTAAAATAGTATTTTCTACAAAATTGTTCCCATACATTTTTTTATACGACCAACCGTTTTTGAAATATAGCATGATAAAGCGGGAGCGCATATTCAAAATAGTTGATACTGTATTATACAGGGTGCTCTCCGTCAACTGGTCAAAAATGCTAGGGTATATAGAGGAACCATAGAGAAGTAATTTGAGATAGGACACCAATGGTCGGAAGTGCGTCATTTCCAAAATAAAGGGTTTTGAAATTTAAACAACCTCTTTTCATATCATCTCAACGGTTAATGCTAGGCTGTTCAAATTTTCAGGGATTATTGATGTAGGAATGATATTTGAAAATTCGTATAATGCACCCCTAGTTTCTACCTAGAACTACCCCAAAAAAAAAGAAAAAAAATTGAAAAAAATTGCTTTTTTTGATTATTTCAGAATCAGAAGTTAAAGAAAGACAGAAATATATCCATTTGCTAAAAGTGAGATAAATATAACTTCTTTGAATGAAAATACGAATGACTGTTTGCATTTTACGCGCATGATGGATAGATGGCAGCACTTGTATTATTTTGAATTTGCTGATTCTGAATGGAAAAAATACAACTTTATAATGAAAATAAGAAGAGATGGAACATGTTACGTAAATGATAAAGGACCCCGCACATTTCTTGTTCAATACCCAACAGTTTTCAAGATATCAATTAAAAACTTTTTTAATAATACTCTTCAGTATGACGTCACTCACAGCAACGAAAATTATTACTATCCTTTCCACTTTTGACTTTGACTTTACTCTTCTCCTTTTAACATCAAGAAAAAAAAAGATAGCGATAGCGATTAGTGACAAATAGGTAGGTATGTAAACAACACCTAGCTCCTGCCGCAATCGTCAACTTCATGTCATGATGTCTGTCATATAGCGATTTCATTTGTACCTGTTGTTGTTTTTTTTATTTCCTAAATGTTAAAAGGAGAAGAGTATAAGTATAGGTAGTCAAAGTCAAAAGTGAAAAGGATAGTTTTAATTTTCGGTGTTGTCAGCATACTGGTGACGTCATACTGAAGAGTATCAAATTAAAAAAGTTTTTAATTGATATCTTGAAAAATGTTGGGTATTGAACATTAATGCAATGATCACTTTTGTTAAAGACGACTCCCTATACACAATATCAAAAATTCAGCAAAATTCCACATAGATCACTTTTCCATAAGAAATATTGTTGTCCTTTATCGTAGCAACCTAAAATCAAGATCTTCTTCATTCAAATGTCACGTCGTTTGGAAGTCTGAAGAAGATTTAATAAAAGAACGGAACAAACTGGAAGACCAGCACCAGGAATAATGCAAATTTTAGAGGATGCAATATTCCAGTTTATTGCCACCGCTCATCAACCAGAAACTCAATGTTTCACATACCTACAACCTTCAAGAGTCTATCGGGATATTGAAAAAGCTCCATCGCTGGAATTTTAACAGGAGACTTGAGACAGACTCTTCTTCAGAAAACCGTAGACTTCAAGATGCAGGACCATCACTCCCCAAAAAAAATATAGAAAAGTCCTTAAAGACTTGGAGCCCTCCTATTCATACGATCGTTTTCTCTGTGAAAGATTTATCAAGAAATCAGCAAAGACCAACAGTTGGTATATGCCAACAATAAATCAGCACGTTTTCTATGCTTACTAACACAAAATTGTTGTCTCATCATCTCAAATAAATGAAATAAAACAAAATAAAACTCTTATATATTTTCTTCTTTATTTTGGCGTCTGTTCTAGACTCTACATCTTAACCTATCTTTTGACAATGCTCCTATTAAATTCTACGGACACGCACATTCTAAACTGTTAATCGGCGTCGGAGAAGTTTTATTTCCTCCCTCGCTTTGCAACTGTTTCACAGTGAATTCCAATTTCAGTTTTTCTTTTTGAAGCTCTTCCAGCTCCACTCTGAGCTTTTCACAGTCGTCACCACTAGAAGTTTCACCTGCTGAAATAATGAACTGATAATAAGAAAATAAAATAATTTAAGCATTAAAGTGCCTTTAGTACTGAAGTTTTTGTGGTACTAAACGCACCTTTCAGGTACCTGAACTATAACAAGAACACTCCTTTTTCTCAGCAAATTTCCCTTTAGGATTCCGAATTTTCAAATGATCCCAATCCTTGTATTGCTTGCCCAATTCTTCCACTACTCTTTTCACAGCACATTCCGATTGTTTGAGCATTTTTTTTACATGCTCGTCCCCGCTGGCCGTCATCATTGCATTGGCAATTTCTTGCAGCCGTTGATTTTCCGCCCTGGCAGTTTCCAGCTCTTTTCGCATTTGCTCCATCAAGTCCATGTCGAGTTGGTTCGGTTTCTTGCCGGTGCAAGTCAGTTGGTTTTCCAAGCATTTAATGTGACAGTCTTTTTGTAAGAGCATGTGTTCGGCTTTGTGCAACAGCTTTTCTAAATCTCTGATTCTGGCCGAGAGAGTTTGGGATTGTGCCAGTTGGTCTTTGGATTGGACTAGTTGACGTTGTTTCATTGCCACTTCTTCTTTGTAGGTGTTTATTTGATTCTGGAAAATGATTTTTTCGAATAATGTTAAAGTTTAAGAGAATACATACATTTGAATTATTCTTCAATCTGGCCAAATTATCAACTTGCGTCACCAATTCTTTAATTTCGTCCTCCTGATCACATATGCAAGCCTGCAAATCTTCAACTTGTTTTTGTAAGTGCTCCTTTTCTCTGCCCACGGTCCTGGCTTCGTCGATTTGAGCTTTCAGCATTTCGCATTTGCACTCCATGTCCAAAACCTCTTCGTATTTTTGTTTGTACATGTCTCGTTCGGCTTCGACGTTGTCGTAGACTCTCATCTTGTTCGTCATTGAATCGTATTCATCCTGAAATTAATTCGAGATTAATTATACTTATTTCAAAGGGCTGAGTTGTACCTGAATATCAGCTAATTCATTCAATTTTATCTGCAACCTGTCTCGTTCTACTCTCACGAAATCACCTTCCTTGATTTTTGCTTTTTGCTCATCTAACTGCTTTTTCATGAGATTTATCCTGCTTTGCATAGCATCTCTTTCGGATTTTACGTTTCGCAATTCCACTTCTAAATTACCGGTTATTGACTGTGACTTCTTATATTGAACAACTATAAGACAATATTTTATATTTGCACTAACTTTCAACTACAATAAAGTTTCCTGTAAGTTACATGTGTACAAGTATTTACCTTTAGAACGATCTTCTTTACTCATCATTTTCAATTCTCGTTCCAGTTCGTCGACCCTGTCAGCTTTAGCTCTAAGTATATTCAATTCCTCCTCCATTGCTTTCATCGCGGCAATTTTCTGATTCAATTCATCTCTTTCTTCCATCACAGCTTCCAACATGTCTGATCGATTTTTCATCATTTCCAAATCGTCAGGTAAATCTTCGTATTGCAGCAATCGCTTCTCCAACATGTGAACTTTATTGGCCAACATGTCCTTTTCTTTCGTTAAATCATCTACATTTTTCAGTTTTTCCCTTATTTTTTCGTTTTCCACTTGCACTTCGCTAGGTTTTTTAGTGGCCATAGGACTGGCCAGCAGTTCGCCTTTTAGTTTTTCGTTTTCATCTTCAACGTCTTTGAGTTTGTTGCAGTATCTCTTCAAGATTTCGATTTCTTTTCTGATTATTTCGGCTTCTTCTTCGGGCGATGGGTTACCGCTTCGCATTATTCTTATTTCCGCTTCTAAGGCTTCGATTTCTTCCTGACAAGAAGCCGGTAGGGCTGGATTTGCTACGTTTTGTAATTTCTATAGATCAATGAAAAGTTATGATAATATTTGCGAACAATGATGAAAAGGAGGAAAATTAGTTTAGTTACTGCTGCATGTTCTTTGATATTGTTATTAAACAAATAATTGATAAATAGTATGAAAGACTCAAATCCGCGAGAACTGAACATGCAGCAGTAACGTTTCTAATTTTCCTCCGACAAAACAATAACGTCAATTGTTGAGTTTTTGATATTTATTAGCAATCGCAACAATCGCAATCAGCGGAAGATGCTAAAGAAAATTTGCTTCTGTTCAGTGCGGCGATACGACGTTCGGGGTATTTTAGTTTTGCCAAGAATCGCTAAAAATAAAATCAATGATTTTTAGTTATTAAATATCAAAATTGTTGTTTATGCTTAGTACGGAATGTCCTTAGAATAGTCTGAACCAGCAGGATTCATCCAAGATTCCTCATTTCCTAATTCCAAGGCAACTGATATAGAGCGACAACAGTGCAGCAAACTGGGAAAAAGAACACAATTCGGCAATACTGCGAGGCAATCTGCGCACGTGCCGCCCAGAAAACAGAGACATCGAGCACGATTCGGCAAAACCACAAGACAATATGCCATTGCGGCCGCCCAACAAGCAACAAGTAGGAAAACCTAACAAAACCTGACTTCGGCGTATCATCCTATAAAAGCCGACTCGATCAACAGGGATCTTTAACTCCGCGAGTTGAGCTCTCGCAGAGTAAAGTTGTTCAGCTCTAAGAGAGATCTCAAAGCGATTCTTAGTCTGTCTGACGGTATTATAGCTTATGAGAAACCAGGTGCGAAGTTTTAGTTTCAAAGTGAATATATCGTGAAGTAGTGCGCGTCGTGAACAAGTGCCGAGTTACCCGACTCTAGAGTTTGCCCTAATGGGCTCGAGGAATCAAGGTGTCATCAGAAGAACAGCGAAAAGGATCCTTGAGAACAAGGACGAAGAAGTCCCATCCCATCATCGGATGAAGAGCATGAAATGGAACAAGCCAATGTTCCTACCAGTAACCGTTTCGAACTAGTGATGGTAGACCAAACCGAAGTGGAAAGAACCCACAGCAGCATCCACAAGAACCAGGGCACCCAAACCACCACCTATTATGGTCACATTCTAAAGTAAATTTCAACCAGTTCAAAGCCACCATTACCGAACTTTTAGAGGAAAAATCCTTTTTCCTAAAATACTGACTAGAAGAGATCAAAATATATACTGAAACCCTAGAAGACCACGTACTGGTACGATCAAATTTAGACACTGATAATGTCCCCACATACTTACCAAGGACTAAGAGACAAAAGAAGGTTATATTTCAAGGTCCCCCTACCATGGATATCGAGAAGGTGAAGCAAATCCTTAGTCAAAATTACCAAATAAAAGATTGTGTACAGGTGGAAACTAACTGTGGAGAAGGCTATCCGTACCTGATAACCACAGCAAAAGAAACTAACATAGGTTTGCTTAAAAAGACCAAACACATCGAACATAAAATGGGAAACTTTCCATAAACGTAATAACAACCCAATGTTATAGATACCAAGGCTTCGGGCACGACGTTAATAACTTTAAACAATCAATAAAATGCCTGAAATGTGCAGGCTCTCATTTAGCAATAGACTGCCTAAGGCTCTAGATAATAGAAAGTACTTGCTAGGTAACAACCAGACACTTACCAGTTGGTCCATTATTTGTCCCTTAGGAAAAGTGGAGTGAACGAAGACCAGATCAAAATGCAATGCGCCAATTGCGATAGTGAACTAGCGGTATACTTCAGAGGTTGCCCCAAACTCCAGGAACATGTGGCCGGTACACAACCAAAGCAAACAGAACCAAGCAAGATGTATATCATACAGCCAAGCCACCAACAACCAGGCAAACAACCCTGGACAAACCTGTGAATCGCACGAGACAGGAATTCCCACCACTACCTAAGCAAACCGACAAATCAAATGATTTTGGACATTTGCAAACCTTAATGAAAGAAATCGATTAACTAAATGCCAAGTTCAACATCAAGTCAGGACTTTGAACAACAAATTTTCCCAAGCAAGAAATTCTCCAAATCCTTGTAGGCTATGGAAAATACGACACTAAACATATTACTTATCAACATAAATGTACTGACGGGATGAATGAACGAAATAAAAGACCTAACCCAAAGGAGAAAATTACAAGGTATCACAATTATTGTAGAAACAAGACTCAAAAATAGAACACCATCCAGAATACAGGACTATGATGTCTACTATGAAAACACATCAAACTAAAACATAGCGTCAAGAGGTATAGCCCTATACTTCCAAAATAACATAGAATACCAGGAAGTACCATCGGACACGACGAACATTGAATCGATCGCAGTGACATTCCAGAGAATCAAGGTAGTGGTGGCCTACAACAAAAGTGGCATCCGACTCAACCACCAAGAAATGCTAAACATCACAAACCATCCTAAAGTGATTTTAGTCGCCAAACATACCAACTGGAACAGCCACAGCGCCAACACAGCAGGAAACATACTCAATCACATCCCAGACGCTTCATCAGATCAACCCACCAGACCACAAGCAAACTCCACTATAGACATCGGAATCACCAGAAACCTAGACATAGCCGCCAGAACCCTGTTGGAAGCAACAACTAATCACCTTCCGGTCTGGTTCCAATCGACCAACAAATACCCAACCAACTACCAGGATGCTAACTAGACAGCATACAAAAACACATTTATCCAGGGCATCACAATTAACAACAGAATCAGAACAACAAACGAAGTGGACCAAGAAATCCGAAGCCTCGTAAATATCATCACGATGGCCAATGAATAACACATACCAAAGATAACCATTAATAACAAACAAAAGTTCCAATCTAAGGGCAAGAGCTGCAGTTAAAAATATAAACCAAATAGATCCAAACGGATTGAAAGAATGCTGACACCAAGAAAGAAAGAAAAACAAGACTTGAAATACGATTTTGACCAAAAATGGTCAATAAACGAGTTTTTCTGAACGCTTAGTGTAGAACCAACGGATTTAAACCTGGAACAGCAACCGAACAAAAACCACATGCTCCGTGGTCCACAATGACGAAACGATTCAAGATTTTTCTGAGTATTAAAACTAGTGTTATGAACTGAGTATATGAAATAAAATGCCTCTTTATGTAAATTTGGGTCGCTTTTATTTGTGTAAAAATGGTAAAATTAATATATAATAGTAGATTATACCCCGAGTTAATATTGATAGCTATTATTCCCGAGGAATATTCACGAACTGAGCCGCGTTAGCGGCGAGGGAGTCGTGGTAGCCTTCCACTTGATCAGTAAAAACTTCTCGACAACCTCATCCAGGACACATTTTCGAACATGGGTGACGTACTTGGTTGTACAAACCTTGTGGAGTTGAGTATCAAAACTAATTCGCCTCCAATCAAACAGCGCTACTACCCGCTGTCTCGTGCTTTACAGACCGAGGTCAATGATGAGTTGGAGAAGATGTTGGCTGACGGTATCGTTGAACCTTCTGACTTTCCCTGGTCTTCTTCCATAGTCATGATTGAGAAGAAAACTGGCGGATGGCGTTTTTGCGTTGACTATCGCTCTCTTAATCGTGTTACAGTCCCCGATTCTTATCCAATCTCTTATGTTTCGTCCACTCTCGACAAATTGCGAGATGCTAAGTATTTGAGCACTTTGGTCCGCCTATTGGCAAATTCCAATTTCTGAGCAGTCTAAGCCCCTTACCGCTCTCACCGTTTCCATTCCGTGGCCTTTTCCAGTTTAAAAGGATGACGTTTGGTCTCACGAATGCCCCTGCCATTTGGCAAAGGTTGATCGATCGCGTCATGGACGTGGAAATAGTCTTCAGTTTTTGTCTATTTAGATGATGTGATCATTTGCACGTCGACCTTCGTGGAACATATCAGGATCTTGTGTGAGGTTATCAATCGTCTTACCCGCGCTGGGCTTACTCTCAATAGGGAAAAATTTGTCCCGAACTCAAGTATCTTGGTTATGTTGTGAATTCTTCTGGTCTGCGTAGATCCGGAAAAGATTGAGGCCATCCTCAATATTTCTACCCCGAAGTCTGTCACAGAGATTCGTCAGATAATTGGTCTTGCCTCCTGGTACCGGCGCTTCGTGCTAAATTTTCCAAAATTTGATCTGGGTCTGAGTCTGGCTATATCCTTTGTATTCTTGCCTTGACATGCTCTAACAAGGTGGATATTTTTCTATGATCACTGTCTTTATTGGCATGATCAAGACTGAGAATATCTCGTGCCAGGTATCTCGGGGACATCGCGCAATTTGGAAAAACAAGTCCCTCGCTTTATTTCAATGCAAACGAAATAATTTGCCAATTTCCACCTCAAAACAATCATTCCATTCATCTGAAACTGTATCAAACGCTGATGTTTGAGATGAGAATATCGAACCATCATCTACGTATATCACAAGCAGGACTTTTATATCTTTGACGTACCCTGTGTAGACACATTTATCTGCTGTCGAAGCTTCCAGACCAAAGTTTAGTGGAAAAGTGCTGAATTTCTTATTCCAACATCTTGGGCTTTGTTTCAAGCCATACAATGACTTTTTTAGCTTGCAAACAACCAAACCTTCGTTGCAGTCCAATCCGGGTGGTGGTTTCACGTATGTAAGTACATATTTTCTTCGAGTTCGCCATATAAGAAGGCAGTTTTTATGTCGAACTGCTCAAATTTATAGTGTTCCATATTTGCAATGGCAAACAACACTCTTATTGAAACAAGTCATAAATAAGACCCTCTTTACTTTACAGCGCACCACTTGTTTCTCAGATTTCACGACAGAACAAGAAGAATCTGCAGACTTTTCAAAACAAGGTAATCCGAAGGATGGTCGGCGCTACGTGGTATGTTCGCAATGTGAACCTACATACGGATCTGAACGTCGACACAATCCAGGAGTACCTTGATGAGAAACATACGCGTTTTCTTGACTCAGTAACTGACCATATCAATTACATTATTAAAAACTTCTATTTGACGATAACTTTAACCCTGACAGGACTCGCCTACGAAATTTAAAACGTCGTATTTTCTCTAGTTCAATGAAATCCTCTTAGTCCAGGAGGTGGCGCCAAAAACATGCAAGAGTTTTCGCAAGGCGGATATTTTCAAAATAGGTCGTACTTTAGTGCTAGAATGCTAGTGTACAGTCAGCCCTCACAGTTCCGGGACAACTGGCTCTGGGACGCGGGCAAAGTTGTAATTTTACGAAGCATCTAAACTGTTTCCTCAAAGCTCAAAATTTATAGAAATTTTGCACATTATCTGTTTGAAGGTCACAGATAACGTATGTAAATCGTCAGACGTCTAGTTCGTTGCAAAAAGGGGGTCAGACGTCCTCAAAGTTTTTATTTTATGGCATTTTCTTCAAATATATTTGTCAAATACCTGCAAAAATATATTTTGACAGGACACCGAAGAAAATGCCATAAAATAAAAATTTTGAGGACGTCTGACCCCCTTTTTGCAACGAACTAGACGTCTGACGATTTACATACATTATCTGTGACCTTCAAACAGATAATGTGCAAAATTTCTATCAATTTTGAGCTTTGAGAAAACAGTTTAGATGCTTCTTAAAATTACAATTTTGCCCGCGTCCCAGAGCCAGCTGTCCCGGAACTGTGAGTGCTGACTGTACACTAGCATTCTAACACTAAAGTACGACCTATTTTGAAAATATCCGCCTTGCGAAAACTCTTGCATGTTTTTGACGCCAGCTCCCCAACTATCTTCCTTCCTTTCCCATTCCTTCCTATCCTTTCCCCGTTCCCCTTCCTTTCCCTGAACAAAAATTTACTTCAAGCACAACACAGCAGTGAGTAGATTCACCCAACATAGCGAGTGTAATCGTACTAATGGTCCATAAACACAAGAAAACGTGCATATCGTATCGTTTAGCACATAATCTTGTCTTGTATCTTGAGATTGTGCCGTCTTCATTCCTTTCAATTCAAAAACCCCACCTCGACTCTATTGGCTTCTTATTTTCTAGAGTTTTTACCATTATCCATGTGTTGTTCTTAAACAAAGCATCATCATAAGCCTGACTCACACTAGGCAAATTTAAAAAATATATATTGCCTGTACCAGTTTTATGTTTGGCCAAGTGTACTCTTCATTGATCGCCACTTTCCATTTGTCATTCTCTTTGCTTTTCATAGCATCATCTTCTATGCATAAGTGTCTGGAATGTCAATTTCTACAAAGTTCAAATAAAAATCATGAAATCTGGCTTGGCTGGCATGCAACATTTATCTGTGTGGGGTCTAAGATCTGGCATCCGAACGTTTTCTCCAACATGCTTATCATTTTCTTCAATTTCTTGTCTCGCATCTTGCTTAACCTGATTTCCAACTTCTACTTCCACTTCGCCAAAATCAGTGACGTCATCATTATCGAGTTCTATTTTCACTAACCACTTTGCCTTTTTTCATTAAACACCAAATTTCTTGAAATAATAGCTTTTATTGTTATGGGATTAAAACGTAGTTTTCTACGTTTTCCAACTGGCACATGCGCGTATGCATCACAACCAAACACTTTCAAATGGTCAAGTGTTGGTTTTTGTCCACACCATATTTCGTATGGCGTTTTACCTGGGGCTTGCGAAGTAGGCACTTGATTAGGTATGTAGATAGCAGTAGATAGTAACTGCCTCAGCCCACAAGTATTTTGGAACACCTGACTTGGTGTAGCATTGACCGTGCATTTTCAACAATTATCCGATTATCCTGCGCAACCGTTTTGTTGAGGGGTATACGACGTGGTTACCTCATGTTCTATACCTTCTTTGCTTGAGTAACATTTGAACTCATTGTTAAGGTACCTACTCGGTACCACCGTCAATATGCAAAACTTTTACCGGAATGTCGAAATTTTGTTTTAATTTTTGCATTAAACCTCTCAAACAATCATAAACGTCTGATTTGTGCTTAATAAAGTATGCTACACAATAACCAATCTTTAAAAGTTACAAAGTATCTTATTCCTTGTACCGAAGGAGTTGTAATAGGCCCGCACACATGATTTTCAGAGTTGCCAAGTATGCGATAGTAAAGTGGGGACGGAGTTAGCGGAAGCATTTGATACCCTACTTCTAGCCGCTTTCACAGCTCACCTCCCCTGGCCCATAAACATGTAGTCAACCAAAACAAAGCTATTTTATCAATGGGATGTTCCGTCTATCTGTGTTAATAGGTCATTGGCCTCAACATAATGCAAATCTCAACCTCAACCGCTCAGATGCCTCATCAAGTTACCCATTACCAAACAACCTATAAACTTTAGGAACCTTGGGACACAGTGTTTAATTTGCAGTGCAGATCAGGGTTCTGAATAGCATGTTATAGGTAATGCTCGAGTCTTTGACAGCTGTTGCTACAAAGTTCGAACCTTCAGAAACCTTTGCCTCTTTTTCCAATTTAACAACTTTCATTTTCCTATCTTTGAGCACACCCTCAGAAAACAAATTCTTACGAAGCTGTGGTATGTATATTATAATATTAATTATTGAACCATACCACTTACCATGAATCAGCTTTTTGTATTTTTATCGTACCTTTTCCTTCCACCGATAAGTGTTGGTCGTTTCCAAGTGTCACTCTTGATCATCTAACATTCGAAAGAAGTCTAGCCTTTATGTCATATGAGCACCACTGTCCATAATCCATGTTTCATTCTCAAAAATAACACTGTTTGCTTCAACTTCAACATTGAACATTGTCTCGTTTTTGTTATTTTTGGGATTTTCTCGTTTTTTGGGGTTTTCATCTTACTTCTTTCTCTTTGCTTTGAGTATTTTGAGATCTCTTTCTACAATTTTAACATAAAGGACCTCCCGGCTTCTCATTTTCTTGCTTTTTCTTATTAAAGGACATTGCTGGAAAAGCTTGTTCGGTTTCCTCGTAATTCTGGAGGTTACTCCATCCAAAAGTCGAGCCTTTAAAATATCAATTTTTTGTTTGGTAGGATCTAATGACAACCATACTTGCATTATATTCCTATACTAATAGCACAGCGATATTTACGTCATAACTGCCATATTACTTATGTCGTCACCTGCATCTTTTATTTGTTCTGCAAGATTCTGTATCTTCGAGTCATGCTGGTGCTATAGTATCTTTTGTAGCCATCTTATATTGGTGAAAATGCTCATGAAGTATCATACTATTTGACTCTGGCTTCAGTTCAAAGATTGACTCCAACGTAGACATAATATCTTTTGCATTTTCACAACTTTCTATCAATGTTATTTGATCAACGTTAATGGCTGCGATTAGCACAAAAATAGCTTGAGCATCTTTTTTGCACCATGTTGTAAGTTCAGTTTGGGAGTTGTTAGGCCTGGGAAGAGTCCCATCTATTAGGTACTCCATTAATACCTTTAGCCTTTAAGGCACATTTCAACTGAAATTTCCATTGCCTAAAGTTGATTCCATCATACTTTTTGACGCTGGAAACGTCCTTGTATTGTCTCAACTGGAACTCAAAATAAACAACGAACGTTTCCGCAGTTTTCGTGTTGCACTTGTTGCAGGAACACACCTTAGTAAAGACCTTTTCAGTTTTTCACAATAGTTTTCCAAGGGACAAACCCAAAACGTTTTACACGCGTTTTTATGGTACACACACACGGCTTACATTACTTTCCGGACAAGCGCGACTGGGCCCATAACCCATTATGTAAACTTGGGTCGCTTTTAATTGTGGCAAAACGGAAAAACTAATATATAAAATATGAAAAACAACAGCTAATATTGGCAACTGTCTACTGACAAAAAATCAAGTAAAAATCAGAACCTAACGTGTCAAAAGTGTACAGCAGACCATATTTAAATATTAAACATCACAAAAATCCTAATAACAACTAGTAAAACTAAGTTCTGATAGATTACCTTGAAATTATCCAGCTCCCTCAAACACGCGCTCAGCTTCGTTTTCAAATGATCACGTTCTTCAGTCAGCTCGCTGATTTTGTTATGTTGTTCCTTACAAAGTGCTTCGATAGCCTAAACACAAACACATAAAAATCAGTTTATAATATAACTAATATCGATAAGAGTAATCCTGATATTGATCGGAAATTCGTAACTTAATTATTTGTGGCTCAAAGTTTTAATATATTCGACCTTAAGCCACTCACAGCTGCTTTATCTCCACCACTATCTTCTAGCCTAACTTGAACACCCTCTGCCATCTTTTCCACTGATTTCTTTGGCATTTTGATAGTCATGCGCCCCGGATCAGACGGTCTTTCTATCACTTCGAATCCCGGTGGCAGACCCTTAATTTTTGTAACCTATAAGAAATGAAAATAAGTACTTTATCCATAAATTTGAAGATATTATTACCATTCGACCAGGAGATTGCATTCTGGCTCGTATAGTCGGTTTAATTACATCACCTATTTCTTGCTCTTCTTGCCGACGACGCGCACGGCCGGCACATTTTTCATCGCATTCATCTCCACTAGGCTCACTGCGCATTCCTTCCACTCCAAAAGCTTTAAGTTTTTTCATTTCGCTCTCCGGTAGATTGAGCCCATCAACGAACGCCCTAAGTTCGTCTAAGTCTTGCTTCATAGTCAACAAGTCAGCGTTCGCCATTGCCAGAAGCATTTCTATGAGTTTATCTAAAGGTACTAATTTTGGATTACACTGTGAAAAAATAGTTGAAGATATATTAATTGTGTGTGAATGGTTTGTTTTTGTCCCACCTTTTCGCCATATCCTCTAGTGATCAGCTCTAAAATGTGTTGCCTACGATCTTCCACCAAGTCGCACCAATTTCTAACGTCCGTAGAGGAAGGATACGTTTTTAAACGGCTCTCGGACCGACGTCGTTCCGGCCTCATCCATTCCGGGCGTTTCATGAACATTCGCAATTTCTTTTGAACGTACGTCGTCATTTTATAGTTTTACTTCGATAAAAAAAAAATAAAACAAAAATTAATTTTTTTTTTTGGTTGATTGTGATCGAGGAAAAAAACAATTTTGAAGTCTTGTCAAAGTTTTCGTACAGCTTATGACAACCTACTGGTTCTTTTTTTTTCCATCATTTCAGAAAAATCTTAGAAATCACAATATTTAGGAAGAAACTCGTTGGATGCGGACTGATCTAGACTGATGACTGCCTACTGATTGTTTAAATAGCTTTTGGACCCACCATGAATTCGCGACATTTCGATACGTTGACATCCTCTCCCACTATTGCTAATGAATATAATTATTTGTCCGACTGAAGATGTCGCAATTTCCTTGATATCGGGCTCAACGGATATCGTAGAGATGTGAGATGTCGATGCCGAACTCGTATCGGCCATAAATAATTTTTTTCTATCATATGAAACTGGCCATTTAATTACTTTAGCCTTGCTTCTATTTTTCCGTTGCCTAATTTATGGGTTCATTTTCAGGTTTAGGAACTTCGCGATGTCATAACACTAACAATTCTTTAATGATTTACGATTTCAATTTTCAACTTTTTTGAAAATTTTTCATTATTATAATATACAGTGTGTCCAAGATAAGGATAGGATAGCATTAGGATTGTGAGACCACAAATTCAAAAACTTGGCAAGATGTTGAATTGGCAAGCGGTGACTTTAGTTTCTGAGTGGAGACACAGTTTAAAATGGGTCCTCTTTGCGGATGGAGAGTAAAACACAGAAATATTGTGGTCAATTAAAATAAAGTTTATTTTATTAAAATAAATAAATAATGCTTGTTATTAAATAATAGGCGTCGGTAATAAATAATCTTACAATAAAATTGTTAGATTTCTAATAACCATCAATTCACTGTTAAGGAAAATTTATATGATTCCAAGTAAAAATTTTTATTTACAGTTTGACTCGATTCACACTCTTGCCTTCACAATTTCTGGCTGAACATAAAAAAACTCTACTCACATTTAACAATAATATATTTACTGCTGGCCACACCTAATTACATGGAAATCTTATTGGTCGAAGGAATTTACTTTAATTATGTACACTTAATAAAAGAACTCGAATATTTTTGCGCTGTTATTTCACGTCGTGCTTCTTCTCTCGGTTAATTCGACAACTTTTTCACGCCGTAGTTCTGACTTTCTGGACACAGGTCTCTCGATTCTCGATTACTACTTGTTTGTTGATTACTCAACCGATACTGGTCCTTCACGCCGTTGTTCTGCCGGTTTACTCGCTCTTCAGAACCTTTTATTGTTTTCTTGATAGTTTATTTCCGCGTCACTACAGGATCTCTTTACCACTTTTCTTACTCTACAAGATGACATTAGTATCAATTTTAAAATTTGACATTCCGTCTTTGGGCCACCATCATCAACATCATTTTCCTTCACTTTTATTTTAGATTTTATAAGTTTCTGATGTCCCAAAACCAATAACGTATTGCACTTATTCGAAAAATTTATATTTTTATGGCACTCTTTTTCTTTGGGATTTTTAATTTTCTCGTATCAGAAACAGCTCTTGCCTGAGAAGCTCTATTAACAAGCAAAAACTCTCTCTGCAACTTAAGGAAAAATCCCGAAAAATAGGAGCAATCGGGGGGCCGAAAAACAAAACGCACACAATGGGCTTGAAGCGAACAATTCGGTGCAATGCAAAACTTACAAAAGTTCACAGACACGTGGAATAGAAGTTATTGAAGTGGAAACTGAGCTGTTTTCGATATGACCAGCTTTCTATTTCTGGATATTCTATTTTAGACTCAGTAGAAACTCGAGCTAATTTTGGAACTTCGGATGGTTGCTCTATTTCTTTGAGCATTTTCTCCATACCATATATGTACCTACATGTTCTGTAATTTCTCTCTGAGCTTCTTCTCAAGGTGACTTTCGATTCTTTTCCCATTTCTTCTATAACATGAGTTCCGAAATTTTTTCTGGAGAAACAAAAAATCATTTTCTGATTCAGAAGCTTCTGGTTCCTTGATTTCTACAAGAATTTTGCTTTTCAAAAGCTGGCTCTTCCATAATTTCTCTCAAGGGACGTCTGTTGCTTATGTTTTAGGTACCTACTTATATAGCGTAATCCTAGTGGAATAACCTAAGAGTGGAACCAACAATCTCTGAAATACTAGGAAGGGAGAAAATATCAAGAGACATTCTGATTTGTGGGATGAACGGGGCAGATAGAGAAACCTACAAAGAAGAGAAATGTGAAAGCAGTTGATGAAGCCAATAGAATAATCAATAGGCCTGTTTCTGCAGAAATCACAAACCAGTCAGAGCGAATTTCATTGGTTGAAAATAGTCAGAAACAGTTAGATAACTAGTTTCAGCCAATGAAATTCATTCTGATTGGTTTGTGATATCTGCAGAAACAGACCTAATATCAATGAGGCAGATGTAAATCTAGAGAGCATTACAGTCCTAAGATTGGGAAGATACGATCAAACTAACAGAAGACCACTCAAAAATAGCTCTTACAACAAACAGCGAATCCAGGGAAATCATAAAGTTGAAACATAAAATAGAAGGAACAGGAATATGGATATTCCACCAAACCAGACCAAACAGCTGCGCAAAGAGAACTCATTAAAAACCTGCTCCATGAACTCGCCACTCGCAAAACGAACTTGACTTAAAACTAAAATACATAGAAGGAATCCCAAAACTAATAAAAAGCAAAACCTCACGTGCGACCAATCACCAAGTACCGAGCCCAAAAGAGTCAAAAAAATTAACAAAAAGTCACAACAGATATCACATTTTCCTATAAAAACATCTCATCAATCCGTCCTAAATTACAAGAAGTACACTCCGTACCGTACTAACAAAACAGAGACCTACGTACCATCCTTCTAATCACAGAAATTTAGCTGAACAAAAATATTCCAGACTCTCTAATTGCTACGGCTGACTATAACCTATACAGAGCTGATCGACGGTTACAAAAGGGTGTTGGTGTTTGTATATTGGTTAGGGCGAAAACAAACGGACCTAAATAATACATAGATATAACATCAATGGTGCTATAGATACGATATTTTTGAACATGTAAATATGCAGAAGAAAAAAGTAGCTGCGATAGGATGCATCTACAGACAGGGCGAAATGATACAGTCGAAAGCTCAGAACTAAGCCATCTGATCAAGAGGATTTTTGAGGAAAATACTAACGTACTTATTTGTGGAGACTTTAACTACTTACCCGGAAATATGTTGGAAATCACTTACACTAAATTAACCTTGTCAAGAAGCCAACGAATTCCTGACATGTTAGAAGGAATCAAGATACCACTAACTAACCTCCTTCAATACCAGATTTAGAAACAATCAGAGCTCCCTTTTCGATCTTTTCTTATCAAATGACAAAAAGGTAATGTATACCATTGGATCAAGAACATCTTTTGGCAGGAGTGATCACAAGCTCATTGTTTTGATAACGCAGCTCAAACTTAGAAAACAGCCAACAACAAAAAAAAAAAAAAAAAAAAACTTCCACATATAAAACTATGAACCACTCAACGATCATATAAGAAATAAAGCAACCAGAATCAAAACAACAATAAGAAACTACCAAGACTTTGAAGATATTCTCACTACAGCAATTGGAAAGTTCTTTTCGGAAAAAAATATGCAGGACAAACGTACAGAAACAATGGACTAATGAAAGAATTTTTAGAGAAATCCATAAAAAAAAAGAAAATCGTGAAAAAAATACATAAAAAATAAAACGGACGCAGATTATAAAATAAACAGGACCCAAAACAACAAACTAAAATCATTTTTAACTCAAGTCATGTCTTAAATATGAGCAGGATATTCTGGAAAACAATGATAAACACTTTTATTTTCAACCACATATGTAATGTTGACATTGCAGGTTTTTCAAAATCTTGAAAGTGTCACATTTCTGGACTTTGACATTTATCGGGACGGTAATGCATATGCCTGCCTAGGACGGAAAAGCATTTTCCGTCCGGGACGGCAAATGCTTTTCCGTCCCCATTTCCCTGCTCGTTCCAAATTGATAATTTTCATACAGCTCTCACATATAATAATAAAACCACATGTATTACATGGAACTAATTAAATCTATTCACTTATTTACATTAATTGTTAAATTAGCATTGTTGTTTATAATGGAAATCTTGAGACCATCCTGTTGGAATTGTGTTTCGTTTGGAACTATTATCTCTTGCGCTTGCGGATGAGTTTCCGCATGTGATGTACTTGTGGATGCACTGGACAACTGAATACCTTTGGAAGTAGAGGATAGCATCAGAGCAGTCTTACTTTTGTTCTCCAAAGATGCCTCTATGTAGCCTTCAGCAACCGTGCTCGATTTCCACCCTCCCAGTCTTTTGAGTTGCAATAGATCGGCCCCGTTGTCAACCAATAAGGTTGCGGAAGTACGACGAAAAGCATGCCCTGTAAAAGTTTCAATTTTTGGAAGCTTCAAAAAAGCAGCTATTTTATGTGGAAATTTTGAGATTGAATGATAGCCAATTGCTTGGTTATGTAATTTCCCATTTCGCCATTGAACAAATAACCTGTCATTTTTCAAATTTTTCCGCAAAGTGAGGTATTTGTGGAAAATAGCAACCCAATCTGGATCGCTTATGATAAACGATCGACTTGTGTAAGTTTTTGTGTGTGGAATTTCTATAGCGATCTTTCCTTCCAAAACGTTGACGTGCTCCATTTTCATCTTGACTAGTTCATCGCTCCTACATGCACCCGACACACCAACAATTAGCGCTACCTGAAACCAGATAAAAATAAAATGGGTAACCTAGCTATAGCATACAGAAAATCATTTTGATTTTCGCATTTTTATCTTCTTTGTATATTTTTTGAAAACCTACCTTGATGCTAATGAATTCTTCAGCTGCCTTCGTGAGGAACTCGTTAATGTTTTCTCTGGAAAAAACGCTCGACTTTTTCGGCTGAAAGCCCAGATTTTGCC